CCAGCAGCACGGCAGCGTCTACTGGAACGCCGACGCCGAGCGGCTGCTCGCCGCGCTGGATCCGGACCGCGGGCCGCTCGCTGCGCAGCTCGAGCCAGCGCTCGCGCATCCATGGTCGCCCAACTGGCAGGATCAGAGCACGCAGGACGAGTGCGACGCGTTTGACGCGGCGCTGGGCGGCCGCGAGGAGCTGGCCAAGGTAACCGGCAGCGGCGCGCATCATGTAAGTGCCCCCCCCCCGGTGTACTACGAAGAAGAACAAGTAAATCGAACCGTGTTGACGGATTTATTTTCTTTAGCGATTCACGGGACCGCAGATTATGCGCCTCCGCCGTACTCACCCCCAAGTCTACGAAAACACGGCCCGCATCTCCCTCGTGTCCTCGTGGCTCGCGTCGGTGCTCCTCGGCCGCATCGCGCCGCTCGACGTCGGCGACGTCTGCGGCATGAATCTGTGGGACATGCCCAACCAGCGCTGGAACCCCGCGCTGCTCGCCCTCGCCGGCGGCGGCGCGGACGGGGCAGACGCGCTGCGCGCACGGCTCGGCGAGCCCTGCATGGACGGCGGGCAGGCGCTCGGCCCCATTGCCAGCTACTTTGCGGCGCGGTACGGCTTCGACCCGCGCTGCCAGGTGCTGCCGTTTACCGGCGACAACCCGGCGACGATTCTCGCGCTGCCGCTGCGGCCGGGCGACGCCATCGTGTCGCTCGGCACGTCGACCACGTTCCTTATGCACACCGAGACGTGCGCGCCTGACGGCGCCTACCACTTCTTCAATCACCCAACAACGCCGGGCCACTACATGTTTATGCTGTGCTACAAGAACGGCGGCCTGTCCCGGGAGCGCGTGCGCGATGCTCTGCCCAAACCAGACACCGCAGGCGACGGCGGCGGCGGCGGCGGCGGCGGCGGCGGCGACACCAGCTGGCAGGCGTTCGACAAGGCCGTCGTGGATACGCCACCGCTTGGTATCAGCGGCTCCGACGACGACGATAGCCGCCGCGCCAAGATGGGGCTCTACTTTGACCTCCGCGAGACAGTGCCCAATATCCGCCCCGGCACGTGGCGCTTCACCTGCAACGCCGCCGACGGGAGCGACCTTCGCGAGGAAAAGAACCCTAGGCCGGCATGGTCCGCAGCCACCGACGCCCGTATAATTGTCGAGTCGCAAGCGCTTTCGATGCGTCTGCGCTCACAAAAGCTCGTGCAGGCACCATCCGGCGACGAGCAGCAGCAGCGACAACTCCCCGCGCAGCCGCGCCGCATCTACCTCGTCGGGGGGGCTTCCCACAACGCGGCGATTGCGCAGACGCTGGGCAGCGTGCTCGGCGGCGTCGACGGCGTGTACAGGCTCGACGTGGGCGGCGACGCGTGCGCGCTGGGCGGCGCTTACAAGGCTGTGTGGGCGCTGCAACGTCGCGAGGGCGAGGCGTTTGACGAGCTGCTAGCGGGGCGCTGGAGGGAAGAGGGCGCGATTGCGCGCGTGGATCGAGGGTACAGAGAGGGGACGTATGAGAGGTACGGAAACGTGCTGGGCGCGTTTGAGGAGATGGAGCAGAGGCTGCTGGCGGAGGAGGAGAAACGATAAAAACAGGGGAGCATTCATTCACTTGAAGGAGAGCTCTTCGAAAATGATGGAGGCATTTATTGGTTTGCTTATATTAGTACTCGAGGTCTGGCATTTACCTCGTTCTTTCCAGTCTATCTAACGTATTTGCTCATAAATCGTCTATGAAAATCAGAGCGCAAAAGATCCTGCAGAAGTGGTCAGTAACAATGTAAACGAGCATGGCGAGAGGAATAAAACTCACATTGACAAACTCCTTCTTCTTGCCCTTGTCTTCCGTCCCGCGCGCCTGGTTCTTGAAAACGACGTCGTCGTCCCAGCGCCTCTTCATTGTAAAGTCTTGCTTGTTGAGTAGCGGGTTGCCCAGCGCAATGTTGCGTTCCCGTGCATCCTCTTCCTCTTTGATGCGCTCAAGTTCCTGGACGAGTTGCGTTAGTATTTCACTTCGGCCACACTTTCCGCCAAGCATCCGGCCAGCGTCCGCGTAGAGCTCACCTCTTGCTTCTTCTTTTCCTCGCGCTCCCTCCGCACTCGCTCCAACTCCCGCTGCAGCTCCGCATCCTCATCATCGCTGTCACTATCATCGCTATCGTCATCGTCTTCTGCTTCGTCGGAATCGTCCGCATCAATGTCTCTCGTCTCCTCTAGTATCCTCAACCTCCTCGCACGCGCATCTTCTTCACCGTCCGTACCAGCCTCATCACCCGCGGGATGCGGCCGCTTCGTGCCTGCACCGCCAGATGTCGCTGCCGTCTCGTGGCCGTCCTCTTCGATGGCGAGCGGCGCGCCGGTGCCCTTCTTCTTGGCGAAATGGGCCGCCTCGGCGGCGAGCAGCTCGGCGGCCAGATCGCGCGTGCCGTCGTACTCGTCTTCGTCGGCAGCGCCGCCCTGGCCCGCGCGGCGGTACTTGAGCTGCGTGTGTGCGGGGAGGAGGCGCTGGTGGTAGGCCGGGCCGCGAAGGGCTTCCTTGCCGACGGCCTGTCGTGGTGGTAAAGCGTTTAGTTTGGGCAAGTCAAATGGTTTGGGTGGGAAATTTCTTACCGGATCAAATGTAGGTCTATGCGCTGTAGTCATTATGTGTGTGTGTTATTACGCAAGTTTTTGAAAGATGGATGACTAGAAAGATGGAAAAGAGATGGCGATCGATGTCGCAGTTGCGTCGTCTAATGCGGTTAGACGCTGGCGTGCCAAACAGGCAAAACCGCACTCACCGCCCGGCAGAATCTGCTTCTTTGCGTGCACCCATGTCAACCTCTCAACTTCTCTAGCATTTCAATTGGCAGAGTATTCCTGAAGAGGATTGTCTGAAAATTTAATAAATAAATGCAAAATGCCACGAGAAGTGGAGCCATCATTGAGCGAAAAGACATTCGTCACACAGGCACTAGCCGAGGGGCTGCGTCTGGATAATCGCACATTCGAACAATATAGGTCACTAAAGCTTACATTCGGCGATGAGTATGGCATTGCTGAAGTGCAACTCGGCAAGACAAAGTGAGTTCTCTCAAAGCACATCTCGCGCTTCACTCGAATCAATACTAATTTTTGTCAGGGTCCTGGCCAAAGTCTCAGCAGAAGTCACAGTCCCATTCTCAGACCGGCCGTTTGACGGCGTCTTTACCATTGCTTCCGAGCTCAGTCCCATGGCTGCACCGTCCTTTGAGGTGAATCGTCCGACAGAGACCGAAGTCATCCTGTCACGCCTCCTCGAAAAGACGATTCGCCGCTCCGGCGCGCTCGACACCGAGTCGCTGTGCCTCATCGCCGGCCAAAAGTGCTGGTCGGTGCGCGTCGACCTGCACGTGCTCGCCCACGAAGGCAATCTGCTCGACACCTCGTGTCTGGCCGTCGTCGCCGCGCTACGCCACTTTCGCAAGCCCGAGACGACCATGGAGGGCGGCGTGCTGACCGTCTACACGCCTGCTGAGCGCGTGCCCGTGCCGCTGAGCTGGCTGCACTCGCCATTCTGCGTCACGTTTAGCTTCTTTGGCGGCAACGGCGACGAGGAGGAGGAAAAGGTGCTGCTGGACACGACGTGGCTGGAGGAGCAGCTCCGGACGAGCAGCTGCACGTTTAGCATGAACAGGCACGGCGAGATTTGCCAAATCTCCAAGCTAGGCGGCGACGCGGTAGATGCGCCGCTGTTTGTGGCTTGCGCGCAGAGGGCGCTGGGAAAGACAAAGGAGTTTACGGATTTGGTGGATAGGGAATTGGCAGAGGACGCGAAGCGGAGGGACAAGGGCGGATTAATGGCGGAGCTGACGGCTGAAAATGAGAGATGATACTGACGAAAGCGCAAGAAAATGGAATGTCTAGATAGAAGACAGAGCTTCAGACGCCACGATTCATGGCATCTTTCTGATGGTCTCTCTGATAGAGGCAAGTAGCATTGCTTTTACTAGCTGCCGCGCCCTGGGAACTTGACAAAAGTCGCAACCGCGGTTGGACTCGTTAGAATTCAAGGGCTGCTGTTACTCACTGCTCTGCAGGTCTTTCGATCACTCTATTCAAGGATGCGCACATATACTCGCCATTACTTTAGGTTGAACAAGTGGCGCTGCGCAGCCAGCAACATGTACAGCAGCGCCTTCAGCAGAGCAGCTAGGCATCAATTAGGCTTGAAATGCCCAGATTGACTGTTATTTTCTCTTGCCATGTTTGTGTTCTTGCCCTTTTATTGTTCTCGTGTCGTGGTGATGCAATTAGATGCATCTCAAATTGTCATGTCACGCGAGGTTATCAGTCGCATGCAAGTTACTGCTTTGGCGGCCTCATACCCGCCACAGATCTTCTGCGGCATTGACTTAATCAGAGCGATAGTGTAATTCTTCTGACCAGATCAGCTGGCAGGTTGCGGAAGGAAGAGCCAGAGCCTTACACCACGTACGTTTCGCAAGTATAGGGCCATGACGGTATATCGTTAAGCCGTAGCCGGTGCAGATGGTCTTGGTCTCGGTGTTGGCAGCGCTCCTCTCTCTTCTTAGCTTGCGTCTACACAAACGAAAGAGGCTGAAAGATGCGTTCCGAACCAAGTGTGGAAGCTCAATTTGCAAGCCTGGCGGCGCTGGAAAGGTTATCGACCGCGGATTTCCCAGGCTCGACAGCGATATTCTTCCGAGTCCGCCCGGGCGTGTTACTGAAAGCTGCCGTTAAAATAGGCAAGGATCACGTCATCCACAAGCGACCGAGTGTTGTTAGCAAGTATATCATTGAGGAGCAAATTCTGCAAACGTTAGGTTCGCATCCGAGGATTGTTAGGTACTGTGAAAGTTCTGTGCCGTTGCTACATTTGTGCACATTTTCTCACACGACCGAAGCTTCTTAGGTCCTCATCCTAATGGTCTCCTCATGGCTGAAGCAAGCCACGGGAATCTCCAGTCTTATCTTCATGATCACGCTTCTTCGATGCCGCTTCGTCTTTGTCAGAAATGGTTTATTCAAGCCGTGTACTCCATCGCATATATTCATAGCCGAAGGGTCATACACTGTGACTTACGGCCAGATAACTTCCTTGTTCACGGTACTGGTCCTGATTCGCTTGACTTGTGGTTTTGTGACTTTGGTGGTTCTACATGAGAGGAGCTCGCGCTCTGCGCGGACAAGTTTCCAGATTCTGGTTTCTATGACCCGAAGCTACAGTGGGAGGAGATAACTTTCAAGGTTGATATATTTAGCCTCGGATCCGTACTGTATGCCATCGTCACAGGGCATTGGCCGTTTCGCGCAAGTACAGGATCTTTCTCCTCTGTGGAGGAGATAGAGGAGTACGAAGCAAGTGTAGACGCTTACTTTACAGACGGAAGATTCCCTAGTGTTGAGGGACTATTGGGAGGGGACATAATATTAGGTTGCTGGGATGGAACGTTCTCAAAGGCTTCAGAAATCGTGGCCGCCGTCCAGAAACTGGAGCTTTGACTGGCGAAATGTGTTGCATCAAATGTCGCGGTGAAAATGTCTAACACATTCAACAACAGTGATATTAGTGATCACTTACGATTTTGTTAGGGATTCTGGCAACCGTGTTGGCCGCACTTGGTACCGACCCTTTTGAACGCTCTCAGCATGACCTTGTGGCCGCCTTGATTTAGTCTTTACATGGCTCGCTTCAACATCCCAAGTGCAACAAAATATTCAGGACTTGCTAGCGTTTCGAGCCAAAAGTAGGCGAAAATTTGTTCCATGGCGTTTCATCATACAACTTGAGAGCGCGACAGAGAGCAGCACAAATGCGCGACAAAATGTAGGTAATACCAGTGACATAGATGATGACTTGATTGCATCAGCTGTAACTCATGGTCCTTTTTGGAAGTGGATCGGTTACAGCTGCCTCTCAGCCTCCTTGAGGCATGCTTACATGTGACGACTCGCACAGCGCGTGGCCTGACGCCGTTTCTTTTAGTTCCCCATGTATTATGATGACTGTTTGGGAGAGCTGGTCGAAGCGAGGGCTAACTTGGAGGCGAAGAATCCTAACAACGGTCGCACGACATTGATGCGATAGGCTGCTGACTTACGGAGAATTGGTTGGTCATGGATCATCTGCTCGTGCCTCTTGGGCACGGGTGCAGAATTAGAGAACAAAGATCACGACTATTGTGACTGCTTGAAGCAGATGCTTCGAGGTCGAGCTTGATATGCTGCGATCTGAAAATGTGTGTAGGCTTGTCAATCAAGAGGTAAGGACTGTCAATCTTGGCTGTTGACCCCATTTGTTGGTTGTTCCATCTTGCCATAAGGAATAGAGCGGAGGCATACCCAATGCATTGGAATGCCAATTCATTAGCACCTTGCGGTTGACGTTGTATGCTGTTCTATCTGATATCTACCAGAATATTCTACTTGAACCCAAACTCCGATGCGACGAGAGAAAAAAAAAAGGCAGGCTCGTAGCTCATGAGGAAAAGGACAAAGACAAGAAGAGTTTCCGACCCTGCTCAGCGCATAACGGGCGGTCTAGACTCTTTATTCCACTGCACCCTCGTGCGCAGCCAGTCGACGGCCTCGCGCACGCCCTCCCCCGTCAGAGCGCTCATGGCGAGGACGCGGGTATCGCGAATGCTGTCGCCCTTGTCGCCCTCCATGACCCTTTTGACAAGGCCCTCCTTGATTCGGATAGTCTCGACGCAGTCTTCGCGGTCCTGCTTGTTAGCGAGGACGAGTAAGGGCACGCCGTCGGCGTCAGAGTGCTGGAGGACGTCCTCGAGGACGCGGCGGCACTCATCGAGGCGGCCGCCGGTGCCGTCGTGCTCGAGGGTGCCGTCGCCTACGTCGGTCGAGTCGACTACGAAAACGATGGCGTGGCAGCTCGTGTAATAGCTTTCCCAGAGACGGCGCAGCGAGTGCTGGCCGCCAACGTCCCACACCTTGAGGTACATGTCGGGCAGCGTGAGCGTCGACACGTTTTGGCCGACGGTCGGTACCGTCTTGAGCTTGGGCGCGGGCGCGTCGGGCATATACATGGCCTTGACCTGCTCGTGGAACGTCGTCTTGCCGGCATTGTCGAGACCGAGGACGATGACGGAGTATTCTACACGGCCAGGTTAGGAGGGGGGCTCGTGCATGAAGGAGGACGGGGTGGTGGGAGGAGGCAAGTTACCTTCTTTGCTGGTCGCATAGAGATATAGGCCCTTGGCGAGGTGATACATGGCTGCTGGAGGGTAGCGCCCGTTGCGCCGGGGTACAGAGCCGTGTTGGTCCGGGAACTTGTGTAGTGTAGTGTTTGCTGGTGACTTTGGTGTTGCTGGTTGGTGGACAGCTTGGGTCGGAGTTGGTGGTGTTGGCGAAGCTGACCTGTCACCGTCAGAAACGGACTGTTGATGGTGGTGGGGCGCTCCGTGGAAGAGAAGTTGATTGAAGGACACTGGCGGCAATACCCGCAAGCTAATAGAGTAGTTGGGAAGCAAAAAGTATTTATTGAATTTCTAGACATTTGCTATTGGTATTGGAGTTTTAGCCATGAACTGATGATCCCGGTGTGTATCGTGATTGGCTTGATGTTGACCGCGAGGCTGCAAGTCCGTTGACTGTCTATAACAGAACGCCTGAAAATGACAGAGTAAGTACCTGCTAGCAAAGGGTTACACTCTTCGAACACAAAATTGTACAAGAGCAAAATATCATAGTAATCATGATCAAGTCGGCTTCTACTCTTGCGCGTTATATGTACTTGGCGTCGTGGTGTTAGTCGGACTGTACTCGTTGATATACCTACCACCTTTGCAGGAGAACTACTAGACAAAACTGCAACATAAAAAGCGTCTAATATAGTCACACCCACAGAGTAAAGAAAGAAAAAACACATTTTAAAGTTCGAAGCCACATCGTTAGAAGGCTCGCTGAGAATAGGTGCCGTGCAGCTTGGCGCTGTACCTGCCGGAATTATAGCGGGTTACAGTGGCTTCATACAGGGCCCAAGCACTGCTGCATCGCTGCCTGGCGCCACCCGCGCAATTAACCGTCGCAACATGCCAAAAACTGCGCGTGCTTAGGTACTTGCTCCGTCGGTCAAACCCAACCACTCTGCGCCAAACGTTCAACAGGCCAAGTTGGCATCTTTTTGCTTCCCGCAAGACTCCCATCATCCACAGTTCCTCCGCCAGAACTCCCTTCGTGTCGCCCTCTGCGCATCTGCCTGCTTCATCTACACCCTGCGCTTTTTAAATTTGAAAGCCTCATTTCTCGATATTCAAAAACGGTCCTCGCTCATGGTCGCTCTGAATCCCCGGTGACGCTCCCGCGCGAGCCCCCCCTCTCCCCCTCATACGACGACGTCTGCGACTTTTCACGATAAACAATTACCGAACCTCACGGCGGCGATACCCTAATTCATGAGTGTTGCCGAGCTGGCCAGTCTTGGCCTGGGCTTGCTGCGTATGTCCTCGGCTGCTGCGTCAGTCCCACGCGACAGCTTGATGGCCGAATGCTGACATTTTCCCCTGCAGGCCGGGCCGACGAAGATGGCGACACTGGAGGTTCGAATACCCTCCCCCCGCGCGACAGGCGCATGCGCGACTCAATGCCGAACCGGTTCCATTATCCCTTTCGAGGCACGTTGCTAACTCATTCCAGAGGAGGACTCGGCGCAAAAGGAATTTTTCGCAGCCTGGGCCATTTTCATTTGCATCCTGCTGCTCATCATCACCTTCTTCGTCAGCTACATACTCCAAATGAAAAAGGTCACGGCCATTCATGAGACGGTTATATCGATTTTCGCTGGTACAAGCTACCCAATTGCTCTCCTTAACACTCAGGAAGCCATTTCTAACAGTAGCTAGGCATGGTTGTCGGCCTCGTCCTTCTCATCACATCTGGCGACTCGATTCGATCACCCCTCAACTTTGACTACCAAATCTTTTTCAATCTTCTCTTGCCGCCCATTATTCTATCCTCTGGCTACGAACTACACCAAGCCAACTTCTTCCGAAATATTGGCACTATTTTGACCTTTGCCTTTGCCGGCACCTTTCTGTCGGCCGTCGTCATTGGTCTGATTCTATGGCTCTACTCGCAGATTCCCGGTTCTATTAACATGACCTTTGTCGACGCCATCTCTGTCGGAGCCACCCTATCTGCCACCGATCCTGTCACCATCCTCGCCATTTTCAACGCCTACAAGGTCGACCCTAAGCTCTACACCATCATCTTTGGCGAGTCTATTCTCAACGATGCCATTGCCATTGTCATTTTTGAGACGGCTCAGAGATACAAAAAGGGCGAGGCTACCAGCCACGGAATAATCAGCTTCTTCGAAGGAACTGGCATCTTCTTACTGATTTTCTTTGGTTCCTTGATGATTGGTGTCATTGCTGGTGTCGGCACCGCGCTGCTGCTCAAGTTTACCTACGTCCGTCGCTTCCCTAAAACTGAGAGCTGCGTCATTATTCTGATTGCCTACGGAACATACTTCTTCTCTCACGGCGTTCATCTCTCTGGTAGAAGACCCAAACCATGTGATTCACTTCTCTTACTGACCCGTCCCAGGTATCGTGTCGCTTCTGTTCTGCGGCATCACGCTCAAGCACTACGCCTACTTCAACATGTCGCGACGCACACAACTCACCACCAAGTTCATCTTCCAGGTCATGTCGCAGCTTGTTGAAAACTTCATCTTCATCTACCTCGGCCTTGCGCTCTTTACGGAAAGCGCTCTCCAGTTCCAGCCGCCGCTTATCATCGTCACAGTCTGCGCCGTCTGCGCTGCCCGATGGGTCGCCGTCTTCCCCTTGTCCAGGATCATCAACGCCGTTATTCGCTATCGTGCGAGACGTCGCGGCCTTGAAGTCCGAGACGAGCTACCGTACAACTACCAGGCCATGCTCTTCTGGGCCGGTCTTCGCGGCGCCGTCGGCGTCGCTCTCGCCGCCCTCCTTACTGGCGAGAACGCCCTAGCCCTGCGCGCCACCGTGCTGGTAGTCGTAGTGCTCACCGTCATCATCTTTGGCGGCACCACGGCCCGCATGCTCGAGATTCTGGGTATCCGCACCGGCGTCGTCGAAGAAATCGACAGCGACGACGAGTTCGACATTGAGACGTCGTTTGGCGCCAGCCTCCATAACAAGCGCTCCAGCTTTGGCGGCCGCCGCAACGGCAATGTGGCCCTCTCCAACCTCGAGCGCGAGGGCCGCGGCGAAGCCGCCTTTGTGTCGAGCCACTCCTCGCCGCACATTGACGGCAGCGGCCGCGCGCGCAGCATCAGCCGCAAAAACTCGAACCGCGGCGGCGGCGACCTCGCCAACCCCGACGACTTTGAGCGCGCCAATCTCCTCGGTCGCGGTGATGAGTCGGACCTCGGCAGCGACATTGACACATCCGACCTGCCGCCTCCCGCGCGCCGCACCGGCGTCGGTAGCTCCTCCGCCTTCACGCCGCCTCATGCTCCGAGCGCCTTCATGAGCCCCGCCGAGCCCGCATCCGAGCCCCTGACCGCTAGAGGCGCCATCAGGCAGCTGCTCACCAGCGAGGACCCGGCAAGCCTATTCCGCCAGCTCGACGAGGACTATATCAAGCCCCACCTACTACTGCATGACGATGGAGGCAGACCTCGATCCGGAAACGGAGGAGGTGGAAGTGCAGTGTAATGATCTGATTTAAAGTTTCTTTCTTCTTCTTAGGGCTTTTTTGTGACGTGAAAATTGGGAAACGCGGGTTTTATAAAAAGAGACATAAATGGGAAAGGGACATGGCATATATTATATACACTATTTTCCTGGAATTGTGTGTATGAACGCACGAGTTAATGCTGTTTCTTGTTAGCCGCTAGTATTGAATGCGCAGGCTGTTAATTTGCAATTAGACGTTTTTTTATACAAGTACAATGTCGTTGACCTTGAGTACCATGTATGCAGACAACATCCATTGTTGAAAAGTTGCATGTTAGCAGTCCACTCAGTTGCACTGTATTCCAATCTCATGCTTCTTGCCACCAACCTAGTCTCCAAAACCTGGCATTTTCCGCACTGCTTTACGGTTCATCATCACAGGGCAGCAAGATATCAAGCTTTGGGAAGTAATAGTGGTAGTGTTTTTTTAAACGTCTTCATCGTCCTTTGCTCGACTAGTTCCCCTCAACTGGCGAGTCAAAGTTTCTTCTTCTTGGTGTCTTTTATTGCGACTCTCTCCTCTCTCCTCTCTCAACTTCTCCCTCCTTCCGATATGCTATGTACAAGAAGCCTCCATACAATAAAAGGAGTAAGAATCGTAATGTCCCAAAAAAATACCACCGAGACGCCTAGAGAAAATAACCGCTCGCTGGGTTCTCCCTTTCCCTTGCGCTCGTTTGCCGTCAGAAAAAAAGCTAATCACACAAATCAAAAATCATCTAGCCGCTTCTCTGCTCTTTGGAAAGAAAGAAGAGGATTGAGACATCGCCAGCAGGCATCGTACTCATACCTGTCCCAGCCACGTTTGCACAAAACTCCCTTCCAAGATCAATCCCGAAAAATAAAAGGGCCAAAGTACTCCAGGTTCTAAACAATGCAAGAATACAAAGCCCTGCCGCCAATGCCAGAACAGCAACGAGAAGACATAGATACGAATCGCAACGAGCGATGCGCCTGTCGTGCAACGTTCCGTAATAACTTGGCCCGCCCAGTGCGAAGTGTTGGAATCAAAGCTCAAGCCCCCTCGGCGTGTCTTGCTCATCTGCTCGTTGAGGATGGCGTTGCACTGCCGCTAGATTGACGCTGGTGAGCAGCCTGTGGACCCGGACTACCAGCAGCGTTGTTTCCATTCAGCTGTGTTCCTTGAACCTGTTGTTGCGGTTGCTGCTGTGGCTGTGGCTGTGGCGCTTGTTGACCTGGCTGGCCCTGCTGGCCGTTTGGTTGATGTTGCTGCTGCTGCTGCCTTTGCTGCGCGGCGGCCGCTGCTGCAGCTTGCTGCTGCTGTTGTTGTCGAAGCAAAGCAGCGTACTGGTGAGGGCTCGTCGTAGCAGCGATACTATTTGCGAAATGAGGTTGGCTGTTTACACCTGCGGCAGCGGCCAGAGCTGACTGTCGCTGAGCCATCATGGCCCGAGTGAGATGTTCTGTGGCAAGCTGTCGAGACTGTTCGGGGGTCAAGCTAGGGTTCTTTGCCCGAAATTGGGCCTCAAGTTGATTGAGCTGCAAAGCAATATTGGGCGGCAACTGCGTCGGCATCCGCGTACCAGGAGAGCCGTTGACAACACCATTTTGCACGGGGACGCCACTTGCAGCACCTCCATTGCGGTTAGCATTGTTGACGTTCTGAACAGGCATCATAGCTTGAGCAGGCATCATCGCTTGAGCAGGCATCATAGATGGAGTACCATTCATAAAAGTTTGCTGATTGATGCCGTTCACACCGTTGTGCATCGGTGGTGAGCCCTGTCCATTTTGCTGAACAGCCGAGTTGGGACGTTGTTGTTGGTGGTGAACCTGTTGTTGCTGCTGTATTTGCACAGCTGCACGCTGTTGATTGGATATCTGCTGCGCTCGCAACATGAGGCTTGCATCGGCTTGCTGGTTAGGCATCGGCGACATTCTGTGCTGCTGAGCTTGTGCTTGCAGGGCTGCTTGCAGTTGGGCCGTTGGAATACCCTTCATTTGCGCAGCTGCAGCAACCATGGCGGGGCTCATCTGCGACGGTAGGCTCGGAGTAGCTTGAGGGGCGCCATTAACACCTGCTGACGGCATGCTTGGACGTTGACCGGCAGCTGCGGCGGCAGCGGCCGCCACCATGTGCGGTAGAACCTCGGCACGCTGGGCACCGGCTTGAGCCTGTGCAGCGCCTTGGTTTGACTGGCTGCCCTGAGCGGCTCCTGCCATTTGAGCGGCTTGGCTTTGTGCTCTGGCTTGCATTTGCGCTCTTCGTTGCGCATCTTGGCGAGCGGCATACTGTGCCATCTTCTCGGCTAGGGCTTGATCGCGCTCGTATCTCAGTAAACTGTAATCTCTTGGCGTTTTCGTTGGTCGCTGCGGAGCTGGCTCTGCAGCCTTCTTGACCGCATTCTGCGAGGCTGTGTGCTGTTGCTTCTGCTGAGCCGTCTCTCGTTTCTTCGCGAGCTTCCTCATGGCATCGATCAAAGTCAGGTGCTTCTGGTTCCTGCGTCGTTCGACTCTGACAGGGACGGAAGGTCTTCTGCGAAGAGCAGGCATATTGCCGCCGGCAGCGCTGGCTTGCTGGGCCGCGATCTGATTCTGCTGAGCTATAATACGTTGGGCTGCTTCGATTCTGGTGTTGTAAGCTTTGAAATATTGCGTCTTTTGCATGTCAGCTGGTAGTCCCTCTAGGTTGATCCATCGCTCAAAGCACTCCCATGGGGTGCGTCGCTCCGGGCCGGAGACAAAGGAGGATTTTGTCGAGAGCATGCTCGAGATCAGGGACCAGTTGTATGAGTATTCGCGCACGAGGCCTCTGAGCTCATCATCTTCAGCTACTGTCCACTGTGACGCGCTGCGACACTCGTAGAAAGATTGCATAGGCATAGGATGTTCCGATGGAGGTCGAAATTGGTGGCCAGCATGCAACCGATCTCGGATAGGCTTCGACTCGGGATTGAACAGGGCGACATTGCTGGTGATGGCGTCGCTTTTGGCGTTGTTGGTTGTGTGGTCGGCGACAAAGGTACTGTCACCTTCGTCGTCCGAGTCTTCATTTCGATGGTCGAATCGGCCGCGTTTGCGCGGAGGGCCTTTGCAAGTAACATTCATCTCACCTTCGACGTATTTGCTCAGAGGTAGAGCTGGTCGCCGCCAGTGAGCATCAGGGTCGAAATCCGGGCTTACAAGGTCGGTTTGAGGAATCTTGAGAGGATTGCCGAATAGAGGCAATTCTTCCAAGAGCTGATCGGCAGCTTGAGTGCGTCGAAGACCGAATACGACGTCATCCTCTTGTAATGAGAAAATGGCCGACGGCGCGACAGTCTCGACGAACACTTCGGAGATGTCGTCGTGTAGAGGTGAATCAGCGTTGCCCGAGGGCTCTAAATCAGGCGTGGGGTGGTTCTCAGCCCCGGCCAACCCTTCGCCGCCCATTTCCGTATCGTGCACATCAGTGCAAACCTTGGAAGGAATACGCGCAATAACCTGAAGGGCGAGTCGGTCTTCTGCATTTGATTCGTGCCATTCGACACATGCGTAGGCCAAATTCCGGGCTACCGCCATCTTCCATTTGCGCTCCTCTCTGAAATCCGTTCTCATCCATTTCATCTCTTGAAGCATCACATCCCATTGCGAACTAGGTCGTATCGGCTCCGGGCAACGCTTGGGCTGTCGCAAAGACCACTTGTCATGCTGCTGCAGATGATACACCCTACGTAGCACCTTGCAGGCTTGATTATCCAGGATTGCGAGGTTAGCATCGGAAGTGCCAATCGTCTTGTTGGCGTGGAACAGAATTTTCTCGATGGGCTGCATCCAGTTGGTTGCGCCGGTAAAGTTTTGTATAAAGAGCGGAGTGTAATAGTCGTCGAAGGGGTGAAACTGTTCCTTTTGACCTGAGGCGATGGTCTTGTCATCGACACGCTTAGGCTGCTTCCCGAATAAAACCTTAGACACTTGCCCCTTGCTGCGGTCCTTTCGTGATTTCGGTCTCGCTGCTGGTGATTCTGGTACAGAAGCGGATGGCGTGAGTCGATCGTGTAGGTCCTTTGGCGTGCCGCGATCGGTGATTGAACGAGGGGTAGCGCCGACGATTTCGTTGACCGACTTTAATCTCATGGCTCCCGAAGAGACTCTGGTGACGGCACGCTCTACAGGCACGCTTTCTCTTGTTGGTTGAGGTGTAAGTAGAGGTGTCTGTTTGACATTAATGGAAGTCTGGCCCGTTTCAGGGACATCGACATCCATCTTATCCGCTTCGTCTTGGCTGTCAGGAACTTCGGTGGTGGGAGGTAGCGTGGTGCCAGTTTGCGGTACTGGAGTTGGGGGAGTTATTGATGGCGCTTCATCTTCCGAGCCAGACGCAGCAGCAGATCGTATAGACTCCTGCAGTAGCTGATCTTCGTCGGACATTGGTGTCTTCTGACTGGCAGCATTGTCTTTTGTGTCTGGTTTCGGCTCAGCTTGCACAGGTAGTTGTACATTTTCGGGGGATCGAGGGCCTTCGTGGTCTGGGCTGGTGTTGGCAGAGATGTCGTGAGCCGCAGTAGTCGTCGCACTGGCAGCTGTTGATTCCGGAGAAGACAGGGCATCAGTAACTTTTGCCGCATCTTGGGGCAACTTGATGCTCAACGAACCATCACTCGGGGGGGCAGTTAAGGAAACTCCATTAACGACTGGCGTTGGTGATAAGGAAGGCGATCCTTTGGTGCCAGGAGGGAACGAAACTTGGGTTGGTCGTCTCGAGACATTGGCAGGTCTATCCGGTTGCTTCTGAGCACGTGCAGCAATCGCTGACGTAGAAGGCTGGGTCGGGATAGCAGGCTTAGATGCATGATGGGTGTTGGCCGGGCTCTTTACGCCAGGTGTTGATCGCGCCGAGGTTGTCGAATTCGACGTTCCGGGAGTCGTGACAACTGGCGAATTAGCCCGGGAACTTGCAGCAGCAAGCTGAGCATTAATAGACCTTTTCAAGGCTTCGACGGATTGCGCTGGTCGCGGTGGAATACTTCCTTCATCGAAGATTCTGTCTCTGTGGCATGGTCAGTATGGGGGGTAATATTACAGTGGATGCTTCAGTGGGCATTGCAGTAGAGGCAGCAGAGGCGGATGAATAAAAAATCAACCAAAGCCTCAAAGCAATCACAAAAACGCTCAAAAAAAATATAGCGAGGCGGAGCAACATACTGCAAAATATCATTCGTCTGCAAGAATTGCCACTCGGCGCTGGTGGCAGCGGGCGCGTCGGGCAGCGCATAGGCTTGCTGTGGCAGAGGCTGAGTCTGGGTCGCGACCGCGAAGAGTTCGCGAAGCTTCCTCTTGCGCGAAGTTACAATTGCACTTTGGAAGGTTAGCAAAAGAAAAATACCATCATTTTCATCGGAAGAATTGGGCGCATGTCACAGTGGGAAACTTACTGGCACTCATTGCGCTTGGATTGAAGCAGCCGCGATAAATCGGCGTGCCCGACCTCAGTCATAGCATCTGCTGTCGCAACATCCGTTTGCGAGCGAAACGGATGCTGCCTTGGTAAAAAAGAGGATTGTGCGAGATGAAAAGGGACGTCCGAGGCGATGAAAATCGTGGTTGTGGACGCCGCGTCGACAGATTTCTCTTTGCTGTCGTGTCGTCTCGTAACCTCCAAAGTGTTGGCCGGCTGGGAAGGGGGGGCGTACAAAATTTTCGTCCAGACAGCGGTTACTTGGGTTTTGGCGGTTGAGGGAGTTTGCTAGGCTTGGGCCGTTTTAGCGCCTTTTCTTAGGGGCGCAAAGAGGTGCAGCGATAATCAGAAGGTAAAGTAGGTGGCTGACTGTGAGGATGGATTGATGCGCACTGTAATAAAGGACTTACTGGTAACACATTTACGTGAATATTTTGCCTTGTTGGCGCTAGTGAGTACCTGGTGGCGAGAAAGGGGCTGGTGTGACGACAACGTGCTTAACACTCATATCGCACAGTGCTCCGCCACTGCGCGCATTCCCCATCCCCCCCGCAAGCGGGTTAATTGATGATATAAACTTCCTGCTGAAGTTAGGTAGGTAGGTAGCGCCTACTCACTTCAGCGCCATTTCACCGCGTTCGCACGCTAATAAGTACTGTGCCACCATGCTGGAATCCGTGTAATTGCGGTCGCAACCAGAGGTACGGCATAGTTAGATAGGTAGGTACCTAAATCTGCGCAACAACATATTTTGTTCTTGCATTTTTCGTTTGGCTATATATTCTCAACTGTTTTTATTCTACTTTTCTTCAAATTTTCCTTTTCGTCGATCCAGATCATGCCCTCAACTATGCCCCGCATATCATGACGTCTCTATTGCTGGTGGCTCAAGTTCCATCCCACCGGGCTACTCGCCATGGCGTACACTATAATTGATTATTCTCGACTAGATTTTGCGCCGCTCAAATCAATTGCAAACACACAAAACTCGTTCTCATCTGGGTGTAGCACTTGCTGTGCAGTCATGGGCAACTACGAATACTAAACCCACCAAAAGGCGGGCTGAAACCTTGACAGCGAGTGAGACGAGATAAGGGACACGAAAAAAGGGCCGTCCGATTTCGATAGGTAAACAAGTAATACAACCCCAGCACATGCGGAATCTCAGAACCCAAGCTACGACTCTGCTGCATTGCACTCAATAATGTATTGCACTGGCACTCCAGCATCGAGCAACATCACGACTAAGTTTCAGGCGACACCACCGGCGCTCGACAGTTGATGCGGCGGGTCTACTGGGAGTCGTCTGATATGCAATGATTATGTAAAAGAATGATAACAAGATTGCCGATTGCCGAGGAGTTTACATCTTCTCTCCATACTTAAGCAGAGGCGCAGATAGTCTCTTCTTTGCTTATGCACATTTTATTATGATGCAGCAAGTCTTTAGGCAAGCAGCGGGCGAGAAGGACGATGGTTCGAATACATTGGATCCGTGCCCACAATGATTAGGTTATTGACGTTCAGCTTTACCAAAGTGGTAGATAGTTTAGGCTTCACACCGAGCTTTTGGCAAAGGCAAAGAAGGCCGAAACAAGGGTCCATCTGTATCATTAGTTGGTATACGTGTGCAACAACAGGATTTAGGCTGCAAGTATGCTTGTTTAGGAAAAGAAAAAAAGAGTCGCAGTATGGTATGGTTTCCAGAGCAAGCTCATGAACAGCAAGAGCAACAACCTCATCTGGCTTCATTTCTCTAATCAACGTATCGAATAAGGCCGCAGGAGTAGAATAGTGACACTTGCTGTCAAGCTCTCATTGCCTCTGATCAAGGTTGTGGAGTTGGCAAATGTCCTGATCTGGTCGGCAAGAAAGTCGTTTCATGGCATGAGGGATGAGTAGTAGTCAGTCTTTCACCATAAGAATTCTTTCTGTCCGTCATTCTACTTACATGGGACGACATCGTGGATTTTCGGTGCGGCTTACAGTATGTAGAAGCTCTGACTCGGTCGCCAATCATTGTAAGCGTCGACGAGTCGATTGCCAACCCCAGATGACCCATTAACTACCTTACTATGAAGGAGCAGAGGGCTGAGTATGTAACACCGGCAAACAATAGCGGCGGGAAAAAGAGAACAAAGAAGTAAAAAATATAGCAAATGCATAGCGACCCTAGAGCCAAGGTTACCTACCAGAAGAGGCGCGGCGTGTTGAGGTGGAGCATCCGTGTTGGACACTCTCCGGAGGAAAGTCTGATAATAACATCTTGCGACCTAGTAGTCATTGAGGTCCATATACAGCGAGATAAGAGAGCCTCGAGAAATTCCTGCCTGCAGGAAAGTTGGGTGGCTAGTTATTTGGCTTAAGAGGCTTCATTTGCTGTGGGCCGCCGAGCCTTTAACTGCGAATAATCTGCTGGTAATATCACTCTATCAGAAGAAGTGTGAGTAATGTAGGCTCCGAATATAATTACGAATTCAAGTTTGCAGCCTGGAAATCAGGAACCTACTGTAAACCTGTCGACACCCTAATCGGCAGCGCCTTTTCAGCCCGGCCACGGCGACCGTCCAGGCGGAGACCCATAGAAAAATAAATTCAAGATGGCGCATTGCTCTCTGCTCGACACAACCACAACCACAACCTCCTCAGCGCGCACCATGGCCGACGACAGCAAAGGCAGCCGCATCGCCATTAAATTCGGCGCCCCGTCATCCTCCGCTTCCCACTCCTCCAAGTCCAAGCCCAAGCCGACTCCCGCCTCCTCTCTCGGCAAGCGGCCACGCACCCATGCCTTTGGCGGCGGCGGCGACTCTGATGACGACGACGACAAAAAGCGCGGCCAGCACGAAGCCATTACCGGCTTTGGCGTCAATGGTGCCGAGACGGAGCGCTCTAAGAGCAAAGAGGAGGCGAAGAAGAAGGAGTACGTGATTGCGCGGCAGCCCAACCGCGACTGGCGCGACGAGATACGGGAGCAGCGCGGCGCGCGGCGCAGCAAGAACTTATTACCGGCCGAAGCACGCGCAGCGGCAGCGCAAAATGGAGTAGCAGGGAGCAGTATGGACACGGCACCGGCGGATCAAGACTCGGGAATACAATGGGGCCTAACGGTCAAGGAGAAGAAGCCAGCCGATACGGAAGCGTCGAGTGCAGTCGCAGCCGATGACAACGATAATGATGATAAGGACACGCCAAAGCAAGCTGAGCCTGCGCCACCACCTCCGCCCCAATCCGCCGACGACGAGGCCATGGACGCGCTCCTCGGCAAGCGTCCCGCCAAGGACACGCCCAAAGTCATCGTCACCGAAGACGACGCCTACACGCGGGACGTGTCCGCCGCGGGCGCCACCTCCACACTCGCCGACTACGACGCCATGCCCGTAGAGGAATTCGGCGCCGCGCTTCTCCGCGGGATGGGCTGGAACGGCGAACTCTCGTCGACGTCGAAATCCAACAAGGCGCGGATGCCGCAGCGACGCCAGAACCGGCTTGGCCTCGGCGCGAAAGCACTCAACGAGGCCGAGGATCTCGGCGGCTGGAACCAAAAGGGTCCGGGGGCGGCGGGAAAGAAGAGGCCGCCGAAGCTGGCGGATTACAGAAGGGAAGAGGAGAGGAAGAGGGAGAGCCGCGGTGATGGTGGTGGTGGTGGTAGTGGGCGGGGGGAGAGCTATAAGCGGGAGAGGGAGAGGGAGAGGGAGGAGCGGCGCAGAGGGGATGGAGAGCGCGAGCGTGGAGGGCATAGACATGGAGACTGGGATAGGGAGAGGGAGAGGGAGCGTCATCGTGGGTATGATCGAGACCGCAGACGGTAATGTAGACGGATATGATGCATTCTTTGGCGTTGGGGCTTTTACGACAGCACACATTAGATACCAAAAGGTACAAGATATTAAATGCAATTCTTTCCCTTCATTTCATAATCGTTAAATTGGCAGCATGTGCTCTCGTGTATCATGACGCAGCCATGTCTTGTTTTGTACATTGCTTTTCCACCTACTGCACCCAACCATCCATCCATTCATCTGTTCGTCCATCCGTCCTGCTTCTAATGCAGTGCCACTCTACCCAGCGTATCCGTCAACAGGTCCAGCGACCCCAATGCCTGCGCGGCCTCTCCCTCCTGCACCGCGTCCGCCTCGCGCAGCACACCCGCCATGTGCAGCAGGGGTTCCACGTACCTGTGCTCGACCGCCGCCGCCATGCCCGCGGGTGCCATGTCTCTGTACGTGTCCCCAAAGATGAATACGGCAAAGTTGGCCACCTGCAGCTGAAACGGCCAGGCCTGCGCCCAAAACTCGAGCAGCGCGGGCGCATCCTGCGCCTCGTCCTGTAGGTGCGTTAGGTCTGGGAACAGCGCGTACTGGAGCTTCTCGAGGCCGTCTGCCGTCGCAAACACGCTCCTCTCCGCTGCTGCTTTTCCGCGTCTGGCGGCGATGATCTCGTCCTTGACCCAGGACACGGCGCAGGACTGCAGCGACGCAAACATGCAGTTCTCGAGCAAGTCCTCGAGGATGGCAAGGCGCGCGTCTTCCGGTGCGGCGTGCAGCACGTGCCCGGCGAGGGTGATGGCGGCTTGCCGCACGCGCGGGTTGGAGTGGAAGACGGCTAGGAGCGTCAAAAGGTGGTGGTGGGACATGAAGTCGGGTTGCGTGTCGGCGCCGGGCGCAACGAGCCGAGACTGCGTGTGCAGCCAGATGCCGATGACAAGGAGCGCTTCGACGACACCCGGGTGGTTGGTGACCTGGTCCTGCGGGGAATCGCCGAGAGAGGCCGTGAGCAGGGCGTGATGGTGCGGAAATAGGTACAGCTCGGGGATGGGGTGCTGTGCGTCAAATAGGTCCGTCGCGAACATCCAGTAGGCGACAAGCGCGGCCAGGCCGCCCGTCGCAAAGGGCATGGCCTCGGGCTTGTCGCTGTCGAGTTCTCCAGACAGCGGATCGGTGCAGATTTGCGACGCGGTAAACGCTTCCTTGATTGTCTCTGCCGGGAGCTTTGAGAGTCCTAGATCGCCTGCCAGGGACTACATTCAATATGCCAAAGGCGTCAGTCAATTGCGCGCGGTTCTCAAACGCCCTCGTCCGACCACTTACCACTAACTGGCCAATCAGACTATCCCTCGCCTGCAGCTCATCCACGTCCTTGAACGCCTGCATCTGCGTCACACGCCCGACCACGATCCGCTCCGGATACGTGTACTCGAGCAACCTTGCTGGCCACTCGAGCGCGTTGGCGTCGACAAACGCCTCGAGCGCGCACGTCGCAAACACCTGCAGCAGGCGCCGCACGCGCGCCGGCTCGCCCGCCTCGCTGCTGCCCTCGCTGCCCTCGGGATCTGGTGCGCTGCGGCGCGCGTCGTCCGTCTCAAACGACAGCGTCCGCGGCGGCGGAGCGACGGCGATGCTCGACTTGCGTGTCGGTAGCGGCGGCCGCTTTTGTCCAGACAGCGACCGCACGAGCGCAATCACGGCGGCCGTGGCCTCGGGTTGGGAGGCATCGTAGCTGCGGTACACGGTATCCAGCGTCGTGTGCAGGAACCGCGAGGGGGCGCTTACTTTCAAGCGGTTGTGCAGGACGGCGAGCATGCTGCAGAGGGTGACAAACTGCTGTGTGGTCGACACCTTGTTACTTTCGTCGACCTTCTTCTTCTGTTCGTCTTTTGCTTCTTTCTCCCTATCGTCAGCACTCCCCTCTTCTTGCGCTTCCGCGGCCCCCTTTTCCATCACCTCGAGCACCTTGAGAATCACCTCGCGCGGGTTGCCTAGGTGCGCGACCCGCTCCAGGCAGGCCTCGCTGCCGGGCACCGCAATCAGCATTTCGACCAGGTCCCAGCCAATCTCACTCGTCAGCGCCACGTCTTCGTCGAGGATGTCGTGCAAAGCCGGCAGAAGAGCGGGCGTCAGCGACATTTCAATGACGGTGAGGTAGGTTGCGGTGTCTGTGGCGGGGGGCTTGCTCTCGCGCAAGCGCTTGACGGCGTCATCATTCGTTGTCGTCGCCATGGCGCGGCACTTGAAGCTATATTTGATGTGTAATGACTAGAATTAGTTGGCGAGAGTTGGTGGCTTGCTGATGAAGCTGATGAAACTTGCAATCAACAACGGCATGTGAAACAGAGCCAAGTAATGGCATTTGCAACATTTACAAGCTTCGAAGGTGGTGGCGGGGTGCTCCCCTCATGCCCCGCTTTAGCCATCTCGAGACAACAAGCTCAAAAGTGGTTACGCAACCTCAAGCCACTTTCATCTACTTTTTTATCCGAGACGTCCTCTCAAACTCGTATTACACTACTCGAGATCCACTGTATCTCAATGTGATGCACCGTCGATGCCTATCGGTGCCTGTCTAGATGCTGCGCAACGTGGCTATGCTGCAAGATCGATTACTACCCTGCAAAGTAACTCCTGCAGCGGCCAAAGGCTGAATCGGGAGAATATTTCGTCACATGTTCAAGTTCCTTAACGTCTTTTAATTTTCGATTTTTTTGGTATATGTAGTACAATGGTGAGGATATTGGTAGAGTACAAGAACTGCGCCAGGCGGATAGAATACCGTCATAGATAATCATACAAAGCCAATTCGCCATATAATCGTATAGAAAGGTGCAACAATAACGCCAAAAGGAAAGACACAGCATCCGAGAAGAACAATAAAAAATGGTCGTCATGCCCCATGTAGTAATAACAATTCAAACTCTCCAACTCGGACGGGAGCCTTTGGTCGAGTTTTTGGCCCACGTCCACTTGCCCTTAGCGTCGAGCTTATTGCGGTATGAGTTGCTCATGGCCTCGGCCACTGATATAGGCTCGTCCATGGGGATGAGCTGCGGCTGTGCGCGGTACGGCAGCACCGACTTGAGAGAACGCTTGCTCACTGGCTTCTCCTTTGGCGCCTCATCTTTGCGAAGCTCCTTGATGATGTCGCGCAGCTCGGTATCGTCGCTGACAATCTGAGCCTTGAGAAACGGCGCGCTATCACCTGCGGCCTCCTGAATAGCCTGCATCACCGGCACGCGAGGCGTGTACGCGATGCCGTCGAGCTTGGGCGCATAGGTGCTGTCGGGCACAATCGCCGGATCTAGACGGGCGGCGTCGCCCTTGCTCAGAAGGGTGTTGATGTCGAGGCTCTCTCCGGGCGGAATGGCGTTAGGGTGGCTTGGTGTGATGCACTCCATGTCGACTTCCTTGCGGAGGACGTGGTCAATGTCAATGGCGGAAAAGTAAGCGCACGACTGCGGCAAGTCATTAATGCCGACTTGCTGAGAAAAGATGGCGCGTGTCCACACATTGGCGACTTGCAGAGCCATGGCGGCGCGATATTTGTCTTCGTTCTTGACGAGATAGCGAATTTCGTCATGAACGGTAATAGCGAGACGGGCGTCAATGTTAAAGCGGCGAGCCAAATAGTCCATCGAAACTATCAGAAGGTGCAAATAGTCAACGCCCGAGGATTGGATAGCCCAGTTGATGCGCGAGGTCAGATAACCACCCTTGCTGACGAAGCGACCCATGAGGGCTTCTGTAATGCCAGCACCGAGTACGGGGGTACGGGGTCTCTCCTGCTCGGCAAACTCTTCCAGTTTATTGAAGACGAAAGATTCAGTACCGCCGCGCCAGAACGGCCGCTTATAGATCGTCTTGCGGTTTGTCTTGGTCCCCTTGGTGCTAGCGTACAGTTTGGAAGCTGTTTCCATAGTTTGCTTCTCGGACAGTTCAGGGTTGAACTGACGAAGCAGTGTAGCGGCGAATTTCAGGCCAGCACCGTAAATGCGACCATAGTTGAAAACCTTGGCGTCATTTCTGGTGATGCCGAGAATCGAGGCAGTGCGAGAATGCAAGTCGGTTCCGGCTGCCTTGGTGCCTTCAAGCGTCATGAAACCGACAGCATTGCCTCCATGAAGCTTAAAGGTGGCGTCACCAATGAGGCTGGCAATCCACAGTTCTTGCGAGTCCACATCTGCACCAACAAAGCTGTAGCCTTCGGGGGCTCTCACCATGGCCTTGAGTTCGGAGCCGACCCGGTTCTTCTTGGCATTACTGGCAGTAAGCCATGTGTTTTCGACAGCTCGTCTCGTGATGGTTCCCATGGGAATAATTTGCGGCAGGATAAAGCCGAGACCATCAGCAGATTCTGGAGCCTTGCTGGAATTGGGTAGGTCTTGGTTCTTGACGACCATTTGCGACATGATTCTGTCGCGAGCGCTGATCCAGTACGAGCAAGAGGCATTCATTTCAAGGGCTTCCTTGGCGTATGAGTATTCCGAAGATAGGGTTCCATTCTCGAAATAGGAAAGATAGCCCTTGGCCATAGGGTTGGCGCAGCGTGCGGTAGGGCCATCCTTGTGCGGAAGTTTAAAATAAACGTGCTGTCTGTCGTCGCGCAGCGTAGCGTCGGCTTCTTCAAATTGGCACTGCAGCATTTGCTTGCCCATGTATTTCTGTGTATTAGAACGGTCCGTCTGAAAAGTCCAGCCGTACTTATCGGACCAAACGAGAGGGTTGCCATCCCAAGCCAGTCTTAGCAGTAGCGGGGCAATCCGAGTCCGTACTGTGATGCTGATGGGAGCATCATTCTTCTGAAACAGATCCTTGTACCACTGCGGGCAGCCGGGCTTCTTCTGGCGGGCAGCAGGCCTAGGCGGATCACCCTTCTTCTTGCCCTTGACCATGCGAACTTCCTGACCGGACCAGTCGAGCTGCTTCATCCACGGATCATTTTGCCATTTTTCAGGATCGTCTTTGATTTCAAGAGCTTTGTCCGTCAAGGCAACAAGACGCTCTTGAACAGCGTCGGAAAGCCTGTGATAGGTGGCTTCAGTGTTGGCAATGTAGGCGTCCCAGGACTTGTTGACGGGGAGGATGACGGAAGAGAGATGACGAAGAGCAGCAAAGCTCACGGGGTGTGGACATGTGTCGAGAAAATTGGGAAAAACAATTTGATAGACGCGATGAGTGATGGCGACGTCGGCAGCACAGTAGTCGAGGAGGGCGTCAAGTTTGGCGAGAATCTCGGACCGGTTCAATTGACCAAAATCGTCACGGGCAGCCTTGTCAATAGTGACGTTGAGATGAAACTTGGCTACATCTCGCAGAGAGTTGACTGAGCTACGCTCGACCCAGAGCTCTTCCTCTTCATGCATGCTCCTGTTGCTCAAGAGCTCCGCGAGCTCGTTGTCGGGAGTCTGGCTTGCGACTCGTTCACGAAGCTCTCGATTCTTCTTGTGCTTCATCCAAGTTGGACGCTGCTGCGAGCACATGCCATTGACGGCAACGTGTAGTGACATTGTGTCCATGAAGAAATTCCTAGTCTGCTTGATGTTGTACTCTTCGAGGATACGGGCGCGATCGAAGCCAACGTTGTGACCGACGATGAGTCTTTCTTTGGCGGGATCGCCAAGGGGAATGAGATGTTTATCATTCTTGGTCTCGCCTAGCAGCCACGGAGATAGCCAAGCATACCAGGCTGTGGGACCTACAGCACAAGCCATGACAGCATATGGGCTCTCCTTCCACATAACTTCGGTGTCAAAACACAGGGCGGACTCGTCGGGTGTATCAACCTGTTGAGTGCGGCCGTCGGGGTAGTACTTGGTCCAGCCGCTGCGACGGACCCATTTGCGAGGCTTGGGAGGCGCATTGACGCGTGAGAATTGCTTGGATAGAGTGAGGTAGGGTTCGGCGCAGTCGAGACCCAGCTTATGGAAGTGCTCGTCGAGTGTGCGACCTTGGAGCTCCGGGAGATTGAATGCGATGGGAGCGGAGTCGTCGGTATTCTTGCCGAGGAGTTCATGGCGCTTGAGATGATCTTTGGATAATTCAACGAGATTTTGAGGCGGGGGAGTGGCGCCGTCGGGGAATATCTGGTTGAAAACATGTGTGCTAAGTTGCTGGACGCCGATTTCGTTGTATCGAGCAGTGGAGGGTACTGAATGCGATGGGTCAGTGGCAGCGCAAGGCAAAATACTGAACGATGTTGTATGGGCACGACATACGTGCTAGAGATGCATTGCTGTCTTTTTTGGCGTCGGTAGCTAGAGACGCAAGGTGTCGCGCAAAGGTGGTCGCGAACAAGTGGTGTGGCGCGCGGTGTCGCACGAGCGGCAGGTTGGCCAACGAGGCACGCTGGATGCGACCAGCGGCGGGATGAAAGGCGCGCATAGCTACGAATACGTCATGTCGACCACCATTGAAGCAGTATGACGAAGATGAGCACAAGCTGGAGGGGAAAGAGGATGGCGATGGCGATGGCGATGGCGGGGGAGAGACGGGAGCAGGCGTGGTGGTAATTGAAGGGGAAATTTTCTTGAGCGTAATTGGTCACTAATATTAGCGTTAGAAGAGCACAAGAGCTTGAGAGATTCGCCGCATTGGATAGTTAATATTTGCAGTCTAAAAGGGGATGTATCAGTGGGGTTACTGGCCCTGGGTGGACTCTGAGTGGCAAACTTTGCAGTAAGAAAAGGGTACAGTGGAGTCGGCACTCACTGGACCTGCAGCGCGGCGGAGCGGGCTACAATTACCGGACTTGGACAGGACAGAGCGGCCGCAGAGACAATGATGGTTATCATAAAGAAGAACAGTCTGATGGTATGCAAAGTGACAATGCAAGGGTTTGCAGCAGTCTGTCGAGTTTCATTGTGTCTACTTGACGAATGACTATTTTCAAGTGGCGCCTGCATGGGCTCTGCATGTCAAAACAGGTGCCAAGTACGAAAGGCATAAAATATATAGCCATAGAGTGGATGTAGTAATTCGAAATTGAAATGAATATACCCTTTGGGCAGCAGCTGGAGCCTGACGCGGGATATTGCTTGTTCCTCCCTGTACGGCTGCGTTGCGCGCACTCAGCCTGGCGTTAACAAAACCGTGAGTGACGCTGAGACGGACCTATTGGCGTCGTGAGGCGTACAAGCTGATATTATGCGCAGCTGTGCGACGGCTCTTTGCCACGACTACGCCGTGTTGTTTTGAAGAAGACAGAGAAGAAGAATACAATCTGACTGAAAATTTCGTTTTTTCTTCTTGCCTGTATAACATCTGGTTCTTTGTCGACTGCTGTTTGGTAATTGCCACTAACTTTTCACAGAGACAGAAGCCAGCCGACGCTATTCCGAGTTGGCTTTAGCGCTACTGGAGCCTGTGACACCAGTCAGTCTGTGACCTGCTTTGCCTGCCAAATGCCTCGTTGACTGGCTGGACAACTGGCAATGTCAAGTACGGTCACGGTCAGGTAACTCCGAGCAGCCATCTCAGGTAACTTGGTGATATTTATTAGTTCGCCCTGGATTACTTCGGACCCACTGTACCTTGACGGTCCTGATTATTGACCAAAATCTCCCATATCGTTAACCGTTTTGCCGTTTTCACCCCATCTTCACCTTCTTCCCCCCACTGGGCCTCGAAACCCTCGCCCGAATCCTCTCACCTCTTCCCTCTTCCTCTCACAAACCCAGCTTCGGGGCGTCCGTCGCCATGAATTTCGGCTTCTCGAACTGTTTCTCGACGACAACTTTTATCCAGGCGTCCTAGGCAGCTTTCTGCCCTTGTCACATCGCGGGCTACCCGCCCACCCCACGTTCCCGAATCCCCATCATCACCACTCACGAAACTCCGGTCCCGCCGCACCAGGCTCCCAGGCACAACAAAAACCCCTCCGAACCCGCTATGTCACTCGCTTCTGCCTCACCGAGGAGAGCCTCACTCGACTCGGACGTAATTCATATAGCGACCTCGCCGCTACCCTCCTCGCCTCGCCCGCAAACCGCACGCAGCCGCCACCGCCATCAGGCCCTGCAACCGCCCGCCACCACCGCTGGCGCTTTGCCACCTGCCCGGTCCTCGTCGCCGCGACACCACGCCCACGTATCCTCGGCTGCCCTCAACAACACCACCAACAACAACGCGAGCCCGCCACGTCATATCAGTAACTATTTCTCTCCGTCGCCGTCGCCGTCTCGCCGCCTCCGCCACTCGCTCTCATCACAACACCGCCCGTTGCGTTCTGCCGCCAGCTCTGTGACGGGCAACAATCGTTTACGAGCGCAGCCTGCGGCTGCCGCGTCCTCCTACGACCAACATCTCATCGATGAGTTTCTACGCAACGAATTTTATTCAACAACCTCGCCATTTGCATCCTTCACGAACCCACCACCACCCTCTGATGACGACATTTACCGAGGCAACAGTTATACCGACCTGCATTCCCGAATCACCACCACCACCACCATCACCACCCAGAACAGTGACTGCATGGGCCGTGCAAACGACGCCGCGGCCGACGTGCCTGATTCTCCCTCTCAGCAGCTCCAAGCAGGCCCCTCGGCCAACACCACGCAAAATACCGACTTCTCCCTCAACGACGAGTCTCAATACTCGCCACTTTTCCCAGACCTACCGGACGATCAAGGCGTTACCGAAACGGCAGCGACCTCCTTCTCCGAAACCATGCCGGCAGCGACGACGACGCTGCGACGCGGACACTCGGACATTGTGCGGACGCCCAAGAGGCAGCGCGGGAATCTCCCAGCAGAGCGTCTTGTGCCACCACAAGAGCGCCCAAAACCACTTGGGCCCGACGAAGATTTGTTCGGCGATGTGCCGCCAGCGCCGACTGCTGTGGCCGAGGACGACGACTTTGACGAAGAAAACCTTACCACGATTGACCTGACGGAAGCCACCGGGGTGCTTCCGGAGCTCAGGGAGCCCATCGTCGACAACCGTATCAAAATCGCCGCGTTTCAGTGTGCTATTTGTATGGACGACGTCGCCGGTCTGACAGTTACATATTGCGGTAGGTTGCCTCTTCTTGCCTCTTCTTGCTGCCTCTCTTCTTTTCCAGATTTACTGATCGCTTCTCAGGACACCTCTTCTGTGCAGTATGTCTACACCAATCCCTAACAAACGTTGAGTCTCTCAAGGGTAGGTGCCCTATGTGCCGCTCCAAGATCGACACCAAGCTTCGCGGATCCTACACCAACAAGACCAAGGGTTTCTGGCCACTCGAGCTCAAGCTCATGACAAAGACGAGAAGAGGAAAGCGAAAAGCCGAAGACATTACAAAGTAGCCTCGACGCGCTTTTCACTTTCACTTTCTCGTTGCTTCTTGTTTGCTGTACACAAGAGTCCAGCATTGCTCAAGAAATTCATGTGGCGTATGGCTTTTTGACTGGTTTAGTCTACTTTTTTTTCGGTCAAAGTGATGATTATAGACTTGAACTTATTCGTTTTATTACAATGGCATGGTTGGGCGTTTTCAATTTGGCAGCACAAGGGAAGAGGCGATCACGCATCCGGCCTGTTTCGAGAATGGGCCTCGGCTGAGCATCATGGCAGGATATACCCCATCTATCTCATTCCTCCTTTTTTCTCTCGGAATCATTCGGTACCACTTGGGTTCTTGGCTTCATTACATGGGGTGTTACCGCATTCTCACTAGTAGAAGTAATCCCTCTTGTTCAAGGTATATAAGCTTTACTGTACATGTCCTAGAGAGGTAGCACAAATGCCCCGGCAGGCAGGCTTTTTCCCCAACGTGGCCCGATAAGTGACTTTTCTTGATGTATTGTCCTTTTGACCCAGAATTTATTTTGGTTCCTTGTTGGGTCCTTTGCTATTCTTGCTATTCTTTTTGTCTTTTGTTTCTATCCAACTGCAGACTCGGCTAACACATATTATATGAACACGATACAAGCAAAGCGATAACTGGCAACCGCCCAGAACCCACGCAAAATGTTCATTCTCCAAGGTACAGTCTCTTTATCAACCACTTCGTTTTGCTGTGAGATAAGACATGTTCATGCAGAAGAATAAATACGGGAAAAATCAATAAGTGTGAATTAATAAAAAATAACTCCCAATTCCCGTCTTCTTGTCAAGACTGTCTCTCTCTATCCAACACACTCGTGGCTTGCAACACCTCAATGGAATAGTTTGCGCGCAGTCTTTGGCTCTGGAATCGCCTCATTGTCAAACTACAAAGACAGATTAGCATCTTGAATTCTCTTCTCGTTACCTCTTCAAACAAGCAGCAGCTAGTACAGCTGCGCGGAGTTGAGACTCACCTCGATAAACCCCGTGGCGGCAATCACCACCATAAACGCGTCCGCCAGCTCCTCCACCTTTTCCTCGAGCGCCTCGCCGTCGCTCGCCCCATGCGCGCCGATGCCCGCGCTGCGCTTGAGCGTGTGCGCTACGAGCATGCGGTGCTCGTCGAGGAACTTGCGGCCCTGGGCGACGCTGTGGCTGCCGCGACTCAGCAGCGCGGCGCCGATGATGCGCACCACCCTGGCTAGAAGGTCGTAGTGCTGCTCGAGCGCGCGCCCGTTGTCCGCGCGTAGCTGCAGCTCCGGGTCGGCGGCGAAGAGGCCCGACTGCTCGACGACGCGCAAGATGCTGGCGTGGAGCACGTACTGCGCGCCGGCACGCGTCTGCGCCAGCTGCAGCAGCAGCGCCAGCTTGGCCTCGAGGTGGTTGCGTTGGTCCGTCCGGGAGCCGCCGGCGCTGCCCTGCGTAAATACGGCCTGCCAGTCCGTCATGATGCTGCGTAGCGTGTCCACCGTGATACCGATAAAGTTGAGACGGTTCAGCATGTCTACCACAGGGTCGTCGTCTTCCTGCCGGCCCACGCTAACGAGCGCGTTGAGCAGAATGTACGCTGCCGCCTGGCTGCTCGGCTCACCGCAAAAGGCGTCGTCGCACATGGCGTTGATGAGCCGCTCGCCGTACACCTGCACCGTCTTGATGATTTGCATGTTGAAGCTGCGCCTCGTCTCGTCGGGCGCTCCAGTCAGGTATCGGTAGCAAATCTCGTAGTAGACGGCGCGCAGCTCGTGCGACCCTGCCCACTTGCTGATGGCTTGCAGGCATATTTGAAAAAGCTGGAATAGTTTGTCGTGAATGAGGTTGCCAATGGCCTTGCCTTGCTTGTCGGTCGTGCTTGATTCCTTCAGGTCCAGGCGCGACAGCAGAATTCTCGCGAGCTTGGCGAGATCCATGGCTTCAACGGGACGGTCAGAGGCGAATATCTCCAGGCTAGGGAGGATAGCTTGCAGAGTCTGTAAGAAGAACGATGTGCGAGCCGTTCCATCAAAGTCGTTGCATTCCACCATGATAAGCAGTAGCTTAGTCCAGGACTTGAGCACTTGCAAGCTCTGTCGTTTGAGCTGCTCCTGACGATCAGTCGAGGCTAGGTACTCTAGGATCCCTATCTCTTCCTTATCGACCGCCGCGAGACTCTGCATTGTCGCCAGTGCCTCCTTGAACTTGCTCTGGCTCTTCTCATTTCGCTTGATCAGCAGTATTTCCTTAACTCGCTCGAGATTGTGTATGCCGTTACCGTCTCCGTCATCCTCCAAGCAAATGGAGACGTCAAGATCCTGGTAAAAATCTAGTCGGGGCTTAGGCATCTGCCAAAAATCAGACGGTAATAGGAAATCGTACAAATCAAAGATGGTCGGCGTCTCAATGCGCTGGTCATCGCTGAGTACCTGGCCATTGAGGGCCTCGAAAATACGTCGTTTGACGCTCGGCATCCGACCTTGGGAAATCATGCACAGCTCCATCGCAAAGTATTCCATTACCATCCGCCTCAATACCAGAAAGTCTGACAATGCCGCAGCTCCTTCAGTCAGCGGGAAGCAAGGCGCAGCCACATCCTGTCCTTCCCACGGCATATTAGGTTGAATAACAGTCTCGCGAATAAGTAAATGGAAAAAGAAGTCATTATCTCGTAGCTCCTGTATGACAAGCTTCGATGACAGGGGCGAGTTCCAAAGTAACTGAAATATGCGCATCACTCTGTACTTGATAGAAATAAGCCACCATCTCATGCCTTGAGGATCTGCAGACGGCAGATCCAGCAATAGTGCCAGAAGGCTGTGAAACAATGACGACCCATCGGAAAATGCGGTGTCGGATCCAATCGACAAAGAGTCGACACCACATTTGAATCCCAGAAGCAAATGAGCAATCGTTGGCCGTTTCGGAGTCTCTTGCAAACACTGGTAGAGAAAGTCGAGAACGTAGCACTTCGTGACATAGTTTGCTGATTGAGCCTCACGGCCAGGTTCTAGAGGGGTTTTGAGCTCGGAGACGAAAGCTCTTGATATGGCTTCGTACTCGCCGTTGGCTTCCATCGCCACGACAGCCTTATTTCTGTGACCACTTCTAGTGGAACCAGACCACTCCGCTGCGATTCGAGGACAAGACGACATCTTACCGAGAAGCTGTAGGCATGCGAGCGTAAGATCAGGATGACCAATGCCGCAGTAGTTGCCAAGGTCCACCACCAAGCTAAGCCTCGTAACAAGTCCATCCGCAAAGGACGAGTATGGTGTATTCACAACTGGTTGGCGTTGGTCATTGCTCTTTTTAATCAATGGTCGCACCAAATCCAGATATGTAGTTTCGAGATCCATGATCTTGGCAATAAGTTCGACGGCCCGCAGAATACCGAGAATGAGTGGCGAGTCAGGGGCAGCGTTGCCCACGTCCAGGGGAGCTTGATGGACAACATTGAAGAGCGCTGTCATAACTTTGTCGCTGTACATCCACTCCATCACTCTGCCAAATGGATGCTTTGTAACATATGTTGCCAAGTCAGAAGTTGCGATAGAAGAATCAATCGCAAGATTGGTTTTGTTGGCCATGATGATCAGGTCTTCGTTGAATGTAGTCAGGCAGGTCAACATGAATTCAAGGCACGTTAATCGTAGAACCCGCATTTGATGAATGTCCTGAAGATCTTGCGCCTTGGTAGCGAACACTTGGCCAACAACGAAGTCAATGTAAGCCTCAACACCAGATAGTCGAGCAGATGTTCCGAGAGATTCGCCAAATGGAAGTGAGTCATTCAACGGACTGCTATCAACTGCAGGTGATACCAGAGCTAATAAAAGCTTCGTGAAGGCTTCTGGCTCGTCGAAACCGTTGCTCATCTCATCCAAAATGCGATCCATGGAGACGGGAGGCTGTGTTTGCCCCTGTCGCAGGGATCCAGTGATATGTGTGGGAGGCTGAGAATACCCGCCGGTACACCAGTTGTCCAGGCATAGCCACATGATGTTGCTTTCCTCCAAAGTCTTCCGTGTCATCATGGCTTTAAATGCCATGAATATACAGCCGCGTAGCCGCGAAGGTATTTGACTACTGGCAAGGTCAAATAAGGTGTCGCTAAGCTGACCACCATTCCCCCGTAGCAGAAATTGTCGTGCAGTCTCGCTTTCGGAAGCCAGCTTCGCCATAAGACGAAGGTAGCACTCCAGCATCATTGCCGATTCGGGTTCCGTCTCCACCACATCTGCACTTGGTTTCGTGTTTCGGTACCGTGTCGTGGGTGTGGCAGTTGGTTTCTGCTTGACCTTTTCGGAGAAGAATTCGAGCTCATGGAAGATTTGCGTCCATGTCAACGACTGTGCCCGTCGCATTTTTCCGGAAGAATGATGGCCCTCATCTAATAGGAATTCATGAGCCGCTGTAGCATAATCGTCATTTTCCGAAATTGCTTGCAGCATTTCACAAAATGCAGCAACCAACGGTGTTGATGCGCGCCGTGATGCCCAGTGCATGAAACCGGCCAGGTTGCTATCCGGATCTGACCAAAAAGCAGCTGCAGCATCAGGACGACGTTCGTAGACGTATGTGATTATCAGTATAAAGCGCTCCAAGTCAAGATCTTGCTCATGAGCTTGACTGAGCTGGCGTTGCTCATCTTCTTCCACACGTAATTTTCGTAGAACATCAGGCATATTGGTAATGAAAGCATCAATGAAGAGTTCCAGTTGTGACATGAATCGAAGTTGGAAAAAGTCAGAGAATTGAACAGTATCGGTCGCCAGTGGCGTTGTCTTTCGCTGTAGCCATTTGCGCATGCCTGTTCGGACGGGATCGTGCCAGTCTGGTGCGCGGACATCTGTCACCGCTGTTAAAAGAAAGTCAAATGCGCCATCTTTTAGCGCATCCACGAAAGATTTTGTTCTTTCGCGGTCTCCCTTGACCAGATCAGATGTAGCTACGCTTGACGGTTCGTCAATCCAGTAGCCTGTATACTCTGCTAGCCACCAGGTTTTGAATGCAGCTTGAAGACACGGCAGGGGCCAAGCCGAGTCATCAACGGCGGCAAACAGCTTGGAGTGGATGTCCTTGACCCGTGTCAGATCCATGCCGCCGTCTGGAGATCCAAATATGGCAATGTATGCACCGAGAGCCGGCAGTAAATGTACCAGCAGGCAGTCGTATTTGTCTGCACGCTTCAAGACGCCGACAAAGTTCAAGAAGTCAGCGGTTTCCGCTTGCCTCTTCGAAATGGAGCGGCAGAGGATGACACCCAACAGCTCATGCTGCTGTATCAAACTGATGCGTGAGAACTCCACAGTCTCCATCTCCTCGGACATGGAATCTCTAGTCTGGCCCAATGCCTGGGCAGCTGCCAGTTTGTCACCCAGCCGTTGTAGCGAGTTTTTTATCTCGGACATGGCAGCCATGTATCGCGGGATGTTGCGCTTTTGACCTGTTGTGCTTGTCTGGAGCATTCTTGCTTCGACATAGGACTTTATGCCATCGAGGGCGGTTGACTCTTCGTCGTCGCTTTCGGAGCAGTCGATCTCGAAAAGAAGGCGTACAATGTCAAGCGCATACTTTCTCTGCTGATGGAAACGAATGATACCGCATTCGAGAAGCGACCGACCGAGTGTCGAGATGTCATTTTGCGAGTCGAGAAGGAGGCGCGCTGCGTCAAGTTCTTCGACTTGAAGCTCGTCGGAGAGTATCAGCGCGTCCTGCTGGAAAGTTTCGTTGATAGAAAACTCATTCCCGTCCAGAACGATTTTACCTGGCACTTGTTAGAAACAGATCACGGGAGCAGCCTCTAAGGCGCTTGCGTACCAGATGTGATCGATTTTCTGCTCTCTTCGCTGCTTTTTGGGCGCTCCCACACGCGCTCGAGCTCGCGCTCGAAGTTGGCGACAAGGAATTCGTTGTCGAGACTTCCGTCACCATGACCCTCGTTCAAAGCAACAATTTCTTGGTGGAACGCCTGAAGCGCCTCCAAAGTTGTGAGTTCGGCCATTGTGGCAGTTTCAATCCGTTCGCATGGTGGGATAAGAACGCGCGACGAGTTCAGCGATGCGGCAGAGCTTCGCGCCGCGATGCAGGTACGCGCAAGAGTGCTCAAAACCTGCGTACGATTTGTATAAGATGCTATCCACGAGCTCGAGGGGCGTTAGATTCAATGTTTTAATACGTTATTGTCGGCAATTCGCCGAAGATGTTGATGTTGGACTGCCGGCAGTAAACAAGTTCGCGGGCGGTGAACGTTTCTGCCGGCGCCTACCAAGCCTAGGTACCTCCAGGGGAGCTTTAATCAAGCTCGAGCTAATGAATTTTACAGCGGTCGCCGTTCTGACAGTGACATCACGTAGGTGAGGTATTATTCGAGCGCCTCGAATTGTTACTATATACAGCATAGAAATCAATTATATGGAGAACTTTAGAAGGGTTTTTGGGATTAGAGTTCATCCACTGAAAGAACCACTCCCAGCTGTTATTGTCTGCAACTCATGGTCAATGGACGAAGCCACCACTAGACATGCTCTCTGCCATATTCTTCTGTTTGACATAGCTAATTGTGAGGCATGATATAAGGCATTATCGTTTTTTCTTCTAAAATTTACATATCTTAAACACTTCTGATATGCTATCTGATAAGCCCGAACCCATGGTAACTGCCTTAACAAATTTTTATTTACGAAAAACTATCCCGAGGCATGTCAGAAGACACACCCTCCCGCGTAGGTAGTGATCTAAACTCTTGTGACGCTCAAGCTTCTTGCATCATGCTTCCTGCGAAAATTCATGCTCTCTACGCATGAACATAGCTAGCGTTCCCACCACTCGTTCTCATCACCGTGCTGTCTACAGTGGCCAAGGTTCTTCGAAGTTCGCAGGTGTGGTAACACACGTGGGGGCTATTTGAGATAGGTATATTTCCACACCAACTCATCGTCAAATGTACTGCAACAGCGTCATTCAACGTTTTGGCTCCGGAAATTAAATCTACATCACACCAGTAAGGAGACCAAAAATTCGATATGCTATGCAAGATATCTGTCGAGGTGGCATAGAGCCACTACCTAGTACAAGGGTGAAGGAGGTGCCTGCCAGCCTGCCTGAAATCATTCTAAGGTAGCTGGCAGACAAACAGCGTCGCTGACAACGCCACATCCCTTCGTCAACACCGGTGCCATTTCACCATGTCTTCGGCATACACGGTGAAAACAATCACAAGTTAGTAGCACGACATATGCTCTCGATAGAAAATCATGCTGACTACCAACCGATGTAGCTGACCTCGCGTCTGGGCCAGTCAAAACACGCGACAAGGCCCTGGACGATCTGAATCAGCTCCTGAATCGCAACAATGTCGCCGCTGATTTGTCCGAACTGGGGGATAAAGCCTACCATGATATCTTTGAGGCTCTCTTCAAGATGGTTTTGGAGCAAAAACCGAAATATTTCGACAAGAAGACCTCAAAACCCGCCGAAATCCGCCTCAATAAATGTGCAAGAGCTGTGAGGGCAGCAGCTAGCCGTGGGGCCCCCAAACTCAAGCAAAAGACACTTTCCGCCATAATCGATCATATTACTCAGATTTTGCCTGGACCTGGCAACGCATTTGTGCGTCCTCTACTGGGCGACTACCTCAAGGCTCTCACCGAGCTGCTGCGTGCTGCCAACGTCGAGTATTTCTCGCGCAAGGATGGCCAGTTATGGCAAATCTGCGTGGAATTTTTCCTCGATGTTGTTTCAAATCGCATATCACACAATACTCCTAAAGACCAGGGACCGATCGGGCGTAATTCACCTGCGCCCAGTACACCACGCTCGACTCTTCGATCTAATTCCGGTTCTCTTCTCAGTCAGAAGCTGCCAGAAATGCCGGACGGCGAACTAGCCAGAGATGCTCTAGAAGGACTGCTTTGTCTTGTAACTGCTCCGAATGCTCACGCTCACATCTTGAGTCGGTATCACGATATTGCCAACGCGGCTCTTGGGGAGCTGCGCCTTCACAATCTTAGCTTAGGGTCTTTGCAGACCATGAGCTTTGCCATCATAAATGCCATCATATCAGCAACTCAGCTGGAAGCCTATACCAGTGGCCTTGTCCATGATCTCCTGCCGTTGATGTCTCACTGGTGGAGGGCAGATAGGGTATCACAAGACGATACAATCAAGTCGCTGCGGAATGAAATTCTCAGAACAATGCTGCTCTCGCAGCTGCAGATCGAACACCTGATCGTCAACAAGAAGAATGACGACGTAAGAAAAGAGGTTGAACACTTACTCGAACCCCTGTGGCAGGAATATTCAAAACGGAATCTCAGCAACCAGCTAAGACTTAGTGACGTCACATTCACAACCAAGACGCTCCCGACAGACTATTTGCAGATTGGAATATTTGGACTGAGTCCGTTGAGTACGGAGGCCGAGAGCCAATGGGGCATAATTCAATGCATAGCATCCTTGGAAGCAACCCTAGGACGACAAAAACCACATTCAATTTCTTTTCAAAGCCAAAGCGTCGAGCAGTCACGGAAAAGGCGGCGAATTAACCAAGAGGACAGCCGTCTCCGAACGCGACTCAAAGATATACACCTGGAAACTCAACGAACTACGCTTCAAGTCATACCTTTTGTACTCGCCACCACAGCGCTAAGTGCCGACGAAGCTCAGGATTTGCTCTCGGAGCTCGTTGTCTTGACAACGCATAAAGATACCTCTGTTGCATCTTGGGCGATAGTTGCGTGTTCGAGCTTTCTTCAATTGACTACTGAAACGGACAATATGATTGATGAGTGGAAGCAGCTTTGGCAAGTAGCAACAAGAGCTGTCAGCTTACAAGGTACATGCCGTGCTGCCTGTCTTTTGATTCACAGTCTACTGAAAACTGATGTTCTACCGCATCATTCTTTATTGAACGACATAAACAGCATCACAACGACAGCTGATGTGAATGGGCCTGCTGCGTTGTGCGACACATCCATTGCACTTATGCATCACCTCTTCTACTTGAGAAACTCCCTTCTGCCGAGCGCGAGTCAAGCGACATCCAACTACATAATACGATGGGCTCTGATGCGTTGGAACCCCTCGGACTCTTCCACATCTTCATCACAAGGCCAATATGTGCAACCGATCGATTTCGTTAACCTGTTACGGGCATGCTGTGGTATGAAGCCCGTTGTTGGAAATGCTCAAGAATCTGTCATCGGCGGTGCATTCTGCGAAACCTGGAAACTACAGAAGAGCATCACTCAATTCAACGAGTACCTACTTCTTCTGAAGAACCACAAATCGGACACTTTCTTTCGTGTTGTGTGCGGCCAGAATCCTACCATGGAGACAAATGGAACCACGACCGAATCCAACACCCATTTTCCGTCGAGGAAACTCTTGCTGGAACTGATATATCCAAAGCTCGAAGAACTCAGCAGCCTTTGCACAGCATGGTCGAAGAAGCCCAACGAGGGCGGTAGGCAGATATCTCAGAGAAGCTTCGAAAATGTTCTATCTGCCTCTATTGTCGGAGCAATGCTGCTGCCAGAAATATCTCATATGAACTCGAGTCAATCTGCTCTGGTAGAGAACCTCATAATCAGCAACGTTAAACGTGGCATCACACAAGCATTGACATCTGTGGACGCAGACTCGTTTGTCCAGCAGATTCTTCGCACTTTGAGACCATGCATTCCGGACCTGACACATATCGGGATGGAGAGACTCCATGGAGATAATGAGGCTCTTCTCCGACTTCTCACTCTCGCATTTGATGCCTTGAGTGAACACAATCTGTCCAAATCCTCTACTGGAGGAAGTTATGACATGATGGAGCTGGATGATGAGTTTGAGTCTCAAAGCAGTCGCGGTATGGCCTCAGCTGCGCCAGTATCCGTTCCTCGCTCCATTCACCAAGTGCGCCTCAGTCCATCATGCTTTTATGCTGACACTCGCTGTCGACTTGCTTTGATTGTTGCCTCGCAGCGCGAAGAAAGCCAAATTGGTATCGTGCCAGACGTCTTCATCGATGAGTTGATCAGAATGTCAGATGACCAGCTCTTATCGTGCTACACAGCCGTGACCGAGTTGTTCAGTTCCGATCTTGTCGCCAATACTGATGGAGCATTGTTGATTATACAGAGACTCGGAGAGGTTGTTGGCAGCAATGAATATCGATGCTGCGAATTGGCCCTTGCTACCTGCGTTGAGGTTATGCATGGGTTGTCGAGCATTTGGCTAAACGACAGTGGAGAATTAGCAAATAGCGTTGGCGATTTGTACCATTACTTCATCCAGAATTGCCTTGCTGCCAACTACTTTTCCCCACGAGGCTTGAAAACGTTGTCGATGCTGCTTTTCACGCTGTTGAGACTTCAGCCGGATTATGGGGCAAGCCTGAAATTGGATTCTTGTCGAACGTCGCTACTCTTCATTCTCAAAGAAGGATCCATGGACGTCAAATACTTTGTCGCGGAAAGGATTGCTGACCTTTTTGAGCTGTACATTCTCATGCTGCATGATGAAGTATTCGTTGATGTGCTTGGAAGTTTGCCGGCGGACCCAGAGAGTGAGGCAGGCATAGCTTGCCGCCTACTAGTCCTTTCCAACCTGGCACAGAGGTGGCCAACTCTCTTACGCCGTTGTACCTATCATATTTTCGAGACGCCTGGGAAGATTCCCTCAGTTTCGGAACATGCTCGTCGTTGTATTGCGGATATTTCTCATTCACTGAGTCTGGCATCGCCGAAGGAACTGTTTGGCCTGTTTACTCGCCAGCTGCTATATACCTGGATGGAAAACGACTCTGTAGAGCAAATCCCATTCGCAATTTTTGGATTTCAGTCCTTGGGTGAGCTTCTCACAAGTGCACAGTCCGATGCCATCGGTCTGTCAACCATGAGGGGTCAAGATGGTGTTCGAAGCGAAATCGCGAGACACATAGGAAAGACAGAGGTTGAACTGTTACAGACCAACTTTACCGCAAGCATCAGCTACAGCACAGTTTTTACAGCTACTTTTGAGCCGTCCAGCAAGGATCATGGCGAGACCAAGATAATGAAGAAGATGGGAAACAAAGTGTTCACGGAAAGTATATACACCAATTTCGTCGACATTGTTGCCTTTTTCTTCGACATTATTGACCAAGAAGATCCGGTCGAGAGGGTCTTTGCCAGAAGTGAAGAGTTGACATACGCTGCCCAAATTTACAAAGATATTACCAGAATGTCTCATTCGGATACGAAACTTCCCCCGAACCAGCAGCCCATGTTCCGAGCAAAATATGTCATTCATGAACTAGCTCGACTGTGTCAAGGCACTGAGTTTATGTTCAGCGAGCTTTGGACTTCTGCCTTGATTGTGTCTATTGCCAGGAAACTCTTCAACACTGTTCATCCAGCCTTGGGCTCACTACATGCTTGCTCTGTGTTAAGAAAAGTGCGGATTCTGATCTGCTTGGCAGGACCGGTTGCACTTGAGTCATACTGTTTGGAAATGTTGCTTAACTCCGTGCGAACATTCATCACTGACTCGGAGTGTGCGGACGATGCTCTCGGAATCAGCCAATATCTACTGGAAAAGGGAGCGTCCTATCTCCAAGAAACACCCTCTTTCCTAGCGGGCTACTCTCTGTCAGCACTCGCTTCTCTCCGAGTCTTCCTTGAGTCCAGTCAATCGAGCACCACACAGGAAAGCCAATTTAAGGCCACCATGAGCAAGGCCAAAAAGTTCCACGAGTGGCTGGCAGCTTATTTAGAAAGCTACGCGTCGCTGGCATTCAAGAATGAGTCACAGAAGACGTTATTCAAGTCCATCACAAGCTCGGCTGCTCGTATACGATCCTCAGGCAATGCAGAGCAAAGCACGTTCGAAAGTAAGCTACTGCTCGACATTCTACGCGATGGAAGTGCGGAACATGAGCTGCTCAATGAGCCGTCGCGTGAGCTCGCTATGGGACTTTTGTGCGGCGATTTCACTCTGCCAGAGCATTCAAGCAATGACATAATTGGCACAGACAGTGATGCCGTGCTACATGCCAGCGCAGTGTGGAAGAGCTGCAATACGAGGGACTTGAGTACAAACTATCTATCTTGGGCAGGAAGAGTGGTTGGAAGAGCATTTGCTGCGTCTGGAGATATACCAGAGGGTATTGTCGCCGAGTCGGATGTGGCTACCTTCAGAAAAATTGCTTCTGGGCCAAACGGCTCGGAGATGGGTCTGTTGAGTCTTCTCCAGAGTCTAACTTCAAACAGCGACACCGTGACAGCAGGCCTCGCTGAATCCGCCCTCAGGGCTGCTATCTCTAGAGCAATGCTACAAGACGATGAGCCGCTTCTCTTTGCCTGTCAGCGCAGCTTGGCAGAGCCTCTTTATCTTACTTCTCAGTGGTCACTATACCGGTCCCCTCCTTCCGAGAACAAACAATCGCAGCCAAGCCAGGACGAGCAATCGATCTGGAACAGCGAAATAACTTGTGAAAAGTGGCTTTCTGATCTCAGTGTTCTGATATCAAACTCGGTCCCCGATTCGATCTTGCTCTCGGTTCTCTCGCCGGTTTTGGAGAAGGTCAAAGGGTTTGCTGAGAAGGCGTTTCCATTTATCGTCCACCTCGTTCTGCTGTTTCAATTGGAGCAGCAACAAAAGATGAAGCGCTCTATCTCAACGGCTCTGAAAGCTTGGCTGCGGCCAAATACTGACTCGGCGCGGTCCAGGATTGCGCTGTTGATTAACACATTGCTCTATCTTCGTACCCAAGAGTACCCAAAAGAGAGTTCCATCGGTGATCGGTTACATTGGCTGGAAATTGACTATTCAATGGCTGCGGCCGCCGCAACTAATTGCGGTATGTATAAAACGGCACTATTGTTTGTGGAGCTGGCGTCCATCGAAACAGGCCGACAATCTAGACGCGCATCTTCTGCCCGCGAGAATGACCTTAACTCGACACTGCTGTCCGTGTTCGAAAACATTGATGACCCAGATGCATACTATGGGTTGCCTGAAGAGGCAACCTTGTCGAATGTGCTCTCACGAATTACATACGAAAATGATGGGATGAAGGGCGTTGCATTCCTTGGCGCGCAATTGGACAGTCACATTCGCCTGCAGAATGGCTCCAATATAGTGGACGCTCAAGCTCTAGTCAGCATTTTGAGCTCATTAGGATTGTCTGGGCTGTCTCATTGCCTCCAGCAGACCCATCAAACAGTCGATACCTCGCCGGCCTCTACAGAGAATACGTTCAAAGCAGCGCAAAGATTAGAAAGATGGAACCTACCGGCACCGACGGACAGCGAGAGCCTCGCCGTGACAACTTACAAGGCATATCAAGCGATACACAATGCGACAGAGATTGCGTCCGTCAGAAAGATCGTTTACGAAGGCTTCGCCAAAACGATAGGCAGCGCCACTGGAAATAATAGGCCCACCATTGCTACACTCAGAAGCAAGCTTGGCGCTCTTGCTGCCTTGAGCGAATTGGACGACCTGATGCATGTTTCACGCAGCGAAGATCTGAGCGATGCACTCGGTATCTTCCAGTCACGCAGCGACTGGATGAAGCGTGGCCGGTATGACGACGTGAGCAACATCTTGGCATGCAGAGGCACAACAATGAGCATGTTGAGTCAACACTCCAACATCCTTCACGAAGCAAGCCTGTCGACCGCTGTTATGCGAAAAGCAGAAATAGAGTCACTATTGCTGTCCTCTGGGCTTTACAGATTCCACGAAGCCACACAAGAGTCCCTCAACATTGCCACTTCGCTGTCTAATCTTATCCCCTATTGCCAGAACCTGGGCTTACATGTGGACGCATCTGTTAATATCGAGGTAGCCAACTCGTTGTGGGATCAGGGAGAAATGAGTACGGCTATCCAAATGCTGCAAGCTATTGACAAAGATTCGGCACTGAACAGACAGGCAATCCCAGTCACTAAAGCAGATCTGCTTGCGAAGATTGGTGACAGAATGTCTATTGCTCGCCGAGAAAAGCCGCGTGATATTCAAAAGAAATATCTAGAGCCAGCGCTCAAAGAGATTGGCAGTACAAACTATGGCACTGAAGCTGGCCTGGTGTTTCATCAATTTGCGCTGTTTTGCGACGGCCAGCTCCAAGATGCGGATGGACTGGAAGATCTTCGGCGGCTTCAAAATTTGCGAAAAGCGAAAAGCGACGAGGTTTCAGACTTGAAAGAATTGATTGCCTCGACCAAAGAAAGCCAGCTGCGCAAACGATACGACTACGTCTTATCCAAAGAGAAGCAGTGGCTAGAACTGGACGAGCAGGAGCTGCGGCGTGTCGAGCAAACAAGGAGCGAATTTGTTCGCTTGAGTGTGGAAAACTATCTACTATCGCTTATCGCTTCGGATGCTCACAACAATGACGCACTGCGATTCACGGCATTATGGCTGGAGAGGTCGGGAGAGGAAGGAACGAATAAGGCCGTCGCTCGCTATCTTTCCAAGGTGCCGACACGCAAGTTTGCGAATCTGATGAACCAACTCACATCAAGACTGCAGTACACGGATAACGCGTTTCAAAAGTTGCTCCTCGAATTGGTTTACAACATCTGCGTCGACCATCCATACCATGGAATGTATCAAATTTGGTCAGGCACAAAAGTTAGAGTGCAATCAAAAGACGAAGTGGCCCTGCAGCGTGTCAAGGCCACAGAAAAAGTCGCGCAAAGACTGGCAGCAACAAAGTCTGTCGCCAATATCTGGCTGTGCATTGAAAAGACAAGCAAGTACTACCACGGCTTGGCAGTGGACAGAGATCCCAACAAGTACAAGGCCGGGGCCAAATTTCCGCTCAAAGATTCGCAGGCTGGCCTGAACTTAGTCATTGGGCTGGCTAAATACCACATTCCGCCGCCGACTATGCAAGTTGAGATCCGCTCCGACAAGGACTACTCTACGGTTCCAACGATTGCAAAGCTAGATTCGAGCATGACTATTGCGGGCGGTGTCAGTGCGCCCAAAATCATCACTGCTATCGGCACGGATGGCAAAAGGTACAAGCAGCTCGTCAAAGGCGGCCATGATGATCTCCGTCAGGACGCCATCATGGAGCAAGTCTTTGCTGCCGTGTCCTCCCTACTGAAGCATCATCGCGCTGCACAGCAGCGCAACCTCGGCATTCGGACGTACAAGGTTCTACCGCTGACGGCTTCGTCGGGTCTTATTGAATTCGTACCCAACACGATACCTCTGCATGAATTCCTGATGCCCGCGCACGAGAGATATTATCCAAAGGATATGAAGGGCTCGCAATGTCGTAAGGAGATTTTCAGCGTTCAAAACAGAAATATTGAATCACGCATCAGCACCTATAGGAAAGTGACGGAGCATTTCCATCCCGTCATGAAGTATTTCTTTATGGAGTATTTTGAGGACCCTGACGAATGGTACGCAAAGCGTCTGGCTTACACCAGAACCACGGCAGCAATTTCCATGCTAGGGCATGTTCTCGGCCTCGGCGATCGACACGGCCACAACATCTTGCTTGACACAAAAACGGGCGAAGTCGTGCACATTGACTTGGGTGTGGCGTTTGAGGCAGGCCGCATATTGCCTGTTCCTGAGCTGGTTCCATTCCGCCTGACTAGAGACATTATCGACGGCATGGGCATCAGCAAGACGGAGGGTGTCTTTCGGCGCTGCTGCGAGTTTACCCTCGACGCGCTGCGCGAGGAGCAGTACTCCATCATGACTATCCTGGACGTATTGCGGTACGATCCGCTGTACACGTGGTCCATCTCGCCGCTTCGGCTGGCGAAGCTGCAAAAGGCGCGGGATAACCAAGACGAGAACGCGGCGCCGGGCAACGATGCAGAAGACGGGGAAGAAAAGCAGGGCAAGAATAACGGCGGGAGTAGCCGCAAGGCCGGCAAAAACGTCAAGGTCAACGTTGACATCGACGTTAATGCCGACGTCAAGGTCAACGTTAATGAGCCATCGGAGGCTGACCGTGCGTTGGAGGTTGTTAGGAAGAAACTCTCCAAGACGCTCAGCGTGACGGCGACGGTCAACGACTTGATTAACCAGGCCACGGATGAGCGGAACTTGGCGGTGTTGTACTCGGGTTGGGCAGCGTATGCTTAGGGACACAGGTGCATATGACTAGAATAGTACTTAGCTTATGAATGACTGATAGTGGCGGCGGTAGAGAGAAGGAAAAATTAACGAACAGAGGTATATAGATGATAGTTAGTAGGCAGGGATAGGTAAGCGTGCACGCGAAAAGGTAGGTAGGTATCGCATATCACGTGCACCTGTGTTGGTAGTAATATGTTACTGTATCCGTAGCAATATGTTACCGTGTCCGTAGCAATATATTACTGCATCCGTAGCAATATGTTGCTGTATTCATAGCAAAAGTCTTATTCTACATGCCTGTCAGGTAACTCCCCCTTAGCAAAAATGAACTCCTGTCCGACCAGTACATGTTAATACAAGCAAAACACACTCGAAAAATGACGATCGCAATCTTTGCCTACCTTGTTTTATCTCAGTCAACCTCGAATTCAGCGTCTTACGAGCCCGCCAACGAGGCCGCCTTTTGGCCTTAGCCCGGATGACATGGACGAGCGAGCCACCGCCGGCGGCGGCCGTGGTGGACGATGGGGAGGGTGACGGAGGCGCGGACATGAGTGTAACAGTGCCGCGTACTGGCTGTTTATGCGAGAGGATTAATTAGAATAATTTTCACAATTTTTTGCAATAAAGTATCTATTTTTAAAGGCAAATATATCAAGCCCGGCCGTTAGCAGGGCAATTTGGTGTCCGAGACTAGTGAGCGTCGAGCCACGGAAAGCAGGACAAAAAGGGTAAACCAACTTTAATATAAAAGATAATATTTAACATTCTTTCTTGAAATATATAGAATATAAGTCAAAGACAAGGAACTAGTACTATACATTATTTTCTATTTTAAACAACTCTCTCTTCATTCTACATGACCCCCTTCTAACTCGAGCAAGTACCCTGATCACACTACAGAAATATTGCCAGAGACAGTAAGATCCTCCAGAGAAAGGTCCGACGAAAGCTCGTAAAATCTTAGAATGAGACAGTTCCCTATAAGCAGTAGCATATTGCGACCATGGCTTTGTCAAAGCTGAGGTTCAAATCCTTAGTTGGCTAGCCCACACTGCGACTTGCATGCATCGCAATTGTCACAATCGGCGGGTGGATCACGGCAAAAGGCACAGAGACCGTCGAGTCCGTCGCACTGTCTCGTTTTCCATTCGGGGTTCCGTTTGGAGGCTCGGTACACACACTGGCCAGGTGCGGCTTCGGGCGCCTCGTCGATGGTGAATGGCTGGGAGACCAACCACGGCTGTCTTCGGCCGTCCTCGCAGACAAAGGCGGCCTTGAACTTGCCGACGCCAATCTCGTTGTTGCTAAACTTGACCGTGTTGAAGTCGTAACCAAAACCCCTGGTGGATTCGACCCAATCCCATGCCTTGTAATCGCCGAAATAATCGCAGACGTCGGCAGGCCAGATGCCCACCCAGGCCCTGTAGCCGCCGCATCCGTGGTTTGGCGCGTGATAATTGATGACAGTCTGGTCAGTGGTGATGTACTGGGACTCGACCTCGTTCACGTCTCCGATGGTGTCAAAGGTGCGTGCGCCCAAAGCTGGTTGGAGGGCTCCAAGCAGGAGGACAGCGGTATTTGATAGGTGCATAATGAGAAGAAAAATTGTTTGGTGCGATGAAGGGGTTTGTGTGCTTGACCTCTGATTAGAAAATAAAGAAAAAAAAGATGGCTTGACGGGTGATGGCGAGTACTATCGTGAACTGGGTCCGGCGGTCTTAATACACTCGCAGTTTGTAGTGCGGATCCTTATCAGGCGGATTCTATGGCCACTATCACGACTGTCTCATTTATTAACATACAGAAAGTCGAAGAAATAATGGGGTCATCTGGAGTCAGCAACTGTTTACGTATACGAAATTTCGTCTGTTGTAATACACCGTAGTATGCCAAGAGCCAAGACAATACAGCTCGAACAAAGTTAATCTAAATTCCGAGTTCCTCCTTGACCAAGACATTCCAGTCAATCAAGTACGCTCATAATAGTTTGTAATTACTATAGACTAGGGAGAAGATAACGACGGCTTTTTTCCTCATCAGCGACTCAGTCACGTTATTGAACAGGGCTCGAGTCATTTCTATAAAGCCCCGTATATTGCTCAGCTTGTGAAGCGTGAATAGTTGCGAAAGCCCTTGAAAATTCACTGGCACCATTTCATGTATTTTAGCGAGACACTTTACATATATGCTGTCTTTACACATACGAGGCACTTTTAGCCGCTCTCGGACGTATAAGGGAGCACGAGTTAGCCGACCACTGACGTCTGTCAAATTTCTCCCTTCGTGTCATGTATGAAATGCACTGGAGTCAGGTGGGGAAAGAGGCTTGACAGAATCCGTCCTGTTGGGACTGAATACCATGCAAGAGCCCGCAGTGTGTGTGTGTATGTGTGTCTATGTGTGTACCAGTAACCGTGAAGAGAAGTCGCAAAGGGAGGAATAACCGGCGCACCACAACATTGGATGTCCCTATGGATACAAGGTAATAACACCGAGTGTGATACCCTCTTCAGAAGTCATAGTATTTATTAAAATTACTGGTGCCCAGCGTGACCGGTGCACTCGGAATTCAATCAGGCCAATTCCGCAACTCTAGGTCACCCTTTTGCTCATTTGGTAGACTGTAGCAACCAAAGCGATCAGCATGTCAGCTTTTTGCTTCGCTTAAAGTGTCTTCCTTTGATTCTTGTGGCTTTCTGAACCATTACGAGGACCTCGTCGAGCGAATGGCGGCAACAGGCTGGCTGACTAGTGCAAATAGCAAACCACAGATTCGGTGGTAAGCCTACTAATACTTCTTCGAAATTACCCTTGACCCTCCAACCTTATTCTCCCGAGCTCACTTTCAACTCTCCCCTGTAAAAGATTCTTCCACTTTTGTAGCTATGAACAGCTTATTAGTGGCGCCGCTTTTAATCACACGGCTAGTAGAGTCATCATAGCCAAGCTACGATGTCTCACCAACCTGAACTCATCCAGTGTAGTAGTAGTTACAGCGGGTCAGAAGTAATTCCGCTCGCGACCCTAAATCCCACAAAAATACCCACTTTTTAAGCTATAGTTTTAATATATTTTCCTTCTATATTAATTATATAATTAATACCTAAAGATAATTAAGTAGTTAAGATATAAAATAAAATAAAAAATTATTTAAATTTTTAATTATTTTAATAAGCTAATTATTACTTAATAAAGTTAAAGAAGTTAAAAAAGGTAGATTTTATTAATAAGAATATTTCTTAAGTTTTTATTTAGATATACTAATTTATTAAAACTTTAAGAAAATTTTCTATATATATAGTTACTCTTAAAGATTTAATTTTAATTTTAAAAAATAAATTTAGGTACTAGCTTTTATAGTATTAGTAGTTTAAAAGTAGGCATTTTAGTGGGGTTTTAGGTTACGAGTGGAATTACCTGAATGCACTGTATAATAAAGTAATAGGATTTTTTAAAGGATGTTCTAAACTAAAAGGAAATTATCTTATTATTTATAATTATCTGTACTTTTAGAGGCACTCTGACGTCTAAGGGAACTCCTCGAGCTGCGCGCCTGGCACGGAGGGGTCACCACTGGCCTGCGCGAACCACAGGCTTCTGTTGCCGAGATCAAAGACAGTATACATGGCTGCAAAGAACGGCAGCGTGGCGACGTTGGGCTCCTCGCCGCCGTCCGGGACCGGCCGGACAGCCACCTCACAGAGGCCGCGTTGCGCAATCGCCGGGTCCGCCAACTCCGCGGAGACGCGTAGGTTGCTGAGCGGAACGCGCGCCTCGACGGTGTCGTTGCGGAAGCGCATGAGCAGAGCCGCGTCGCCGCCCAGACGGCCGCAATCGACGGGGCCGAGGCCATTTGTCGCGGAAAAGCTGGTACCGAGCGCGCCAGCCATCTTCGCGACGACGGCGGCGGGCAGCGCCATTGCGCCGCCGGCCGTGTTCATGAGGGTAACGGCGCTGCGCTGATCGAGACCGAGATCGGTCGCGGCGATGAGTTTGGCAGGCTGGCCGCCGCCGTTGTCCTTTTTGGGGGCTTCTTTCTTGGGGGCTTCTTGCTTGGGTGTTTCTTTGGGGGCTGCTTGCTTGGAGGATGTTGTTTTGGGGGCTGCTTGCGTGGATGTTGTTTTGGGGGCTGCTAGCTTGGATGTTCTTTTCGGGGCTTCTAGCTTGGGTGCTTCTAGCTTGGGTGCTTCTAGCTTGGGTGCTTCTAGCTTTGGTGCTTCTTGCTTGGGTGCTTCTTGCTTGGGTGTTTCTTTAGGGGCTGCTTGCTTGGATGTTGTTTTGGGGGCACCTTGCTTGCGTGTTTCTGTGGGGGCTTCTTGATTGGGGAGTTCATTCTTCTTGCCGTCGTTGTTGTTCACAGGGCTGTTGCTGGGGTCTTCTTGGTTGAGGGGCTCCTTGTTCTTGTCACCGTCGTTGCTCACAGGGTTGTTGCCATCAGTGACGCCCTGATTGTTGCCATCAGTGATGCCCTGGTTGTTGCCATCCGTGATGCCATCCGTGATGCCCTTCTTCTTGCCACCATCGTTGTTTACAGGTTTGTTACCATCCTTGATGCCCTGGTTGTTGCCATCCTTGATGCCCTGGTTGTTGCCATCCTTGATGCCCTGGTTGTTGCCATCCTTGATGCCCTGATTGTTACCATCAGTGATGCCATCCGTGATGCCCTTTTTCTTGCCGCCATCGTTGTTCACAGGGTTGTTGCCATCAATGATGCCCTGGTTGTTGCCGGGCTTCTTGCTGTCTGTAGGGTTGTTACTGGGGACACCGGGAATACCCTGATTTCCATCCTGGAATCCGTTATCGAAGCCACCAGGAAGAACCTTGGTTCCGTCATCAGAAGGACTCTGGAAACCGCCATCGATCCCATTGGGGGTACCCTCGTTTTCGTCAACAGTAGGTTTCCGGAAGCTGTTATCGAAGCCACCGGCGGGACCTTCGAATGTGCCCCCCTGAATGGGGTCCTGAATTTGGTTGGATAGTCCGCCGGAGCCAGGGCCGAATAATTGATCACCAGGGCCAGGGCCAAATGATTGATCACCAGGGCCAAATGATTGACCAGGGCCAAATGTTTGATCGCCAGGGCCAGAGCCAAACGATTGATCACCAGGGCCAAAGCCAGAGGATTCTTCACCACCATCGAAGCTGAAGCCCTGGCGCTTCTTGTGCCATGACATGCGCCTGATTTGCTCGCGCCGCTCCTGGCGCGTGCTGCGCCTGACCTTGGCTGGCGCTGCCGCCGGGACCAAGGCAATGGAGCTCAGTTCGACAAGGAACTCGGAGAACTGGCCCGCCTTGTCCTTGACGAGTGGGACCTGCTGGAGGTCGCCCGTAAACTTGGAGCGGTCAATACCGCCAAAAAAGACACTGCCGTTGCCCGATGCTACAAATATCGCTTGTTAGAACCGATACATGTGCTTTGAAGGGAAGGAAGGAGGGAAGAAAGGGGACTAGGCATTTTGTTGTGCTTCACTTACGGGTCGCGTTGAGGACAACACTGTAAGCCTGGCTGTTGGTGACGCCAGATACGTTTAATATCCTCGGAAGGTTGTTGTACTTGTTCACCGTCGCTTCACGAGCGACCAGTCCCACGCCAACCACTGCGAAATCGGAGATGTTCGCTTGCGTCTGGATGTTGGACGCGAAACCGACCTGCGCGTCGGGCACTTCGACACCATCAAGAGTAACAGTAGTCTTGGCGTAGTCGCCTTCAAAGTGCTCACCTCGACTTAGTGTCGCATTGAAGCTCTCCCCAGCCAGAAGCTGGAGGCCGGCGACGGCGTCGGGCTTAAATGGGGCGGCCTCGGGGACGATGATGTCGGAGGAGGCCGTGTCAAAGATGCCGGTGATGTTCTGTGCCGGGGTGCCGAGGCCGAGATTGATCAGCGGCACCGCAGGCCCCAGCTCCTTGCTCTCAAAGTGCTGGATGCTAGCCTGGACGACGCGCTGAGCGTTGGCAGCGGCGGCCAGGAACAGAATGTTCAAGCAGGTGCTCTTCATCGCTGCAAGGGTGGAACTGAACCGTGCTTCTTTGCAAGACGTGACGGGGTTCTAATGTGTTGATGATAGTGTGCTTCATGGAATACTGGATCGGCAGGGCGGAGGGTGTAGGATATATAGATGGTCAGAGATCACCGCATCTTCGAAGGGCAACTCGTACGTTATGTTTGAAACATTCGGGACTTACGGATATGATTGTGCCGAGGACCACGACTCATGACCCAACGCACGCAATGGTATATCGGGACAATTGGGGAAGCGAGCCCGCTGTTAGCAAGAGGGTCAAGATCGCACCGTTCCCGATATCCATCCACCATTATGCTCGGGAATCTCAACTCTTACTCGCAACGCCGCCCTTGTGCTCGAATATATTTTCTTTTCTTTTCCAGCACCAGTGAGTCCTATCCTACGCTAATTCAGCTCGAATCAGAAAGCGGTGATGTGCAGAAAAGAACCGACGGTAGAACCCTGATCGCCAATGCGTGTTGATGCACCATGCAAACTTAAAACCTTAAAAACGAAGCTTCGGTGGCGAAACGGAGTAGCCTGGAGAGCAAGGGGGTTTTCCCAGTTTGAAACCGACGTTGTGAAAGTGGCGAGACGCCTCAAGAGGGTTGCATCGGTGATGCGCCAGCCGGGGTTGGGGTTGGTCGAGAAGAAGGCTATGAGGTTGCTTTAGTTGCACGGGCCTGGCAATCATCAGTTCATCGGGTCTGCCGAGCTCTTGTCTCCACTGCCTATGATATGCCTCATCCTTCGGCATGAATTATGAGCTGTTGACACTTTTTTTTTTTCTCTCTCATTCTTTCTTGTTGTGTAAGAAGTGTGACGGCATAATACCGGCTGCATAGCTTTTACGTACATGGCGTTGTGACAGAAGGGAGGCCCGAGTGATAACTAGAACTTTTGATGAAATTTTGTACTCTGTTTGTTTTTCCCTGTTTGGTAATATTGGTAATTTACGGCTTAGGACGTTGTGCATGCCCGCTATCATTTTGAAGAGATCTGTTATAACCCCATCGTGTAATATAAACAGGCAGTTCGTGGGGGAGGGGAATTTACGAACCACGATTATAAGTGGGAGACGAATTAATCAAAGTCGAGAATCAGAAAAGGAAAAGCAACAGAACATTCTAGGGGTTCCCAAGAGTGGAACCGCGACAGTGATTGGAAAGGTAGGGGGGGATGTGCTCGAACCTGTACAACGTTTCATGAAATTCTTGGCTGACTGTGCGAAGAATGGCGCATGAAAAGTCCATTTTGTTGGCACAGATGCTGCTGTCTTGGTGCAGCGATATTCCTTCAATTTGTCGCTCTCTACAGATGGAAGGACCGTTGGAAACAAAAAAGAAGAACAAAAATGAAGAAGAAAGAGGAAAAAAAAAAAAATTGGTAGAAAACATACTTGCCCTCAACTCGCATGAGACATATGATGTATCGGGGGCCCAGAAGGGGAGCACATTTCCCCCTCCACCCCCATACGTTCTTTCCCCATGTCCTGAGTAGGGCCCTTGATCTCCATGGCACAAAAGGTCAACGGGTTTCGATTTTGCTTCATTCTCGGCCCACTGCCGACGTCAAAAGGCTGCCGTTTCGCGGAAGGGAGAGTTCCGAGCCAAAAAGACATTTTCCTGTACGTAAGAAACGGAGTGACCGACAAGGGAGCCCCTGCTCGACCCTTGCGGCAGATGAAAATTTGCTCATCAGCCTTGGGGCTCTGAATAACGTGAAACTGGAACGATGAAACTGGAAAATTCGATTTGATGTGACGATCATGTCCGTTTGCGCCATAGAGTAGACGTGCTATCGAGCCTACCCTCTAAGTGGGCCCTAACTGGGCGCATCGCCGATGTTCTCACTAGTTGCCCCCGGAATACTTCTTCCTATTATTATACTCCCACTATAGCAGTTTTACGCCTATTGGTGCATATCTATCTAAAAGTAATACCTATTCGCGGGATTATTATATCGAGTATTACCAGGGGAACAGTGCTATATTGCTAGGGGACAGGTGCATGTGATGCGTAATGCTTAGCTTAATATAGTAAGTTACACATGAATAAGAGTATCTTTCTAGCTGCCGCCGACGCCACGATCGACACTGATTTCCCCGCGCTGTCAGGATTGACTCGGCGCACGTGGATCAAAGCACACGTGTATAGAGCAACTATCAGTCCCTTAGCATGGAGAAGAATCAACAATCTGTTCACCAATTTCTATTTGCACAACGTACAGTGATAGACCGAATAGCTACGCCATCTTGTTAACTATTAGTTTAGTCTCAAACAGAGGACTTGTCAATGTTGACAAGCCACCAGTCACTTCTGAGTTCTGTCAGAAGGTCAGGACTGGATGACCTATCATAAGTCTAACAATAGCTTACCTAACCACCTACCTACCCACCCACCTACCCTCGAGAGGGCTGTTTTCTGACCGGGATATGACAATGTGCAGACTGCATACTAGTCAAAAATACGGCCTTGAGGAAATGGCGAATCCACATGTCTAAATAATAGAATAAGAAAATTGTAGGTAGACAAGAATCTGTACTGGCGTGTTTACACCGACCACCGGCCATCTTATCGCTGGTGGGCAGGTACATAGTATGCAAACCTCAAGTTCCGGGGGTCCAGAGGCCGAGTCCGAGCGGGGCCAAAAGCGACAGAAAACTGTAGCTCGATTGCTAGGTAGGTAGCTTGATTGCAGGTCCTTTGTAGAAGCGCTATAGGTAAATACTGCCAGTCAACCAACAGCCATTCAATAACCATTTAATAAACAGCCAATCAATCAACAGCCTCTCAATTAATAGCTAGTTAATTAGGAGCTAGTTGTCAGTAATCTAGATATACTAGCTGTTAACTAACTGGCTACTGACTAGCAAGTTGCTGACTACCTAGCCGGCTGCTGATTCAACTGGCTGGTGGTTGACTACCTAGGTAGGTGGCTGTTAATTGACTGGTACCTCATGTAACGCATCTATAACGCATTCTCACCGCCTTCAAAAAATCGCCCCACTTGGAGTTGGCCTCTAAAGTACCTTCCTTTACCAGTGACATAATCCAAGCACCGATCCACCTCTCCAGCAAACGAAATATCCAAGATCGAACCTCCAAACGGCTTCGACATCGCGTCCGCTCGAGTCCAAAGTGCCCTCTATGCACTCCCTCGCGGATCAGGAAAGCTCGCCTTCCCATCGCCGCCCGCGCCAGTCATCGCCGCCCTCGTCGTCGCTCGCCCCACCGTCGAAGCGCCCCAAATTCGCCGACGCAAGCATGGCCAGCGCCACGGTGCGCGGCAAGCTGCCCGAAATCATTGACCTCAGCGAGCAGCCGTCCGCCTTTCAGCCACATGCCGGCGCAAAAAAGCTCGTCATCAAGAACCTGCGCCGCCCCGGCAACCGCGACGCGCAGATCGAACAGTACTACGCCCGGACGGAAAAGAATCTCGACGAAGGGCTGAGTGCCATCTTTGCGGGACAGAAGCCGGCTGTGCCACTGGAGAAACTGTATCGGGGCGTCGAGGATGTCTGCCGCAAAGGCAGCGCCGAAAAGGTCTACCGTTTGCTGATGAAGCGCATCGAGAAACATTTGCAGTCGGTAGTTCTTCCTCGAATAGGCAAGCCAGGTGGTGCGCCGCAAGTTGATATATTGAGAAATGTCTTGGCGGAGTGGAAGCTTTGGAATAGCCAAACGGTATTAATCGGCATCAAGGCTTAAGCCGGCATTGGCATATTGCTAACGCACAACAAACAGGTTCTCATTCGGTCCACATTCAGCTATCTCGACCGAACATATCTGCTACGGGAAGCCCTTCCATCCATCAACGACATGACGATTTCACAATTCCGCAGAATACTATTTAGCTCACAATGCGGAAGCCAAAGTCTCGAAAGCGACGTCATCGGCGGAGTTTGCGTCTTGGTGGAATACGACAGACGTGGCACTCCTCCGCTGGAAGCCGAATTGCTGAAAGATGCAATCATGATGCTATACGTCCAAGGCGTTTACACAAAATACTTTGAACCGGCCATAATTCAAACCTCCAAAGCCTACTTTGAAGACTTTGGAACCTCGCGGAGCATATCTGGCTTAAAAGAGTATATTGCAGCTTGTGAGGAGCTGCTCGTCAGCGAAGCGAATCGTTGCATGGCATACAACCTGGACAGCACAACGGAGAGACTATTGATGGAGCTGGCACATCGAATATTGATTCACGATTACTCTGAGAAGCTGCTCAACGAGGGCAGCTTGGCGAATCTTATGGGCGATAAGGATATGAAGTCGATGAAGGGTCTTTACGACCTGCTCAAACTTTCCGGTCTACAGAAGAAGCTCAAGGAGCCTTGGGCTGACTACGTCAGAAAGACTGGCGCGGCCATCATCTCTAACAAGGAACAGGGCGACGAGATGGTTATTCGTCTTTTGGAGCTGCGCCGATCTTTAGACTTGATGATCCGCGATGCTTTCGGCAGAGACGAGGATTTTCTGCGAGGCATGCGTGGAGCGTTTGGCGGATTCATGAACGATCGTACCATCGCTGCCTGCTGGGACACCGGGACGTCCATGATTGGCGAAATGACTGCTAAGCATATCGACATGCTACTGCGCGGCGGCTTGAAGACTCTGCCCAAGTCGTTACTGTCTGATGTTCAAGACCGAGCTACCGCAGAACGAGAAGGTCAGGCGAGTACGGGCGACGAAGATGCCGAGCTAGACAGGCAGTTGGATAACTCACTCGAACTGTTTCGCTTTATTGAAGGAAAAGATGCTTTTGAGGCCTTTTATAAAAAAGACTTGGCGAGGAGATTACTTATGGGCCGCAGCGCTAGCCAAGACGCCGAACGCAATATGCTAACGAAGCTTCGAGGAGAATGTGGCTCCAACTTTACGCACAATCTGGAACAAATGTTCAAGGACCAGGAGCTTGCAAAAGACGAGATGGAGGCATACAAGCAGCACTGTCAGTACACATCCGAAAGTAAATCGCCTGTGGATCTTCACGTCATGGTCTTGTCGGCAGCCGCCTGGCCAACGTATCCCGATATACGCCTGAACCTACCCGATGACGTCGCCACCCAGATTGAGAAATTTGACCGGCACTACAAAGGCAAGCACACGGGCCGCGTGCTGACCTGGAAGCACTCACTCGCGCACTGCTCTGTCAAGGCCGTCTTCCCTAAAGGCTCAAAGGAGCTTCTCGTGTCCGCCTTTCAGGCCGTCGTGCTGCTCATGTTCAACGAGGCCAGCGGCCCCCTCACGTATGATCAGCTCTCGACCGGCACGGGTCTGACGGGTGGAGAGCTCGAGCGCACTCTGCAGTCGCTGGCGTGCGGCAAGGCGCGCGTTCTGAGCAAATACCCCAAGGGCCGCGACGTCAAGAAGACGGACACGTTTACATTTAATGCCGCGTTTGCGGATCCAAAGTACAGGGTCAAGATTAACCAGATCCAGCTCAAGGAGACCAAGGAGGAAAACAAGGCGACTCACGAGCGCATCGCGCAGGACCGGCGCTTTGAGACGCAAGCCGCGATTGTGCGGATAATGAAGAGCCGCAAAGCCATGGGCCACGCGGAGCTGGTGGCTGAAGTCATCAATTTGACCAAGACGCGAGGCAGTGTAGAGCCTGCCGCCATTAAGAAGGAAATTGAAAGGTGAGAGAACTCAAGTATAAGTCGAAGAGAAGCTAACAAGAGTACAGTTTGATCGAAAAGGACTACATAGAGCGTGAGGGAAACGCGTACACGTACTTGGCGTAACAGCGGCCACATTGTGGCCACATTGTGACTATATCTTATTTAATCATATTTTTCCGAGGCAAGTAAGTTCTGGAGTGAGTGGCAGCCATCAAACCCAACGAACGCATCAGTCAGAAGGACACAACCAGATGCCACCCGTCCATTGGCCTTATACCTTGCAGTCAATACCTCATCAGCCACCTAGGTACTTTTTTCTTAATCAACAAAGTGCTAGTTTGTCGTTGCTCATATGGGACTTTGCATCATTGGGGTTCACAATGTACATACCTCGTTGCTTTCTTATAAACAGGGTTTTGTGGCGGGCTTACGCCTGACAGCCACGATAAAAAAACTTTTACTTTGACGCCATGTTTATATCGCTGGACATGTATAAATGCTTCGCAAGGCATACTGAATCAGGGTTCTGTTTTTTCCTACCTTTTATACACCAACGCACACATCTCGTTGTTCCCATACTCGAACTGCTTTGAACATCACACGCCCATCATGGCCAATACCTTTCACCCCTTCTCGCGGTTGCCCGCAGATCTGCGTGACATGATCTGGAAAGCGGCCGTCTGGGACCGAAGCCGTTCCAGCGCAAACTTCTTTACAATCTTGCCCTCCGATGGTGCGCTCCTCGGGAGGTCTCCTCGAGTCCGCCTCGGGCCTCCCACGCGCACCGGAAGAGTGTGCAACTACCGCCAGCAAGTAGGCAGCTGGGAGTCAACCATGGGATCGGGCTGCATGGTGGACAGCGGCTTGTGGGAGGCGTGCCACGAGTCGCGCGCAGTATTGAAGCGCACGTATCCCACTGCGCAGGGCTATGTCGGCGAGACGGCGACGGGGCCTGGTGACCGATCGGCGTGGCGTCACCCAGCGCTACACGTTTGTGCCGTCCAGAGACATGTTGGTCATTGGGTTGCATAACTTTATCCACGCCTTCTCGGATCCCGATCGCGAGATTGACTGTGTTTTTGACGTGCCCCCGGCAACGAACAATTCCGTTTTGTCGCCGTTGTAAGTTTCGATTCCATCCATGTTTCTCGTTTGTCGTGACTACTACCAGAGGGTACGTATGCTAACTACAACAACAGCTCAGTACCACCCTCTACTATTTCCGGCGCTCAGGAAACCCAGCCGAGAAGGCTCAGACTTAGAGACATGCGCCATATCACGGTTTTGCTGGACCGCGACTGGGAACGGATCGACAGACGAAGCATTGCAACCCTAGATTTCTTTGCCGCAATTACTGCAAGTCTGCGACCTGACATCAGTTTCTACCTGTGCTGGAGAGACATAGGCCATGTAGGCATTAATGAGGTGGTTGGGGACAAGAACGCGAGATTCTATACGAAAAACGGCTACTTTGAGCCCCTTAAGCGTCTGTAAAGTAAACATGTCTAAGTGCGCAATGATGTTATTGATTACGGCAGAGATAGAGTATAGTTAATGAATACGGGACCGCTATTAATTTACTTGACTTTCCCATATTTTTGCTGCCAAATACGCGAGGAACACTGGTAAACAGAGCGGCGGATAACGCGGCGCAATGGGCGCGATGCTCACATCGCTTGTATCAGCTGATTGAACAAACTGATAGACATGGCGAGGGCTACCGTGATCCCGCCACCATCGTCTCAGGGCAATGGTCTATTCGGCAGTTCACAGTCTGCACCCAACGGCTCGCGCACATATTTCCGCGGGAGGAGGCAGTATTCGACGGCAACCAAGTTGAGGAAGACATAATGCAATGCTCTACAAAGATTGGTGTACATGACAGCAGATTAGCGCCTTGTATTTTTCCTGTTGACGGTGTACGACGCTTTTGACCAAGTTCCGGTGCGACTTACGCAGTGATCCATATCAGCGTCGCAGCAGGCTCTCGCGCTATTCCAATCTGCGATGCCGCCTGGCAGGTAGGAGAGTCGCAGTCCGGGAGCTCGGCCGGCTCGGAAAACTCGACAAAGCCACCTCCAATGGCCCCGCCTGTCGCGGCGGCCTCGAGGGCGATGCGGACTGCGATACAGGTCTTCTGAAAAGAGCACGACGAGTGACACTTTGAGGCGAGTAAAGTTGCAACATGAATCATGCACACTAGATTGAAGACGACATAGATGGATACCTAAACATTGGATTGTGCTCTTGATTAGCAAGGGGCCGGTTCCGAGACAAGAGAAGCTTCGCGGAGGCAGGGGGGGGGGGGGGTATTGGTCTTTCCGCGCACCATGATGTATCCGGGCATGACATTGTATTCCCAGGTGACGGTGGCGTATATGAAGATGCCGAGGGCCAGGGCGAGCATGATGATGGCAAGGGCGCGGACGACCATTTCGACGCAGACGACGACGCGTTGGCTACGTGTAAGTCGTGCCATTCCGTGTGTGCGGGCGTCAGGCACTGCACTCCAAACGGACGGTATGGGACACTGTGAATTGAAGCAGATTACAAGCACTGAGAGATGTCGGAAAAATTATCTTTCTGATGGAATCGATCAGGGAAAAGAAGTTGCGGGCGTAGGTGGCCACAGATGTGCGAGATCTTGCTTGGCATTGAGGAGGGGGCCAGGTCACGGCTGGCTGCGTTTGCGCGTTACACAAGCGTGCGTCTGGCGCGTGTCTTGACGATATCGAGCGTTTACTGATCACCATATTGTATGACTGACATGACTTCACATCATAAGCTTCATCATACTTGCAGACTTCGCCTAGGGGCCAGGCCATTACTTGTAGGGTTAGGCTGTGGGAACGACGAGAGTCATGGCATGTACAGCGAATAAGTGGTGGGACAAATGTGCCGATCTGAAGAAGATGGGGCGTGATTACAAACAAAATGGAGAGTAACAGCGAATAAGGTGATTGGCGCGCCAAGGTCAACGAAATTTGGATTCTTATGCACTATTGAGCACCTCTCGATATTCCAGTCATGTAAGCTGTGCAGTGGGCGCCATTCGTACCGCATCGGGCCGGGGTCTTGTCCATAAACACCGAGCGTGTTCGAGTCAGAGACGGAAGCAAGTTTCAAAGGCGACACGAGCATGCTGGGGGCGATTTGCACAGGCTCATCAGAGACAGAGCAGCGGATGTTGCAGCCGTCTCGTGTAGAGGACCGTGCTAGAAAAAAAAGACGCTGATGACGGAAGAAGGCGCTTGGCTCCGCCCTCCGCGACGCACTTTCGATTAGAATATACTGGGCACATGCAATCTATTCTTTGCTCTTGCTTGGGCTTCGCCGGGATGAGAAATGCAACCTGCCTGAGAACCTAGTCTAGAGGCTCAGTCAGGCACGCAAGAATGATGAAGACATTATGTTTGGTTTATACTTAGGGCTCGGGCTACCGATAAGCGGCTAGCTAACAATGTCGGGCGGTTATTACTGAGCTTTCACGCGAGCCAGAAAAAGGAAAGAAAAATAATATCGTATTCTGGCCCTGGGCAATAACTAGTGCGCATGTGCGTACCTAGGAATAAGCTGGGGTCTAACTAGATGTGATGCGCGGCAAGGGTCCAGACAGGAGAAAAAAAACGACGCAGACGCTGTTGAAACAGGAGCAACTCGTAATGCTGGGGAATGATCACCATCGAAACTCGTCTTTGTAATCGCTATATATATTTGTTTGTGATGACAGCAACAGATGTGCCGTTGATGCGCAACGGGTACTGCGGCATGTGCGGCAAGGGGAAAGGTTAATTCAAGAAGGATCAGGAGGGTTACGGCGATGTGCAGGGCCAATTAACAAAGGCGAGACCCGCTGTAGCCCCTGTAGGAGAGCCACCAGAGAGAAGCCAATCAGGGGAAATGGTCTTGCCCGCCCACAGAGCAAGGAACCGCCAATCAATCGACGCTGGTATCCGTACATTGTGTACAAATGAATAATAATTAAAAGATATTCTGGGACGGCGCCAACCTTGCACGTGCCTCATACCTGAATACGAAAAAAAAAAAATGTCAACGTAGATTTCCTGCAGCTGCAGCCAGTGCGTTGATCGGATTTTACCGTCTCCTACCTGTCAGTTTGTGCAGACGGGCGCAGGCCTACCTTACTCTAATATTTACAGGTACTTTACTACCTAGGTACAGGTACCTGCGCCACTGGCTGTACCTGCATACCCGCCTGAGTACCTACCAAAATCAGTTACTTTTGTGATGACCTCTCATGACACCAATCACAAAAATTCTCATCACTCAATGTCTTTTGCCTCAGTATTTATTACGGAGTACTCCGTTCGAATACCAGCAGTCATTCATTTATTTCTCCTCCACATGTTTACCCCTGTGCTGCCTCATTAAACTCGTCTGTCTGCACAACGGTACCTGATCAGACATGCCTCCACCCCGGCCACTACTTGAAATGCCCCCCCCTCAAAACTCCCCCTCAGGCCTTGTCTGTCCCACTCACAGCCAATAATACTCAGTCCCTCACTGGGCGGCTGGCCCGTCCCAAGTGTCTTGCCGCCTGGCACCTACAAGTATCTTTCTCCTCTGAATCCACTATCCAGGCACACTCCGAGACCCCCCAAAGGACCTCCTGGCGCCAGGAGCCCTGACAGAAGGTACTTGCCGCTAGCACTACCTTACCTACCTAGGTAGGCACCTACCAGGAGAGAGGCGCCGCGCCCAAAGTCGCCGACTGACTGCCCCTGGATGACTTGCCTCTCCAGCTTCATCTCTCTGCCTCCTCCTCAGTCACCACCACCACTCTCCTTTTCCCCGCCGGCATTCTTCCTCCACCACAGGCATTCCATCCTCTCTCTTTATCTGCCTGGTCGGTTCCTCTTTTCCTGCATCTGTGCTTTCTTCTGATTCTTCTCTTTTTTTTTTTCTCGGCCCTGATTGACCCCTGTTTGACCTACCAACGAACCCACCACATCTCCATCACCACCAATAATCACGACCGCCTCGCCCCCTCGACGACACTACGGATACACACCACTACACGGCGCCATACCGCTTTGGCTGCCCACCCCCTTCATCCGTCGTTTGTCTTTTGCCCACAACGCCCTGCTAGTTAGACTCTGCCGCCTAGTCTGCTTCGAGCCTCTGCACGACTTTCATCTTTCTTTGTTCGCCTCCTGGCTTCAGCCTTGATCCCCTCCTTCACGCTTCTCCTCACCAGCTTCTGCAATCTTGCTTTGCGGTAACCTTGCGCTGCTGCGATCGAGTCTCGTCTTCTTCGCCTACCTTTCTTGTCTCAATTCACTTCAAGCCGTCCTTTGATCACTTGCCGGCTCCTTTGGCTCATCTTGTCGTGCTCGATTCTCCAACTTTGACACTCTTGCTCGCCGCTCCTCGCATCCGTCCCAGATGTCGATTTGCGCCTTGTTTTATTAACATTCATCTTCGCCTTCAATCACTCTCGTTAACAACGTTCCCCTTTCGCTTCCCACCTCTTGTTTACATACCTCTCCTGGACGAGCTCACTTGCGCCTTCTGCTTCGACGCCGATACCCCTTTCGAATCCGATTCATCCTGTACTCGCATCGACACCTCCCGATCGACTCGATATTGTGTCAATCTCGTGCTTCCTTGTCATACAAGTACCTTGAAATCGACTTCGTCAACTTGTTATCACTGCCAGGCAGACTTGTTCCTGTCACTTGCTTAACTGCATTACCGCGATTCCCTGTATCAATACCTGTCTATTGCTTCTACTCGTGTACAGTCAGCCTTTTGCTCAAGTTCTTCTTGCGCAAATCACTAGCCAGCTGCCCGTGTCCGTCTTGGGCACGATACGTTTTTCAAAACGGCTGTTCTATCTCACTCCGGGCGGGACGCACTCGTCCCCCCTCACCTTCTCGGTATGCAGGACTTGAACGGCTCCGGCCACAATGGCGGCAACTCGACACGTTTCCCTGGTCACGCCTCCAAACCCTCCAGCAGTGATACAGGTTTCTCCCATGGCGCCTTTACCTCCAACGTCTCTGGATTTGCCGAGAGACACCCTCGCCGAGGCAACATCCCTTCTCTCAATACCCATGTGAACCAGGGTCACGGCGCCAATGCTTCCGATGTCGCCTCCCCAGGAACCGCCTTTGATATGCAGTTCACACCTCTTCTCCCCTCACAACTTCTCATGGGAAGCCCCTTCCAACCCGGCAGCCCTGCGGCCTTTGGTAGCCCTCAGTTCCAGTCTCTTTCCGCTTTTCAGGGCTCTCAGCAGCCGCATCAGGGAAACCAGCAGCACAATGGCGGCATGTCGAGCCCTACCCAGCAAAATATGTCTCCTCAGCAGTACCACGCCATGGTTTCACCTTCTCAATACGGCGCGCCACAGTTCTTCCCGCCTCAGTCTCCCACGGGTGGTTTCAACATGCAGACCTCGATGCAGCCTGGCTCACCCGTGCCCATGAACGGCCCCTCCGCCAGTGGCACGAGCCGAACCGTCTACCTTGGTAACATTCCCCCCGACACATCGGCCGAAGAGATCCTCGGTCATGTTCGCAGTGGCCAAATTGAGTCGGTTCGTCTGCTTCCTGATAAGAACTGCGCCTTCATCTCCTTCCTCGACGCCAGCTCCGCCACCCACTTCCACTCAGATGCCATCTTGAAAAAGCTCTGCATCAAGGGTCAGGATATCAAGGTTGGTTGGGGTAAGGCTTCTCAGGTTCCTACATCGGTTGCCCTCGCTGTCCAGCAGTCTGGTGCTTCCCGGAATGTCTACTTGGGCAACTTGCCAGAGGAAGTGACGGAAGACGAGCTTCGCGAGGATCTCGGCAAGTTCGGTCCAATTGATACTGTCAAGCTCGTTCGCGAGAAGAGCATCGCCTTTATTCACTATTTATCCATTGCCAATGCTATCAAGGCCGTTACGCAACTCCCCCAGGAGCCCAAGTGGCAAGCGCCTCGCCGCGTTTATTACGGCAAGGACCGCTGCGCCTACGTCTCCAAGACGCAGCAGCAGAACGCCGCTCAATATCTCGGAATTGCCCCTGGCTACGCTCATATGCTGACTGGCGCTGACCGCGATGTCATCTCCAACGCCTTGGCCCAGCAGTCCGTTGCTGCCGCTGCTGTGGCCACTACTGCGGGGGGTATCAACAACTTGGGTAACCGCACCATTTACCTAGGCAACATTCACCCAGAGACTACAATCGAAGAGATTTGCAACGTTGTCCGTGGCGGGCTCTTGCACCATATTCGCTACATTCCCGACAAGCACATTTGCTTCGTCACCTTTATCGACCCCACCGCTGCCGCCTCCTTCTACGCCCTGAGTAACCTTCAGGGTCTGATGATCCACAACCGTCGGCTCAAAATTGGCTGGGGCAAGCATTCTGGTGCTCTGCCACCTGCGATTGCACTGGCTGTCAGCGGCGGTGCTTCGCGCAACGTTTACGTCGGCAACCTTGACGAAACTTGGACCGAGGAACGTCTGCGTCAAGACTTTTCCGAGTATGGTGAGATTGAGCTAGTCAATACTTTGCGTGAAAAGAGCTGTGCGTTTGTCAACTTTACCAATATTGCCAATGCCATCAAAGCCATCGAGGCTATTCGTGGTCGAGATGACTACAGAAAGTTCAAGGTCAACTTTGGCAAGGACCGTTGCGGCAATCCTCCTCGCCAAATGCAGCAGACTGCCTCGCCGCGCAGTGACGGTGTCGGTTCCCCGCAGGCTGGCAGCTCCCAGAATGGAAGTTCACCATCGAATGACGGCAACCAGCAGTCCGCGGCCCTCTTCAACGCCAACAACAACCCCCTTACCATGTACCTTAGCCAGCTCTCCCAACATGCCCACCAACAGCAGAACCAACAGCACCTGCAGATGGCTGCTCAACAGAATGCCATGTTTGGCACGGCCCAGTCTTCTGGAAACGAGCTGGGTCTAGATATGCCTCAGCCTCACCTTGGTTCTCATGGTCAGTCGGCTAGCATCTCCAATGGTTACTCCACCGGCCCTGGCGTGACTGGCTCCACAACTATTGGGGGACTTTTGGCCCCTGGTAGTGGGCGCGGCTCGCACAGCCGTGCTGTGAGCCTGCCGGCTTTCGGTCCTGGTTTTGAGAATGGCGGCAACAGCCCCAACAGCATGCATGGCAGCAACGGTAGCGAGGGTGAGCAGCAGCGACGCGGCCACCAATACCAGGCTAGCTACGGCGGCATGGGAGGCAGTGGCTTTGGCCTCGCGATTCAAAGCGGCCTCAACGGCTGGGCCGAAGAAGAAGTGGCCAATTAATGACCAAGTCAACTGCCCTGGATACGACCGGGCATGTACATGTATGAGACGTTGGAGGATTCATACCTTTTTTAATGGCTTTATCACTTGCCAACCATTTCTTGTTTTCCCATTCTTTCTCCGTTGTTGATATTTTTACCTTTTCGTCTTTGCATCATTCACTTTGTTATCGACACTTTCTACCCTCATTTTGCACCTAATTGCCAACACAGCTGACCAATCAGCTACCCATGTTAATATCCCATTTGGGTGGAGGATGCTCCTTTGTGTTGCGCGGCTGTGCGCGGTCAAAACTTTCTTCATTTTGGACATGTCTATTTTCATCTCATCTCTTTTTGGATCAGGGAAAGTGTCACCCTTGATCATAATGTGTACGTTGGAAACGTGCGTTTTTTTTTTTGGTGCTTGCTGTTGGAGAAGCACAACTTGAAATTGGTTGGGGCCGAGAAGCTGTAGGCCTTGCTAAACGTGAAGAGAAAAAGGGGGGAGTAGCTGGAGCATTTTTGGGTATAGCTATAGTAGTAATTCCGGATAAAACTTTGCTTTGAATGCAATGATTTTTTTCGTGTTGCTGAATGGTCCCATGTGCGCGTACTGTAGATGTCGCGGGCATTTATACTCGGCATGTGAATACTAATTCTATGTTCATGCGTACCCTTGTATATCTAATTTTATGAAATAATGTCATGTCATGTGCTGCATTCATCTTTCTTTCTTCAAGCCATTTATATCTGGTGGCTGGCTTTGTCTATCATTTATTTTTCAGTAGCCAGCAGGCTCAGGTTTGCTAGGCAGGGCCGGCTTATCCAAGTTGGCGCCGCACTGAGCCTTCCAGTCCGTCGGTGTGATGCGGTCAACGATTGATTTAAATGCCGCCTATTCCTTTGATTAGCAGGTACACGCAGACATATATATATATATATATATATATACGAATGAGGAAAGGGTGGGACGTACCAAAGTACACAGCGTCTCGTCGTCCTCGTAGTGCTTGCCCGCGGGCCGGCACCCCGGAATCCGTAGAGGCTCATCGTTGTACCGCACCCGGACGTAGTAACCCCGCAGGCGTTCTTTTTCCGCGTTCGTCAGCTCGTACGTCGGGCGGCGTCCTACGCGGCGCGCGCCGCCCAGCATGCGCGGCAGCGCCCACCACGACGACGATGATGATGACGATGCGGCGGCCGTCGGCGTCGGTACCACGCGCTCATCGCGGAGCAGCTCCACGGCAATGTGGCTTGTAAACGGCGGCCAGCTAAACGGACCATCGTTATCGGCGCCGAGGCCGGTGACGGTCGCGGCAAGGGTCGTGTCGTGGCAGCCAGAGAGGCCAAACTGCAACGCGGTGTGCTGCGAAGATGGCGGGGCGAGGCCCTCGGCGCTGTCAACCATGCGCTCCGTCATGTCAGCGAGGAGGCCGCCGATGCCGAGCGTGCGGTACTCGGCGCTCTCGCGGAAACCGGCGAACCACTCGTCGACGACGATTTTGATGCTGTCGGCGCGGAGCTGCGAGTCGTAGAATTCCTTGGGGAGCTTGGTGGCGGAGCCGTCGTGCGCATCGGTGGCGGCAATGGAGTCGAGGACGCCGACGAGGGCTGGGTGCGAGGCGACGCCGATGCGGGCATTCTTGGCGGCTGGGTCGGCGATCTTGGGGTCCGTTGTGGCTGCCGGGGGCATGTACTTGCGGAGCTTGGCGTTGATGCGGTCCATTTCGGGGGAGTCGTCCCAGCGCTCGGCGGCGCGGCGGCCAAAGGCACGCATCATGGCGTTGAAGCGCTTGCAGTTGGCCGTGTTAGGCAGCAGCGTGTCGTCAGCCCAGTGGCGGGTGTGAATAATGGGGGGCGCGAGGTCGGCAGCGCGCGTATCAGGCGGGTAGAGCCCGTGCAGGGCCTGCTGCATCGACTCGAGCGCGCGCGGCATGGGCGTGGAGCGCAGGTACATGTGGTTGGTGGCGGCGAGCGTCTCAGAAAGAAAGCCGAGCTGGTCGACGTACAGCCTGCGGAGGCGCTGGCCAAGCGCCGTCGCCGTCGCGCGGCCCTTGTCGGTGAGCTGGCCGAGCTCGCACATGTTGTCCAGGCTGCCGTTGGGTGTCGTCGTCGTCATCGTCGTGCCGAGGGTCGGAGTCTGGCTGTCGGCGGCAAAGGTTTCGAGGCGGCGTCGCCAGTCGAGCGTCGTCCAGGAACCAGAGGAAGGGTCGAGCACGGCCGAGACCATGCGCGAGGCCTGGCTGCAGTAGGGCCAGAACTCGGGCAGGCCTGTGCTGGCGGCGAAGCGGTTGACGACGGGCGTGCGCTCGCCATGGCGCATGAGCACCTGCACCTGCTGAAGCCGCAGCGAGGGCGGGTAGAGCCGGGCGAGCTCGTCGGGGGTGTACGCGGGGCGAGGCTCCAACGACATGTTTTCTAGGGGAGGTTGACGGGGCGGTGAGGATTTGGTTGTGATGCCGACCGAGTAAGGGAGCGAGATCGAAAGAGAAAAAGAACACAAAGCGAAAGGCCGATGGCTTGCGGTAAAACGGGCAAATGAGAGAACTAAAAACGGGGGTTCACGATGCTGGGGGAAAAGAACAGATCGCAGTACTTTCAAACGAATGAAGTTGTTCGGGGGAAGAGATGAGGAATGAGGAGGAAAAAAAAAAAACAAAGGAGGACCGGGTGCCTGATCGTCAAACGGAAGGCGGCTCGCAGCGGTCAAAATAAGCGACGGGGCGTCTGGGGCGGTGCCGAGGTCGGAGAGCCGTGAACCCCGGTCCGGTCGGGGTCTTCATGTCACGACAATGGGTGTAGTTCAACGACGAAGGATATATGTACGTTAACCATTATAGGCGGCAGATCATTCTTCTTTTTCTTGTGCCTTTCCCAGGTATATTCTCTATTACAGATGTGTGCTGTGTGCCTTGCATGCAAAGATGGATGTACTCATCTGTGGAGATGCCATCGAGAGATCTGCCGCTATGGCCGCACAAAATACCGACCAGATGGACAAGAAACAAAAAAACGCCCGACTATTCATATTTTTACCCGCACCACAGCAGCATCGTCACGAGTATACACGGCGATGCCTAAGCTAGAATTTACATTGCCGTCCGGATTTCGACTCCTCCCAGGCGAAAGAATGAAAGCCTTAGTCAACTAACAAAGTTGTCGTTTGGCTTCTTTTAACTCGCACATTGGAGCTACGTAATCAAGCAAGCTTCGATCTATTTCTGTACGTGGGCGACACGGCCACTCTCCCGCCACAAGTGAAAGCTATATTTCAGCAGCTTTTTGCTCTTGTACCAAGGAAATAACAAGCACTGGTCGCTCATAGCAGAACAAGGTTTAGCTCAGCCGCAGCCTTCCAGCTTTGCTAGATTCGGCTAACAAGGGACGCGAGTCAGTGACCGCCAGCCTCGTCCACCTTTGCAGCCACGAGCAAACAAGAGAAAAGTACAATGCTAAAAAAAACAATAGCAATGAATAACAATAATGAAGATTCAAAGGCTACGATATACAGTGGAGAAAGTATACTAGGAGAGTGAGTAATAAATAAATATAAAAAAATGATACAGCTATGGACGGCATAAACCGCTACCCAATTATAGCTCGCCAACGTATTCACTTTCACTTTCACTTTTAATGTATTTTATAAAAAATTGCGAGAAAATAATGGAACGAGTAGAAACAAGACTAGTTGCAAATGGTGCATCTATAGAGTGTACTCTCTGTTGTTTTTGATCTCAAAGCGGCTCTCCAATGCAGCGATGACGTTTCCAACAATGCCGTGTTCAGTAAATGTTTTTTCCTTCCATAAACACCATTGGGGCCAGTGTAATGAACAAAATAGCCAATCTCGGAACAAAATATAGTACGAGCGATGGAAGTAAATTGTTGAGGTAGCTGCCGTTGTAGATGATGCAGGCAGCTTCATCTCGCCCGTTGAGCGACAAACAGGCTGTCGGCGTTGCTCCGAATTTAGGGAAGACAGAGGTTCAGACTACAACCTCATGTCTATATGGTGGCTCAACTTCTCAGTATACATGTAATCGAGGATACAACCTGTTTTGGCACTGTCGTGATAGCGACTGAGCTACCCGTTCTTGACCACGAGTTTGAGCAACGGGTTGCAAAGCAAAATACCAATAACCGTTTTGATGTTTTCCTCCCTTGTAATAGGCTGTGGCGTTTATTAGTTGCCAAATTTCGAATATTTCCGGTTAATCCCGTGCCGTGCTCCCCCGGCCGAATCAACGCAGATCGCGGACCGGGTGTTGGGCGGCCATCATCGCAGCTGGGATGACGCCGAGATGTGCTCACACTACCGTGTATCTGCTGAAACCGTAGAATCAAATGTAAAAAAAAAATTGTTAACCGTTGAAGAATATCGACTACGTATTTTGAAAGAGGATTTGAGTAGACTACGCCGCTCAACGCAATGCAGAGAAGAAGACGCGTGGTTCTTGGGACGCGACCACCTTTGTTTGACACTCTTCTCGATGCTGACAATACGCACATTTATTTTCCCTGTACAACGCGGGTCGATAGTATTCTCAATAGGCACTGAAACAAGCAGTTGCCTTGAAATCCACCTTGTGTGGGCGGAGAGCGGCTCGGCCCTTGGTCCATGCTTTCTTGCGGGACGATTCACCATCTGACAAAAAACACACCGGCCGACTATTCGCTGGCATTTCATGCCTCAACGTCAGAGGTGCACACGACCTTCGGGCCAATCGCGTCATCTCCTTCGATGCTGCAGCGGGCTTCGAGGTGGGAGGGGCAGATGACGGGAAACATATTGGGCTACCTGTTCCAATGAGCGACAACTTTAGTAAAGGGGGTGCGGCGGCATGACGAGGAGACAGAGGGGTGAAGATGAGGGTGTGTATCCGAGAGTATCTGTTGAGCTGGTGTCTGGCATCAGAGTCTCGGCTTGTATTGTGAGACGAGTTGTCTCGGCTGGTGCAGAAGCTGCGTGTGGCAGTGCGCGGAGGGCGACTCCCGCATGTCACAGCGGGAGGTGACGTGAGCAACAGCATGACATGTCTGTCTCTTGAACACAGCTGCGCTCACAATCGACAACTGGAAGTGAGTCATTGGGCATCTCTCGCAGCGTCCCGACGTTGCAGTACATTGTCTTGCACAGACTGGTTTCAGACCCAATTTGCCATGATGCGTTGGTCAAGATGCAATGAAACCTCGGGTGTCCAGACGGGATAGTTTGAATGACGTGGTTGGATTAGTTTCGGAGCCGAAGACAGTCAGACACGACAAATCCGTGAGACCTGTCGCTTTCCTGCATATGGTTGCGGGTACGTGCCACCCTGTTTGACGTTTTTGCACATTATATATTCGCTGGTAAGTTGTACACGTGTCTGGGAATAAATGCGCCTCGTCAGATACTCGGGACTCGGCGGGGTGAATAGAGACACGAGGTGAGCCATTCAAATTCCGTGCTCTCTCGCTTCGCTGTAGCTTGTAGCCTGTGAGCGGTGCAGCTCACCACGACATTTCTTTTCTTGCGATCCTATGAAAGGACGATCGCTGTAATTATCTGTGTGCTTTGGCGAGTTGCGAGTGTGACTGGAATCATGTCAGTCTGCCAAAAGGTGTTGCAAGTCAGGCTACGGCTTGTCGTCATAATGAGTCTACTTTGCAGACCTCTTCAAACACCTCCAGCCACTTTTCAATTACCTTGTGTTCTGTGGTGTTGAAAAAAAAAATGACAAAGGTCCATGGTTCCGTGATGAAAATTGTTCTTCACTGGCTTCTGCGGCCTCGAGATGCTTGTTTGCCAGGCTTACAGCACCGATTTGACCGGGAATAATCCAAGGCTTCATTTGATGACAGAGAAACGAAACACAACACAATCGATTATACACAGGATTTCTTCTTCTTCTTCTTCTTCTTCTTCTTAAGCATCTGGAAGGCGTGAATTCCGGGCGCAAATGGAGCCATCGCGGCGGTGTCGGAGCTTCGAGTGATCGACATCGTATTCTCGCCCCGCCTCTGCCATTGGCAAGTCAGGATTCTCCTGAACATCTTCAATGTGCATCCTAACTATGAATCTCCAGAAACGTAGTCATCATCCATTGTTGCGCGTGAAAAATGCACGTTACAATTAGAAGTGTCGCGACAGGGTGTTGGTGGTCACGTTGCTGACCTGGTCGCGTAGGTGTATTGCCATCACTATCCGTAATATAGACGTTGATCAAAGTCAAAACTTGTGATCGTCGCCCGGCGCGTTTACGTTAGCGTACATAATCGGGCTGCTACCTGCCTAAATGGGTTGTCCCTGAGCTATACTTTGTGCTAAGTAGTTGGGTAGAACTTGGTTGTAAAGGCTTCTTTGCTATAAGGTTTATAACTATTTCATGGCGTAAAAGCCCGTCTCAACGCTCGGCCACGCGTGCGGCAATTCGATGCAACGTTGCCGTCCAGGGCTCCCGTTCCATTCAATAATGCAGGTACGTTTCCAATATTTGCTGCAAGCAATTGAGTAGTAGCGAGGACGGGCGTGGTAACATAAATAACTGTGCTTCGGTAGAAACACTCCTGCGAGCATTTTCTTTTTCTCTAGCAAAAAGCAGATAACTTTGTGCAGAATAAATTCACTACCAATGACTAAACATTCGTACCTCCTCTCAGCCATAGGGCTGATGTCCAGTACGTTGATCCAACAAGGCCGAAGCTTTGGCCTTGATTGAATGACGTCGTGTCGGATTGTCTAACTAGGAGTCAGGTTTGGCCCAATGTCAGCTTATTGGCATACCAACTTCACCATACACGCAGTCTGATGCCGTTTTTCCGCTCAGCCAAGTAAAGCAAATCGTCGTCGACTCGGCCTACGCACAGCAACGAGACACTGCGGGCCAGACTTTAATTCCACCCACACTACGCGAGTTTGCCAATACCTTTGCAGACGATTTAAAGGCAATCAATGTAATCGTCAGCGTTGTTGAGGGTTCTAAAAACTCGGTCGGCGGCATATTCCTCACCCTTGGCAATTCCACCAGCAGTCGAGATGCGGCTGGTCGGCCAACTTCGGAGGGCTATCAACTCACTACCGCCAGTTCGGGCATCACCATTGCCGGTGCGAGTCCCTTGGGAGCGTGGTGGGGTACAAGGACCATCCTGCAGCAGGCTATTCTCCAGAACCGCTCCATTGCCACCGGTACTGCCGTCGACGCACCTGGCTGGGGCACTCGTGGCATGATGCTTGACGCTGGCAGACATTTCTATCCCAAGGACTTTATCACAGACCTGTGTGCGTACATGTCCTTTTTCAAGCAAAACACCCTTCAGCTACATCTCAGCGACAACGTCATCGTACCAAAGTACAACCAAGACACTTTCAGAGCCATTTACGCTCGATTCCGGCTATGGTCTGACAGCGAAGTGGTCAAAGGATTAAACAATTACCTCAACGAGTCATATACGCGTCAAGACTTTGAAGAAATACAGAACAAGTGCGCTTCCAGGGGCGTCACAATTCTACCCGAGATTGAGGCGCCGGGACATAGCCTCGCGTTCGTCCAGTGGAAACCGCAAATTGGGTTCAATGGGGACTTTAGTCTGCTCAACATTTCGCACCCAGACACAATTCCTACTCTCAAGACTGTATGGAAAGAATTCCTATTATGGTTTCACTCCAAGGTTGTGTCTATTGGCGCGGATGAGTACCATGGGCCCGTGACGGACTACAACAACTATGTCATTGCCATGAATGACTTCATCGGCAAGGCGGGGAAAAGAATCAAGATCTGGGCCACATTCCCTCCTGGAAAGAGCCAGACCAGTAATCAAATCCCAACCAACGTTTCCATCCAGCATTGGTCATACTCTTTTGACAATCCTCTGAATGACTACATCAAGAACAACTACTCCGTTACAAACTCGGACGAGATGTATTATGTTGTGCTCAAGTGCTGCTACTACTACAGGTCCATCAATCTCAACACTGTATTTGGTGGCGACCCTGCCACTGGTGGTGCATGGTATCCCAATATATTCAGTAACAAAAAGGCCTCAGACAACGCCGCCCGTTCTGAGCGTCTCCTGGAAGGTGCGATTGCTCCTTTATGGAACGACCGTGGCGCGAATACCAGTGTCTACTCGGAAGCCTACTACGCCTGGCGGGACGGTATACCCGCATTAGCTGACAAGCAATGGGGTGGCAACCTGACCAGAGACCAGTTCCAAACCGTTTTCCCCAAACTCGTGGGCCAAGTCCCGGGCCAAAACCTCGAAAGATCTGTGCGTTCTCAAGGGAGCTCTATTTTCGAGTACAACTTTATCGGTCAGGGGAAGACGATCCAGGACATGTCGCCCAACAAATACGACGCGACTACTGATTGCAAGCGGACAGCGACGACTGTTCTCATCACGCCGCAGTGCTCACTGACCACGCCCCTGGATTCTAAAGGAAGGGACTATACCCTGTCAATGACGATTCAGGTCGACAAGCTCAATGACCCGACAAACACGACTCTGATTGCTGGTCGCGACTCTGTTCTCATGCTCACACCAAATCTCACCCTCTTTGCAGCTGGCATCTATTACCGCCTCAACAGCACGATACCGCTGAAGAAGAGGGTCGGGCTCAAACTCATCGGACGCGGAGCACAGACGTTTGCTACAATTGGAGGCGGCCAAGAGCAGGAATTTATTACTGTGATTGGTCGCAACGAGGAAGCGTTGATCCCGGCACCCATGGCAATTGAGGCACCTCTCAAAGCCGTGACTGGGTGGACTGGGGAGGTTATTGGGTTCAACCTTACGAATAAAGCCTAGGTAGTTAATGTAGCTAGCCGCCTAATCTTTTCAAAGGTTGATCCACGTGTGGACCGATAGATTCCACTTGCCGCTCAACCGCTTGCCTATTCATATCTGCCCAGGCGCTCCTGCGTTGACTGGGAGCAGGGCGTCGATCAAGTACTTGCCTACATCAACGTACACCAAGGCCTTTGGTGTAACTGCTAATAACTACCTGGCCAACATGATGTGGCAGTTAAAGACGGATCCACACCTTGATCGTGAATCAGGCCTTACCTAAGTTCACACATAATTCACCAGTCACACGTTCAAAAGTCATCCGCCTTCAAGCCCCCCCCCCCCCCCCGCCCCCAATTGTTCCTGTCGCCAAAACTTGACTCCTACTCCTTCACAACTTATACATCGACCTGTTCAAACATGGCTTGCGACTACAGCTGTTTTTTGTGTGGGGTTGGTATCACGACCGCATCACCGTCAGCCTGGTTGCACGAGTATCGAATAGGTGAGCAAACGCGCCCCCTCTGCCCTACATAGCTACTCACGCCAACGCTGCTAGTTTATCGCAACGGCACCGATGCTTTCGTCACCGGCGTGGGGTCTTTCGATGGTAGTTTTGAATGGCGGGCGCCTAGAGACCCGCTGCAGCAATGGGATACCATGTCCGAATCAGACGACGAGATACACGTACCAGTTATGTGCCAGGAAGCTATTGATGGTCTTCACGGCTTCGTCCTCCACAGCGCATGCTGGAATTTGTTAAGCAAGGCATGCAAGCCTGTTGGGCCGTCTCTGGAGCGACTACTGTCAATATGCGAGTCGCTTCCATTTCCCCATGTGGTATAACGGAGTGAGTTGAGGTCATGATTACGAAAGGCTTCTCGAGCTCGATCGCGGCCGCACGTACCCATGGATGGAGCGCTTTTCTCCTCCTTCCATCGCGTCCACTTTTGAGACGGGAGCAATGAGCGACCCGAATGATGTATCAGTCTTGCGCACGATGCTTCCGAGAGCAACGCCGCATTTCACAACAATGACAAGACCGTTGGCCAAGGATGCAGATCCCTTCTTTCGAGTTCCGTGGGATATTTGCAAAATGATTCTTGCAAACATACAGACACGGGACGCCTTGAATCTACGCCTGGCATCTCCGTCCTTCCTGCCGCTGTTCTCGAGCCTCTCCTTTTGGCTATCGCGATTCGTACCTGACGGTGAAAGGGGCTTCATCTTCGAAGTCGAGGAGGAAAGGGGAAACTGGGGAGTAGATGCGCTCTTGAAGATTCACCACAGTTCCAAACGCTCTCTTGGGCATCCGGCAATTACGAATCGGAAGCGTACGTGGAACTTGGCTCGAAGGCTAGCCTCACTCATCGAAACACCTAATATAAGCAACAATTCAAGTGAACAAACGTTTGACTCGTGGGAGTGGATTGAAATCACCGGTAGTGAGCACATGATTGATCCTGCGTTGCCATGGGAAAAATTCCAGGCGGGCTGCCGCTCAACCACAAGAACTGTTGTCAATGTTCCCCCTGATATCACCCAGATAGGCATCACCATTGTCAACGCTGGTGTCTGGAACTATGTTACGGGCATTAGGCTTATTGGCCGTGATGGGAATGAGCACGCTGCCGGTTATGTATCCAAGGACAAAGATGTCTTATGTCATCTGTCACAACTACATGGTCTTCGGGTGGCCATGGGACCAGGTGGAGTGAGGGCATTGCAAGTCGTTGCTGAGGGGCAACAAGTCTCTAAATGGATTGGGAACATTGAGGGGGTACCACAATCCGACCGTCTGGTGGTAGGAGCGCCAATTACCAGTTTGAGCGTCACGCTTGATGTAAGCAAACTGTCTCGCAGAAGTCTGTTGGTGCTAATTCTCTTTATACAGGGATACAAGGTCACTGGCCTTAGTGTCGATAGTAGTCAAGCCCAGCCTACGAGCATTCGACGCACAGCGCTATGGTATCCTAGCGTACCACCGGATTGCTTGTTGCTAAACCAGAACTCGTTCACAGACCAGGACCCGCTATCCGCTGGCTACCAACCTTTGTCTTGGATTCAATTCGGCGGCGAGGCAGGCAAAAGCTTGAAGCATGTTCAGGGTCTTGTAGTTCAATTCTCGTACTGCCTGCATGGGTTGCAATTCATGTACAATGAGTCTCATGGGACACAGTATTCAGATAAGCTCGGCCGCTGCACGGAAAGAAAGTTGCGGGACACATTCTTTTCAATTGATGGAGCCGGAGGAGAGAGGATTGAGTTGATCCATGTTGGCTTGCGCGAGATGGACGAGGACTCGCCTGATTCCGTTGTTCCTGGCACAGTGCAATATCTCGAGGTGAGGCCAACACACTATTGCAAGCCTTTTTTTTCTTATTTATACTAAAGCCGTTGTGAAGATGACGACAAATCGAGGCCGAAAGGTATGCATTGGTCAGAATTCAGATGACTTGAGGTCGTGGTCCAACAGCGCCACTCGAGGAACGACAATTACTGGCTTTTATGGACACTATGTCAGTTTCAACGAAACCTCTGTTCTCTCCAGGTACTAACAATAACAGGATGGTGCATATGGATATGGCCTTGTAAGTCTGGGTGCTATTTCGGAACGCATCGTCGATCCAATTTGACCTGATACCCTTTTATTAAGGGTGGGATCAATGCTTTACAGCGGACAAGTAGTGCTATCATACCGCCAAGTACCGGAAATACGCCCAAGTAGCTATAAAAAGGTGTTGTACGTAAGATGGCTGCATAGTTTTAGAAAATCCATCTGGACATTGTACTCTTCCTGAGGGCATCTATATGCTTTCTGATTTGGACATGTTGCCAGCTGCTTTCTAGCACCATGTGGCACGCGCCAAATGGAATCCAGGCACCAGGACAGCCACACGGGGTTTTCTGTACCTGCCTTCCGGGTAGTGTGCCGCTATGAAGGTACTAGCTTGCTACAGTGGGCCAAGATAATCCGGAGCAAATTACCATCAATTCTCCATATAAATGCTAGGCTCCTGGAGTCACTGGAATAGCTGCAATAGTTTCCCTTTTTTGCATCCGCCTTGCCGTGCTGTCACGTGTCGCCTCTGACAGGAGGCTTGAATTCTTCAGTAGAAATTCTCAAACTTAGCATCAGGGCCTTGTTTCTGGCCGTCGTAAGGCTGCGAGCCAAGTAGCGACAGAAACCGGCCCTTTCCACATCAGGAACAAGGGCGCTGCTGCACATGTCTCCATTCAGACAAGACCGAAATAGCTTTTCTTGCCAAGACGGAACATCGGCTCAGCCCTCGACATGCCCAAAGCCAAGGAACGAGCACGATTAGGGGTGGGCTGATCCCCCAACTTTCGGCGCATTTTTCATCTATTTGTGATTTGGGCATTATTGCCGTCGCCGGCGCTAGATCCTTCACCGACCGCAGTTGTAATTTTGCCTCGTTAGGCAGCAAACACTTTCTACTCGCCGACGGTATCTTCCGACCAAGCAAGACAGCAGCAAGCACATTGTCTGATGAAACGGAAAAGAAAAGAAAAGAAAAAACATCGATCAAATTGTCTCATCTCGCAACTTCTTACCTATCCAACACCATGTGGCTTACTTTATTCGTCGCCGCGCTTGCAGCATGGCCAGCAGCGGCCGCGTCCTCCCAAACGGTCGAGGTGGACTTGATCTTTCCTCGCAACGGCACCACATACGATACCACAGAGGCCGTCTTCCCCTTTGTCTTTGCCATACAAAACGTCAAGGCTTCGCCGTCGCTGCTCCTGACGCTCGACTACAACGTCTTCCCCGCGGGGGACTACAGCGGCAACCACACCGCCCTCACCGGCTCCCGCAACTGGCAGTCCATCGACGCCGTCAACGGCAGCGATCCCTACTTCATCTCTGACTTTTCCAAGGCGTTCAATGCCACCGCCGCCGACTGGGAGCTGCGCTGGACCCTCTCCTGGAGCAACTGCACCGCGAGTGACGACGTGCAGCGCGTCGCCATCTCCGGCGGCTCCAAACTACAGACCATCAGGTTCTCGACGGCCAAGAGCGGCGGGCAAAAAATCGATTTGGCCGCGGCCACGGCTGAAGGGGCTTGCGACGAGTCCGCCTCGGCCGTTGCGCTGACCATTGAGGAGATGCTTGACAACCCGTTCCCGGACAGGTACCACGGCAAGTCGCAGTGCCCCCGCCTGGCGAAAGCGACGCCCAAGGCGGACCCCTGCAAGGTCAAGATTGACCAGGCGCTCGCCTCCAACATCACCGCGACGCTGGCAAACAAGGCCTGTCATGCTGGGCCTAACCCGCCAGACAAGTGCCCGGGCGACCCAAAAGGAAGCTTGGCGACGCATGGCGGTGGCATCGGTGCCGGTACGTGGCTGCTTCTGCTGACGGGGTGCGTTGTGGTGGGACTCGGCTGGTAAATGAATATCCACCGAGTGTGTGCTTGATAATTTGTACTGAATACACTTAATATTGATCGGGTATATGTATCAAGTTGATGCAATGCGACGTGGGAGGGTGGAGTATCAGCACTAAATACATATTGATACACAGGGCAGCCGGCATATTCCACACCTTTTCGGCATCACGTCCGTCCCCTCTTTGTTCCTTTCTTTCACTCCGAACAACGGCATTATTATATAGACATCGACTCTATTGCCGAAGCCTGATCTACCATGTCAGGTACCGCTGGTGGATTTAGCGAAGCCCGCCCTGCCAGGCACGGCACTTTTCGTTACGAAAATGAGCTGTCGAGCGGGGGACATGAACATAAATGGCATTGACCGAGATTTGTATACGCTGTGGAATTAGTCACAGCAAGGCTACGGATGGATGCTACTAATTACAACAAGTATGAGCTGAATAGTCAACGGTAAGCAGATTATTGCTGCCAATCTGCAAGAAAGGGCTACAAAAAGAAAGGCACTCCTCCTTTTCCAGCTATCCTCAACTGAAAACACCTTCACCTACAGTCGAGAGAGCTTGTCAGCATGGCACCTCTCTGGACAAGGTCTACCGTCTTGGCGGCTAGCAGTCTACTGCTTGCTGCTGGAGCATCTGCTCAGGAGGCCTCGAGACTCGCTGCCAGCCCAGGCTATCTCAACAGAGACTCTTGCCCCGAACGTTGTGCCGTCGTGGGACACGACCCCTCGGACTGGTATGCGTACAAGGGCCTCGAGGAGTTTCGCACTTGCGACAGGACCATGTTCTACTACTTCAATCTCTACGACCAAGTTGACGATGCAACTCAACCGCATCGCGTATATGCCTGTACTTCGTACGGGCCTGACTGGGGCGTCGACGAGGTGGCTGAAGGCGAGCATCAACTGGTTCGACGTATCGGTGATGGGCCTTTCTGCCATCCTCGTAGGTCAATGATGTTGGCTGGTCGATCGGATGGCGATGATCGCGCCGCTAATGGGTCGATGTCGGCATCTTCATCTACCTCCTCGCACTCGTCCCCATCGGATGTCGCCGCGAAGTACGAATTGGGATGGTGGCACAATGATGGAGAACCCGCTACCGTTTCCATCCAGAGTCTTTCCAAACAGATGCGCAACTACCTGGCCAACAACCAAAACCTGGCCAACAACCAAAACCTGGCCAACAAGACAACTATGATGTTTGCCCAGTCTGGCAAAGCCACCATCGGTCTCTACGTTGGCGAGGATCTCAACGCCAAGGACATTGGCACGTATGCTCTCCAAGGCCTGGAAAGCGGCCTCCACGCCGGCAACATTCCCAGCAGCAGCATGGCACTGCAGAACTGCCAGTCGCACTATGACAGTGAGCACATTTTTGGTGTCGTTGCCACAAGCAATGGTACCTTTTCGTCAATTCAAAAGGCCATGCAGACGTGGCACAGCGGCAGCTGCCTGTCCTTTGGCGACTCCCTCCAATCCGCTGGCCCGGCATTCTTTGCCAAGCCTCTCATCGTGGCTGGCAACGACACTGCCTCCAATTCTACGGCTTCTTCGGCTAGCAGGAGATCGACGCCAGTCCGGCTGCCCGCCCGCGGCGAGTGCCGGGCCATCAAGGTCCAGCCGAACCATGGATGCCCCGAGCTGGCCCAAGACTGCGGCATCTCCCCCTCCGACTTTACAAAGTACAACCCAGGCAAGACCTTTTGCAGTGGACTCCAGCCGGGGATGCACGTTTGCTGTTCCTCGGGAACGCTGCCCGACTACCGACCCAAGAAGAACTCTGACGGATCATGCGCTTCTGTAAAGGTCGGAGGCGGCGACACCTGCGCCGGCCTTGCAGTCGCCAACAGCCTCACGCAAGATGAGCTGGAAGGTTTCAACAAGAACAAGACGTGGGGTTGGAGTGGCTGCAATCCTCTCTTTGCCGAGACGGTCATTTGCCTGAGTGACGGCACGCCGCCCATGCCAGCGACCATTGCCAACGCCGTGTGCGGCCCTCAGGTCGCGGGCACTAAGCAGCCGAGCGATACCAAGGACATTGCCGACCTCAACCCTTGCCCCCTCAATGCCTGCTGCGATATCTGGGGTTTTGTAAGTACAGAAAGAAGTAAAACGATTCCCGAGCAATAGCTAACTTTGAATGCATAGTGTGGTGTTACCAAGGAATTCTGCACTGATACCAACACTGGCAATCCGGGCACGGCCAAAAAGGGCACAAATGGCTGCATTTCCAACTGTGGAACCGATATTAAACAGGATGGTGGCCCGTCCGAGTTCCGCACCATTGGTTATTTCGAGGGATATCAGTTCAGCAGTCGCCAGTGTCTCTGGCAAGATGCCAGGCAGATTGACGGCTCCAAATATACGCATCTTCACTTTGGATTTGGCGACATTACACCCGACTTTCAGATTTCAGCCGGCAAGCCTGACAGCCAATACGAGTTTATGAACTTTAAGCTTGTGTCGGGAGGCGCCAAGAAGATTATCTCCTTTGGTGGCTGGGACTTTTCGACAAGCCCCAGCACTTACACCATCTTCCGCGAAGGTGTCAATCCCAACAATCGCGACAAGCTGGCCTCCAATATCGCCAAATTCGTGGAGGATAATAGCCTGGACGGTGTTGACATTGACTGGGAGTACCCCGGCGCTCCTGATATTCCCAACATTCCTCCCGGGTCCAAGCAGGATGGTATCAACTACCTCAAGTTTCTGGTAGTTCTCAAGTCCAAGCTCAATGGCAAATCGCTTTCCATTGCCGCCCCGGCGTCATTCTGGTACCTTAAGGGTTTTCCAATCAAGCGGATTTCTCAGGTAGTCGATTACATTGTCTATATGACATATGATCTGCACGGCCAATGGGATTCTCAGAACAAGAACTCGCAGGAAGGCTGCGATGATGGCATGTGCCTACGTAGCGGCGTCAACCTGACGGAGACAAAGACTGCGCTATCCATGGTTACTAAAGCCGGTGTGCCCTCGAGCAAGCTCGCCGTCGGCGTGACGAGCTATGGGCGATCCTTTGGCATGGCCCAGGCTGGGTGCTACGGCCCTTCGTGCAAGTACCTGGGCGGTCCTCTTGACTCTCAGGCCACAAAGGGCGTCTGTACCAATACGGGTGGCTACATTGCTGACGCAGAGATTTACGAATTGATGAGAGACCCTAAGCGCGTCACCAAGTCTTACAAGGACAAGGACAGTGACAGCAACATTCTCGTCTACGACAACACCCAGTGGGTGAGTTACATGGACGAGGACACACTCGCATCACGAACCAAGCTGTACAAGGGCTACAACATGGGCGGCACGACCAACTGGGCCATTGACCTAGAAGAAGTAAGCCCGCCGCCGCCTCACTCTAGCAGCTGGAGCAGCTTCTACGAGAAGATGAGCACCGGCGGAGATCCCTACCAGGTGGGCAAGCGCAACGGCAACTGGACCAATCTCAAGTGCTCCGACCCGGCCGTCTCGGGCGTGCGCAACCTGACGGCGGCGGAGCGCTGGGAGGCGCTCGACTGCGACGACGCGTGGAAGGACCTGATCAACGTCTGGAAGACCATTGACCGTCCCGAGGGCAGCCTGAGCTTTTCCGAGTCACTGTCGGCGACGGCCCACGGCCCGGAGCTTTCCAAGTGCGGCAACCTCTTGGACACGAGCAACTGCAACTCGCCGCTTGTGTGCGCGCAGATTGAAGGACCGGGCACGGGGCCCGCGGCGTATGAGATTTGGAACTCGCTCGTCATTGTGCACGAAATGTACGCGAGCTACGCGCACGCGCTGACGGCTGCCATGGCCAAGTCGGTCAACCCGGCGCTCGACGACTTTTTGCACAAGTTTGCACCCGTCGAACCGCCGCCGGACAATAAGTGGCTGCTGCTGCTGATTGACATGGTGACGCTGGGCGCCAGCATGGTGGCGGGGCCCTTTTTCAACTCGTTTCTGTCCAAGCTTCCGTACTTTGTCGTCAATGAGAATGCGCTCGACAACATCAAGGACACGACCATGACGGTGATTGGCCAGAGCACCACCATTGCAAAGGACCTGCTGGGCTCGTCGGGTAGCGACTGGACGCCGGACAAGCAGGCCGAGTTTTCAAACTACATGGGCCAGACCGTCACCGTCTGGAGCAAGTCGCTGGCCACGGGTCTGAGCCACCTGTTTCGCGGCCAGGATGGCGATATTGACACGCTCTGGAATATCATCAAGGGGGGAAAGCTTATTGCGGGCCGTCGCAGCAAAAAGTCTAAGCGCGACGTCATTGACGCCGTCGACCTCCTCCTCGACAGTGACAGCCGTGATGACGGTGACCTTTTCGACACTCGCGATCTTGTAGACACCCGCGACCTTGTCGACACTCGCGACGACGGCGACGCGCCAAAGCCCGGCGACGACGACTACAACACGCCCGAGCTCGAAGCCAGCGTCAGCAAAGCTTTCTTTGGCTACGCCATCCCCGCACTCTGGAGCGTCTCGGGCGCCTTCCCCGTCGTCCTCGACACGGGCTACGCGTGCGGCAAGGTCGACCCCATCAAGGGCTACATGACGCCCGACACGATGCACAAGACGTACGCGTGCGTCGACAACAAAATGTACTACCTGGGCAGCGCAAAGGGCGACGCGCAGTACTGCTACAAGCCCGCCGTGGGGTGCCCGGACAACTGCCGGGACGAGAAGTTTACGGCGCCGCCGGGGCTGGACTCGCTGGACAAGACGAGCTTTGGGGGGGTGACGCTGCAAGATCTTGTCGAGGGGTTAGTATTCTTTTTCCTTTTTCTATTTTTTTTTTTCACTTGCCCATCTCTTCTCTCATTTTTTTCCCCCTCTGTTTACCTTTTTTTTTTAGAAAAAGAGAAAAGAGATTACTTTGTTTTTTTGCTAACATGTGATAGGTCTGTTCGCACATACAAGGCCAACGGCAACTCCAACAAGGGCAAGACGCCCGACGCGACCGAAGGCAAGACGTTTGACAGCCTGTTTGACCAGGACATTCGGACGCCTGGCTTCATCAGCATTCCCGTGTGCAGCCCGGACATGGCCTACAAGGCGTGGAGGAGCTGGAAGAACAAGCCCGACAAGGACCAGGTCGGCTACCCGTGCATTGACCCCAAGTAAGGCGTCAGTCAGTCAGCACAACAGCGCAAAAGTGTTGATGATTTTATTTTTCTTCTCTTGTTTTGTTTTAATACATGTACTATTTTATTTTATTTTTATTTAAAAAAAAAAAGAATGAATCAACAAGGTTAACCCAATATTGTTTTGTTTCATCTTGTAGCCATTTGATCATGGGCCTAACTAAAATGGGTCTGCTCTCGCCGTTGGCACGTCGAGGCCTTTTCGTCAACCTGTCACCTGTCAGCCTGCCAATGTCGTGGCGAAGCATGAAATAATTGCCTCTTGAAAGTTGGCGTCTCTACTGGCGTTATAATTATCCAAAGCAATCTTGTATCATTTCTTCCGGGGTATACATTTTTTTTTTCCCAAGTTGCTACTTTTTTTTTTGTAGGCACTTGGCTATGTTTACGAGGTACAGATAGTGGTGACACCACCGAGTATTTACAGTACCTACACTTTTGGAACCCCACTGTAGCAAGTAGGTACCTAGGTAGTTAACCATGGAACAAATTCCGGATGCCTTGAGCCATTCACACAAAGCCAATTAAATCCATTCATCCATCCCTCCCTCCAAATCGACTAGTCCACATGAACCAAGCCGCCCTCCACCACGTTTTGCATGCTGCTGCATGTCTCACCTTTCCCGGCGATAAAAACTACGGTACAGCAGGATTTCCTGGGGGTTCCTCGGACCTGCGTTTGCTGCGGCCCATCTGCCGGCATCCCCAAGGTTGGCCATCAACTTGACAAGAGCAAGAGAAAACAACTCACCTTGTCACTTTCTCAGACGACGATGGACGCGCAAACAGGCATCAAAATCATCATCAAAATTAGTGCTCCGCAGGCCGCGCTCCATCCCTACGACAAGAGCGACAAGGCCGCCCGCCGCCCCAAGCGGCCCTTTGGTGGCTAGCATGATGCATCACCTCCCCCCCCCCCCCCCGGTCTGCGAGATGGCAGACGACAGGCCCGCTCGTTCCGTCTCGTTCATGGCAAACCTCTCTCGCGTCATTTTACGCTCTGCTTCACCGAATGGCGAGACTAATAAACATCTCTTTTGCGCCCGAAGAATGCAACGGCTGCCAAGACGTAGTCGCAGGCGCAGGACAGGGTTCAAATTAGCTTTGTTTGCTTGAGCGAGCCTTCTCTTATAGGTTTTGGTAAATTTTGACAGCTGTCAGGTAATGAATGGGTTCATCAACTACGGACAAGAACGGGTCGAGTTCGACGGGCAGGGTGCGGCGGCGAACTAGAACACTGAGGGAGTGGCTCCCGGTACGATAGTACGACACCCCTAACAACAACAACTTCTAGACTTTCTGGTCCTCGAACACAGAGTTGGACGGCTCCCGGAAGCAAAGCGCCGCTACTGGGGACTTTTTTTGCACTTCGCACTTCGCTTCCGGTACTCGGATGCACCCGCAATGGCAACCCGGCAGTGTCCACACCAGAGGCTCCCGTGTCCAGCCGGTGCATGTCATCACTCGGCCGGGTGGCATGGCGTGAGATGACAAGATGAGAGTCAAATATGATTGGAGACATGATTCAAGGTGGCTCGAGGCGACCCTCTGGTTTGTGGCGGAGATAGCTTGATCCAGTCCTGGTCTGGCGCTGCCCTCGCCCGCCAGTCATGGATCCCGGTTCACCCTCCCTCGCTCCTCGTCTCTCCGCTTGTGTTGTCTCTAACTAGCCTTCTCTCCACGCTCAGTCTAGTCCAGCTCCAAGCCTCAGCGTGATGCCCCGGAAGAAGAGAGAAAAGAGAAACAAAGTCGTCACGCTCAACAAAGACTCTGGGGTTGTCTGGCAATGGCGACCTCGCCCTGCTCAGCTTTCTTTGCCACAATCGGCATTGGCGTGACTGGTCAACTGATGAGTATTTCGTACTTTCGCTTGGTCTACGGGCTAGTTGGTTAATAGTCGCAGATACTCGTTCCCACTCCACCCTTCCCGGGACATATGACTGTCCCGCCAGGGTGCCGATAACTAACCAGCAAGTCCTGCCCCGAGACAAAACGGCCCAGGACATCGTGTCGACGGATGGTCGCAGTCAGTCTGCTTCTCCGCCACTTGTCTGCCTAATTCTCGCAGACGTGCCAGAGTGATGCTCAAAGTGGACCACGCCCAAGTCGACAAAGACAAGCCTTGATGCGGTCGCACCAGGCTTAAATCATGAACAACTGGTATGTACAGGGCCTGCCAGCTACCCTCCCTCCAATCACAGCCCACCGCGCACTCCCATACTTACAAGACTTCGCGCGGAAAGTTTATTCTTGACAGCATTATCGCACGGCAAGTCTAACCGCTAATCAGCCAAATTTAGACCTCTAGAAAGGAAGTGAAGCTCAGATCGGCGTGGGTGCCTTTTTATACCTGTACCCACTGCCGCTAGCTCTACCACCTGAATTCCGCCATATTATTGCCTGGGCTGGGCCGGAGTGCAAAGCACCCGTCAACTCGTCATTCGACCTTTTTATGCCAGAGCATTTTGGGACCCCTACTGGTACATGCCTGCTTGACGCATCAAAACGGATCCAGTCTGCTTTCTGTTGTCTGTGTCTGCAAACTTCGGCCCGTGCAGTCGTTCGTCTTACTCGCCACGAGCTGTCCAGTCGCAAATGAGCTACTGATATAACAGCCACCCTGCCCACCTCCCTCTCTTCATCTCGCCCGCACAACTCCAACTCCATCTACAACGAGCTTGGTCTGCTTCCTCCCCGACTGGTGTTTTGTTTCAATACTCACCTTTTCCATCACTGTCGCGCTATTACTGCGTGACTAATATATGCCATTATGCCTTTAGAAGACACAATGGAGCTGGACCGCCCAGAGAGCTTTGTAAGTCGGCCTCCCCCCCCCGCATCGCAGTACACCCCGGTGCTCTCCGACGAGATTCATGAGCAGCGGCTGATCAACAATTCGAATTGCAGTCTCGTTTCTCCGACTTGCCTCCTGAGATACGCCTCGTCGTTTGGGAGTACAGCCTCCCTGGCACCCGAATTGTCAGTGTTCGTTGTGGCGCCGACGACCTGATGTCCGACTCGCGTCGGAGCCCGGTCGCCGTCCTCGGCTGCACCACGACGACGCCAAACCCCGCCAACTTGCATATTTGCGTCGAGTCACGTACCGAGGCCATCAAGAGTTATCGCCGTTGCTTTGGTTTCGCCCACCATCCTGGCCATATTTATTTTGACCCCTCTCGCGATGTGCTCTACTTTGGCCCTCGAGCTGGCTACATGGCCGCTGACGCGCAGTTTCGCACTTGCATGTCCATGTGCGACGAGGCCGAGTTGGCCGCCGTGCGCCGTATTGCCCTCAGCGACGCTCTTTTCTGGCAGACAAACACGTACCACTCGATGACGGCTACGGGTTCCAGCATTGAATTACTGCGCATCATTCGCCGGCGTCTGCCGAACCTCGAACTGATTGTGTTTGTACCACGCGAACAAGACGAAGCGAACCCCGACGAACTCGATCATACACTGCAGCGTATTCACGAGCAGGTTCTTACAGCATTCAATACCTTGGCGGAGGATCAAGTTACTTGGAGCATGCCAGAGTGGCATGTTACAACCTTGAAGGCACTTTACAGTGCTGCGGGAGGAAGCATTCCTGCCACTCAGAATATGACATGAGCTGCTCCAGACGGGAACTGCTCCAAACCGTGAACCGCTCCAATAGCAGCCATTCCCAAAAAAAAAAATGAGCTAACCCGTTTCTGCTCGACAATGCAGGCTCGTCTAAACGTTTGTGGCAACGAGCTTGTTTTTTTCTTTCCCGGTCACTGGTGCTGAAGGAGGTGGTATTCTGCAATGCAACCCCATCAGGCAGTCAGACATGCAGGACACGCACGCCAACATCAAAGGTCTAAAAACCGAGCCTGATGCTGGAGCTTGTTTTTTTTTCTTGTCGCCACGGGCTAAATACAGTCACTAGCCAAAAAAGAAAGTCCAAGACACACAAAGAGCACACCTTGACTCCCCGTTTGGGCGACCGGTTCACGGTGTGTGTGGCAACTGCAACCTGACCAAGCCGTGGGTGTCCCACCACACGGCCGCCGCCGCCGCACCATGACGAATGGTGGTGCAAGCTGTTGCCTTTGCACGTGGTAACTTGTCATATGCGATGTGCGCAAAGAGAAAACAGGAATTCCGAATGCTCATGTGCGTTTCCTTTTTTTTTTTTTTTTTCGTTTTTTTTCTTTTGCCAGATATAGGAATGTACGCCGGCGTGTTTGTTGGGTGCTACCCTGTTCCGGCTTGCGACTTGCGGAAGCAAGGCTGGACAATGAATGTACCTGCCATCATCCCGGAGATATATCGACGACAAAATGTTGATCAGCGGAAACAAAATGAACTGCGCCACGCTCGAGACTGAAACTGCGTATGCTAGAAATACGTCTAGTGTGGATAAACGAGACGCATCGAGTAGGGGGGGGAGCAGACGAGCAAGATAAAATTAGACCTGGGCTGCTGATGTAGAAGCTACGGATGCGGGGATGCTACCTGTGAATGTGATTTTGTACAAGACATCAAGTCTACCATAAATACCATAAATATAGCCTTGTATATATTGTGTAATTTTCAAGTCCCTTTATAATTTGGCGTCTATAATATGTTACATGCACGGTACATGTGGTGTGTAGATGTACCCTTTTCATAAGAAAAACAAAACTCCGGCTATCCCAACCACAATAACAAGAAAAACCAATAAACCGAGCCCGTATTTTTCCCCGCGCACCAAGATATGCCCCCCTCCCCTTCCCCCCCATCACGACTTTGCCCGGGCATTGCCCAAGCCGATGCCCTTTCTCCTTCCCCTCACCAGCGCCTTGAGCGCCCTCCCCAACGCAGGCAAGTCCCCAAGCAGCGTAATGTGTCCTCGCTCCGTGCTCACGCGGCCGCCGCGCACGAGCGCGTATCCCTCGGGCAGCATAGCCTCCCGCGCGAGCACGACGCCGTCGCCCGAGCGAAACACGAGGTCGTCGTAGGCGTCGGCGCGGGCGATGCCGTCGCGGCCGTGCACGGCGGCGGCGCACACCGTCGGAATGGCCTTGCCGTAGAGCACCGCCAGCGGCGGGTAGGCGTTGCTGGCCTGCAGACGCGCGTCGTGGCGCGCTTCCCGGCGAAAGGCGCGAATGTCGGCGAGGGTACGTCGCAGGTACTCGTAGTTGGCGCGCCGGTCGTCGTCGGCGGCGGCGAGCCACGCGGCTTCGGTAATGGTGGAGAGGGACCAAGAGGATGGAGTAGTAGTGGTGGCGGTGGCGGTAGTGGGAGGGGATGTGGTGGTGGTGGTGGTCATGGATGGTGTCATGGGGTCGAGCTCGTTTTGTAGACGGTCGCCTTTGCTGTCGCTGCGCGGCCGCAAAAACGAGTGCGGCAAAAAGGAGGATAGGGAAGAAGAGGACATTACGACTGCTGGGGACGACGACGACGACGACTTGGCGAGGGCCGGCAGCGGCGGCTCCAGACACGGGCTGAGGCGGTACCGGACCCAGCTCATGGGGTCGAGAAAGTCGACTGGCAGCGGCTCGCCCGTGTTCTTGTCGACAAAGCAGAAGCCGTCCTCGGGCAGCAGCGCAAAGCTGGTGCGAATGGAAAAGTTGACGCGCGCCGTCAGCAGCTTCTCGTTGAACAGCACAGCGTCGCCGTTGCGCAGCGGCCCGAGGATGTTCATGCACTGGTGCGGCGTGCCCGCGTACAGCACGCCCGCAAAGAGCTCGGGCCGCTGGTTGACAGCGTGTCGGGTAATCAGCCCTCCGAGGCTATGCGCGATGACAATGGCGCCGCGCGGTTCATATCCTCCTCCTCCGCCTTCTGCTGCTGCTTCTGCTCCCGCCACGCCACCGGGTTGGTTGTTGTTATTGTTGTTGTTGTTGGCGGGCAGCGAGGCCAAAAACTCTTGCAACTGCTTCGAAAGGCGTCGCGGACTAAGACGCCAGTCGTAGCCAAAATCCCAGACGCGCAGACGACCGGCCTGCGCGTGCGGCGAAGCCTGCAGCTTGCGAAACAGCTTGCGTGATACGTCAATGGGGCCAATGTTTTTGAGCATGCCCGAGGGAATGATGCGTTCCGGCATCGACTCCTCGTCGGCGTCAGTCAGGCCGACTTCGAGATCTGCCTTGCGCAGGTTGAGGCCCAGCTTGACGGGCGCCCACAGCTGGTGGTGCGGAGGGTCGGCGGAGCGTAGGACGGACCCGCGGTAACCGCCGAGGATGACGACGTCGCCGGTGAGGTGCTGCAGCATGTCGTCAAAGTCGTCCTTGACCGGCGGCGGCGGCTGTGGCGACGCCTGGTCAAAGGTTGACTCAGGAGCAACGTCGCGGGATGATGACGGCGCGTGATGGACGTTGGCGTTGTCGCTGGAAAAAATGCCGTTGAGGGAGAGGTGTGAGCGGCGCGCCGTGGCCTGCAGCTTGGCCAGCGACGGCATCTTAAAGTTGGGCACGTCGGGCAGGCTGTCGCGAAAAGCCAGCAACCGCATATTGACCATTTCGCGCACGTCGTGAAAGCGGTCGTCGTCGCCGAGCGACGACTGCCGCGAGAGCGTGTGGTAGAGGATGCTCTCGTCCGAGGCCGTCCGCCGGAGCGACAAGGAGCCCAGGCGCGGCTGCTGCTGCTGCTGCTGCTGCTGCTGCTGCTGCTGCCGCGGTGCTGCGTCGCCGCCAGTCGTCGTTGTCGTCGTCTGGGATCGCGAAGATCGGGTGGCGTGGTGCCCGCCGATGCTGATGCTGGGCATCGAGTCGGCGAGATTGTTCAGGTATTTCGTCGGCAGCGACGGCAGGAAGCTGGACGGCGAGCCAAACGAGGGCAGCACCTTTTGGAAGCGCTTCAGGGCGTCCTGGCCGGCCGATCCGGACCGTTGGTGGCGGGTCGAGCAGAGCGATGAGCCCAGAACGCTTTTGGTGTGTTGCGTCCTTGTGGTGGTGGTGGTGGCGGCGGCGGCGGCGGCGGTGGTAGTAGTAGTGGTGGTGGATTGTTGATAGACGTCTTGAGAGTTGAAAGGCGCGGGCATGGACAGTGGCGAGCTCTTGGGACCGGCGGCGACGTCTGCTTTTGGGGGAGTCGAGGGCCGCTTCGCCATCGTCGTCGCCATTGCCGTCGCAGCGTCGTCGTCGTCATTGGAGTCTTCGGCCACAGCAGCGGGTGTTTCAAAGAAGCCCGTCATGCGCTCCATGGCAGCGACTTTCTCGACAGCCGGCGTGTGAATGGACGTGAGGTGGCTGGCGGCACGGCTCATGGCCGGCTGCAGCACTGCCTGTACATCGTCTTGGTCCGGGTACGTGGAGCGTTCGGCGGCGACGTTGGCGGCCTCGTCGTCGGAGGTGACGTCGGGGGAGGGAGGATGCGAAAGACGCTGCTGAGCTGGCGCCGCGGCGCGGGTGCTGCTCTCCTCCGTTGGGGCCGCCATTGTCCGAAAAAAAAGTAAGTCAAGCTGGCTGTGAGATTTTGTCGCATTCAATATTGTCCAATGCGACTTCTTCAAGAGCCAATTGGGGGGGGGGGGGTGTCCGTCGCAGAGATTAATGAGATGAGACGAGACAAGGTGAGTGAGTGGTTGACGTAGGGCTGACTGATGTGGTGTGGGTGGATGACGTTTTTTTTTCCCCTTTGGTGGTCAATGGGTTTTCACATGCAAAAGCTGATGGAGAGACGACACGGACGGTTCGACTACAGCCCAGGCTTGAGAAATATCCAAAATGGTCGATTGAGGTGTTTCTTGTTCAGAGTTGGAAAAATAACTACGGAAAGAAGAAGAAACAAAGCAGTCGGAATTGGCGGTAGTTGGTGGGCGCGGAAGAAGCGGAAGGCTGGCAGTTGGCTATTGACAAGGTCAATTGGGCGAGTTGGCTGCCCCGCCTGGAGCTGTCGCCTGGTCCCGCCGCCCGGAGATTATGGCCAAGCGGCAGTACAACCAGTTGGAGGCGTACAGGGGGCTTGTCGGCCATTTACATGCGTCAATTACGACAGAGATTCAAAAGGGTTAAACGTAAAATCAAAGCTGTTGAAGAAAGACGGTGCACAACTTGAACAACCCCATTCTGCCATCCTGCAAGCCAAGTAAACACCCCACATTCGCTAGCGATGACGGCATTACCGTTTTTGGCGGTCCCCCCCATGATAAACACACGCTGTTATAGAAAATACTCGACACAGCAAAAATGAATAATGAGTGCAAGGGGAATAAAGGGCCTACGTGTCCAAAGTATATGTGAAAACCCCGGATGTCACGTTCTGGAGCCTGTCACGCCCATATCCAGCCAGCCCTGCCAAGAAGCTAGCCGCCCGTGATGGCTACCCTTGATCGTCAACTGTCGAGGCCAAAAGACAGTGGCTGTCTGACAGCGAATCGATGTGCGGTACTCAATCTAATTACGGCCCGATGGCTTTTGCTTAGAACAGCCTTGCTTACATGCGCTGGCTCAGCCGCGTCAATCTGCCAACTGATCTCAATCAAAAGCATTGCCCAGCTGTGCCGTCGCTGCGAAGGTGCGTCCCAACTTGTAGCGCCACTCACTCACTACCTCTTGGGCCACACCCACCCCAAGCGAGCGCCCGTTATAACGGCATTGGAAGGAGCGGCACACCTTCTTCTCCCAAATGGGCTTTCCTTAGGTTACTTGCGCATGGCCTTGTGAGGCTTGTCAGCAGACGTGTATATAACACGAAGAAAGCTGGCATAGTCTGTCTTTTACAAAACATAATTGTATAACTTATGAGCGACGTCTTCAACTGCCACAGTCTTGTCGCATTTTATTGTCAACAAGTATCACTCAACAAACATTTTAGCCTGGTATAGTTATACATACATACACACAGACATTCACTTTTCACAATGGGCAAGCTTGAAAAAAAGCAGGAAGCTCTCGCCGAGCAATCCTCTGACATTCATGACCTCCCGTCCCCCAAATATACCTCAACCGCTCCCTCCCACTTCCCTGACGACGACGACGATGACGACGACGACGACGACAACACCCCCTCCGCCCCTCCGCCCGGCTACATCCCCGGCCCGTCGCCGTATCAAAAAGTGCCCGTCGGCTGGAACCTCTACTACAAGCCATGGTCCATGCGCACCTACCATATCGGCACCCACGCCGACCAGCCCGTCTTTACGCTGGAGCTGCACTCTGGACTCTTATCCTCACGCCCCTTTCTCATCCTCCTCGACGGCGGCAGCGGCAGCGGCAGCGGCAGCGGCGGTGCCGACACCAAGACCCAGCCGCGCCGCCTCGCCACCGCCCACCGCGACGGCCTCTTCAAGGCGCACGCCGCCATCACTCTCCTCCTCGTCGATCCGCCGCTGACGGAGAAGCTCACGGCTCACACGCGCGGCCTCAGCTTTTCCTTTCCCGTCAGCACCGGCAACAACAACAACAATTCCAACACGCCGCAACAACGACGACAAGACTTTGAATGGAGATACTCGCACGGAAAAGAAGTACGCGCGCTGGATCGCTGGGGCCAAGGCTGGAAGCTCGTCCATTTAGAGTCTGACGGTGATGGCGGCGGCGGTAGCGAGGGCAAGACGACGACGACGACGACGACGACGACGACGACGAGCAGAAAGGAGCGGCCGCATGGAGAGACGAGCGATGGACGGCCCGTCGTGGCCGTGCTAGCGGATAATTCGAAATGGAGCAGGACAAAGCTAGCCAGGTTTCACTTTGTCGGCGCGGGTGCGACTGACGAGTTTGGCGAGGCTTGGGCGCTGTATGTTACCATGACGGCGCTGCGCATCTGGGAGATGACGATGAATGCAGGCATGACGGCGGTGTCTGCATAGATTGTAGTCGCATCCTGAGTTATTACAGCACGCGTCACTAAATAAAAACTTTCATCGTCCTATTGGTATAAATTGGGCGTACAGACGCCTCAGCTTGTTAAATGAGTGGTGAATGATCAGCCAACGCCTAAAACAGCCCCGCGTTGGGGTAATTTTCCAGAATCTGCAGCTCGTCCTGCATCAGGTTTAATATATTCTCATACCCCGCCGTCCAGTCCATTGTTCCCAGCACCGCCGGGTCCCAGTCTTCCGGCAGCGCTGACAACGACGCGTCCGTTCCCGTCCCCGTCACCTCCTCCGTCAGCGGCAGCACGGTCCCCAGGCCCTGCTGCTGAAAGCCACCACCACCGCCGCCGCCGCTGCTCGTCCCCGCTTCCAGCATCTGCTGCTTCTCCAGCGCCTGCGGGTAGCCCTGCGCCTGCGGCGGCGGTTGCTGCTGCTGCTGCTGCTGCTGCTGCTGCACGCCAATGGTAAACTGCTGCTGCAGCAAATCGTTGACGTTGTCGAGCGCCTGCGGCATCTCGGGCACAGTGACGCTGCTGTTGTTGAGCTTGAGCTTGACGCCGACAAAGAGGCCGGCGACCTCGCACATGACGTGGCACAGCTGGTGGAAGCGCTTCAGGCGCTTCGAGACGTCGAGCGCGTGGCTGAGCGACTCGATAAACTCTTGCAGGAGCACGAGGTCGTCGATGGACAGCGTCTCGAGAACGTGGCGGAGAATAACGAAAAAGGGCGCAAACGGCGTGTGGAGAATCGTCCTGGTTCATGATTGATGAGCATTCCTAGTTTGGGCATGTTGCACGGTACAGTGTCAGACATCAAAACGTACCAATTAATATAGCTCGACCTGGCGTACGGCCCCATGCGCATCAGGTGCATCGAGCGCTTGTGCGTGCGCATCGCCCTGCGCGCCGCCTCGACGCACTCATTCTTAAACAGGTCCTGGCCGTCGAGCGCCGACACGGCCTGGTACACGAGCGTCAGGTTGACCGACAGCTGAATCTCCTCGCCGATGCGAAAAATCTCCGTCAGGATCGGCGCGTCCTCATTGTCCGGATACTGCTCCTGGTGCGTCTCGGCCTCGCGCAGCAGGTGGCGGCACTCGGCGGCCAGCTCCATCGCGTCGGCGACGCGCACGGCGGGCGGCGCGGCGCGGCCCTTGGGCGAGTACAGCCGCTCGTAGATGCGGCCCTGCGCGACGCTGGCGCGCACCCAAAACTTGGTCATGCAATGCGTGTCGGCCGCGGTGTAGCGGAAGCTAAACTCGGGCGGAATGTCAATGTCGTACTCGGGGATGCAGGAGCCGCGGTTGAGCCGCAGGCACAGCGCCTTGTCGATAATGTAGACGTTCCAGAAGAGGATGCGCTCGAGTCGCACCGCGTCGGCGGACTTGTGCGCCGACGCCGCCACGCTGTGGAAGCCGGCGGCGATGCACAGCTGCGCGGCCGTGGTGCACAGCTGCCATGCCACGGCCGGTCGCGACTCGTCAATAGAGACAAATGTCTGTATACAGGTCAGTGGGGAAACATTTCGTGAAAAATTTGGACAAGGAAATTTACTCCTAATAAGAGCGCTTGCACGTTTTCCGCCGTCGATGATAACAGCAGCGGCAGGTTGGCCAAGCCGGTATCAACGTTTGCTCGGCAGAGCTCGGCATGGGCTTTGTATTCCGCGAGCAACTCCGGCGAGACGCCCAGCATGCTCATTTCTTCAAAGACGTAGTATAACAATGAGCTAATGAGGACGAATTTGATGCTAGATATGTTATCGAGATGCTCGTATTCTCGCTTTATGACCTCGGCAACGTCATCCAAACCTATCGAGGCTACAAGCATCATAATCAGCGTTGGGGGGTCACCTGCAGCAATCAAGTTAGCCAAACAGACCACGCTTCTTTTTATTGCGCAGCGCCAATGGGGATCCCATACAAGTTAGTCTGTCAAGCGCAGTGAGCGCCACCTGCAGCGGCGGCATCTCCAGCTTGCCGACGCCGCCGGGCGGCACGGGTTTCTGCATTGGAAACGGCGACGCCAGGGTCTCGCCACTGTCGGTGCCGGCGGGATTCTGGAGGTGGCGCTTGCCGAGCAAGTCGTAGAGGCTGCCGAGGGCGGCGCCCATCTTGGCGTCGACGCCGTAGAGGGTGGTGCTGCGGACGGCCTGCTTGAGCAGCGCGACGGTGATGTCGGTCTGGACGTTGAGGCCCTGGTCGGGCTCGGGCTCGGTCAAGTCAATGTTGGCGGGCGTGTTGATGGCCGACGAGTCGGAGATTGTAACGCTCGTGTTGGGCGAGGCGACGCTGCCGCCGCCGCCGCCGATGCCATGGTTGCCGGGCGAGCGCTGGCTCTCGCGACGCTTGAGCAGCCGCTCGATGCTGCCCAGGCTGGTTTCTATCCGGTCAATCTTTTGCTCACTGCGGGCGGTGCGCGTCAGTTCTGGCAGTCTTGTCGCTTTAGAAGCCATGGATCTTGCAACGAGAGCACGCACTAGAGTGATGAAATGTGAATGCGCTGCTTGCGCTGCAGGCCAGGATTTTCTGCGCCCGTGGTTGTGCATGTTCGCTTGGCCGACTTGCAGCTGGAACAGGGCACCTTTTTATCACAGCGCGTCTATGAATCAATGCGTGAATAATCAGCGTCCATTTCTCAGACCTGCGTGGCATGTTCCCCGTCTCTGTCATACCTTGCTGCGTCTGCATTGGTCGCACTAAAATCCCCCGGGGGGTCGCCGTCAAGATTAGCTTCTTTTTCGATTTTGCTATCGTGGAGTGGTCGTTGGTGCCATCATACCGCTCGACGAGCCGGCTGCTCATTAGGTATATACTCGGGCGTCGCCATAACGTGGCAGGCCTCCCACTACAAGCCTCGATATGTGAGCAGAAAGATGCCGTTTCTCATGCGGGTGCCTGAATCAAGTCCGCAAACGCTTCTTGCTCAGAGTTGTCGCAGAGTTAATGCGGGGACAGCAGATTGCAGGAATTCACAACGGTCCCAGGATCTCGTGCCGGCGGTAAAATCGTTTAATATGGCTTTTACGTTGCAGGGATGGGAAAAGCTCAAAGATGATCATCAATCTAGAGAACAAGCCATCCACCGCAAACGTACATTCGTTTGAGAGCCTCCGCCACACGGCAGCCTCACGAGTCACCAGTTTTTGCCGCACAGCCCCGTCGGTTAGGTCCCGGTGGTCCCCCAAGTCCCCTAACTAGTTAGCTTCATTAATAATTATCCCACTCGGCAGTGCAAACCGTGTGCATCATCGACGGCAGCCGACCGCAAAGGCTGCCTGGCGCATCCATTAAAACTGAAATTGCAACTAGAAGCTTGGACTGGCCTTGGCATTCCTCATAGTCAGCCCTAATAATAAGAAAGCACATAGCATGCGCTGTAGGTCCTTTGTATATGCTATCACAGCTAGCTGCCAGAGTCAACAGCGCCAGTCAACAGCTAGCTGCCGGAGTCAACAGTGCCAGAGTCAACAGCCAGCTGCCAGCTGCCAGAGTTATGCTAGGGCTACTATACTCCGTGCTAAGTACGTAATTAGTTAAGTAATTAGAGCAGCTGCCACGCATCTGCAATTGAGCATCATTTTTCTGCCGTTTTTTTCCCCCACTTCGGCCAAGGCTGAGCTTTATTCGACCAAGGTTGAGCTGGTCCCCCATAATAAGGCCACGTAACGCCCATGCCATGGCGTAAAAAACCGTGCATTGAATACGCTACACGTGCGCATCTTGAAAGCGTCGCTTCATGCCGAGATTTAGGACGGCCTCCTACATTATATTATCCGAGTCTACTGAAGCCTCACATGTACAGCCAAAACCAGAATAGAGAAAAAAGACAAATGAAGCTGTCTATTGTATAATGACGCCTTTTTTCAACAAACCATGTTGACCCCTAGTTCCGTCCCCCTTCCTTTTATGCCTTGCTTTTTATATCCTCTACCTGCTTCTCCATCTCGCCCTTGATCCTCGTAATCGTCCCCGCGCCGCCGTACACCATGTTAGTATACACCATGGCCACGCTCGCGCCCGCGTTGAGCACCCGCAGCGCCTGCTCGCCGTTTGTCACACCTCCCGTAGCGAAAAGCGTCTTGCGCGCGTCGCCCTTGTCCGTCGTCGTCGTCGTCGCGTGGCCCTCGCGCGCGTACGCATCCATCATGGTGCGGTAGCGGCCGACCAGGTCCAGCGTGCGCGAGAACATGGCCGGCCCTGAGTAGCCGCCCGTCTCGCCCAGCGCGCGTTGATCCTTGGCCGACAGCCGCACGCCCTCGGGCACGATGCCCGCGCGGCGCTTGGTCGTGTTGCCGACAATGACGCCGTCGACGCCGCTCCGATGCACCGCCTCGACCACGCCCGCCATCTGCGCGTCATCATCCTCGTCAGGCGACACCTTGACCATGACCTTGGGCCGCGTCTTGCGCTCCGTCTTGTGCGCTGCCTCGACCACGGCCGTCAGCAGCCGCGTCAGCGGCTCCGTCGCCTGTAGGTCGCGCAGCCCGGGCGTGTTGGGGCTGCTGACGTTGACCACGACAATGTCCGCGTAGCGCGCTAGACGGTTCACGCAGTAGACGTAGTCGGCCGCCACTGCCGCCTGATCCTTTTCGTCTGTCTCCTTGTTCTTGGCGATCTGCACCGCGAGCAGCCGGCCCGTGGCCAGGCTGCCCGGCAGCACGCCGGCCTCGCCGTTGAGCACCTGCTCCTCAGTCGCGCCAACTTGACGGGCGAAGCGCCGGACCCGTTTACGCAGACGCTGAGCTACGGCGTCGGCACCCTGCGAGTTGAGGCCGTAGCGGTTCACGAGACCGTCGAGGCCGGCAACGCGGAAGCACCGCGGGCGCTCGTTGCCAGCCTGCGCCATTGGTGTAATGCCGCCAATCTCGACGACGCCGGCACCGAGAGCAAACAAGACATCTGTTAACTCGCCGTCCTTATCCAAGCCCGCCGAGATGCCGACCGGGTTGTCAATCGTGGTGCCGAATACCTCGGTCGTGAGCTTGGAGGGCGCGGCGTGGCGGGGCTGACGTTCGCGCGGATGTAGATTCGCCTCGTAGAGAAACTGCAGTATCTTGGAGCCTATATGATGCGCGTCCTCGGCGTCGGGGAAAAGGGTGCGCAGCAACGGTGGGATGACGTGATGGTGGAGGAGCGAGGCGCGCGTGTCCGTCACGTAGAGGTAGCCGACGTAGCCTGTCGCGGCGAGGGCGGTGGCGTACAGGGCGACCTTGGTGCGCCCAAGGCCGACAGAGCCGCCAGAGGAGCTCGAGGCAAATCGCACCGTCGTCGTCGGTGTGCATGTTGTGAGGCGCGGCTGCGTGGCTCGAGGTCGGGTGGGTAGCCGGCGGCACACCGATTGCCGAAGAGTGGGCATGGCGGACATGATTGCGTGAGGATGTTCGAGGAAAATGGACCGGGCCGCTACTATGGAATGGTCCGTTATGTCCTACTCGTCTGCCAGCAAATCGAGGGTTTTATGGTGTGGTGTTGATTATGGCTCTCGATTGGGGCCCGATTGAGAGCTTCCGAAAATCACGAGCTATTGTCGGATAATCAACAACAGTGTTAATTGGGCAGAAAACTGTACAATTGCACTGTCTACATAACGGCGGTCATTCGTTGCTGAAAAGCCGGCGATGTCGAGTAAATTTCCGTTGCCTGTTATTTTCTATTTTCTCTAATGTATTATAGCTTCTTACCACTAGTTTTGCGGGAATTTTTTTCACCATGAACTCGAGGCTGTTTTGCCTGATATTCCTGCCCGTAAGGTTCTGTCAGAACAACACTTGACGCGGTATATATAAAGTGATGGAATCTATTAATAGCGACAAAGTGCAACGCCATACGTAGATCAAAGGTGCGCTGCTGAAAATAGTAGTAACTCTCCGCCAATCATATAAAGCCTCGCGGCAGATTGACAATCCTGGTGTGCGAGTATAAGTGATGTGCCAAGATCATCGTGTGATGGTTGATCGCCGAGTATGTCCCACCTGTAGAGGCCTCTCGGCGCACTACCATATGTATTGTCAAGAGAACGGCATTTCTATCTAAATAAATTACATGTTAAAATTTACCGCAAATTGACACTGTGGCTTACATCTGTCCAGACGGATGGTCTTTTGGTTGGCCCTGCAAGACTGATGCCCACATCTAGTGTACGATTTGAGATAGCGTGGGACCTGTGCTCTGCTATGTTATGAAAGAGAGAATCGGAAGTATTACTTGAGATCATGTGCATCTCGGGCTCATTTGAAAATGTAGCGTGCGCGCTCCAGATATATGTTTCCTAGATATTTAGCGGAGGGCCTTCTGCAGCGCCCACGAAGCGCGCAATCTACCCACAGAGCTGAATAATAACCTGCATGCCCAAACGTTCTGATATGGAGGTGCTGCCATTATCAACTCCAGGTGGGACAATATCACGGGCTGAATATGCTAGAATGAGGCGCCCGTTCTTGGCGTCGAGCGGATCTCGCTTGGTGGCTGATGCGGAACCCGAAGCTGGTCAAAGCCACGAGCCAAGCGCGACTCGGGCCACGACCACGTATTACAGCTGCCTCAAGAATGCAAAATGGTTAATATGAGAGGAAAGACGCTGCCCATAAAACTATCGGTTGCAGTATTTGGAAACGGCAATGCCAACGAGCAAATACCTTTTGGGCGTGATGGAGTGCCAGTCCGACTTGTCACGAGTTTGGTCATCAGCAATTTGCTCTCGTGTAAGACTAGTTTGCTTGGCAAAAAGAAGTTTATTAGCACGGGGATGCTGGGCTGACTGGAGGTTCCACCGCACCTTTGACTCCGCGAGTTGATGATGCGGCAGCCGGCCAAGTCTGGCGACGGCGAAGAAGAAGGGCGGCGTTGCTTAAGATCGGCCGGCCAACTCTATATGGTGAAAAGAAGGAAATGCATCGGGATTAATCAGGATCGGATAGCTCTGGCGCACAGCCACATGCGCGTCGTCATGCCGGACCGGGATTGGACGTGCCGTTATTGATTTTGGCTGCGGCCGAGGCTTGCTGGGACGGGATTCGGGTATGGTGGGTCAGGCGAAAGGCACAGCTGTTGCAGGACATGGATGAAGAGGTTGTGGTAAGAAACATGTCCACCCATGGTGATTCGAGAAAAAAAGTTTTTTATACCTTTCTTAATTTCTTTCTGAACCCGGACTGTATAAGTAGATGACGAATTTGTACTTGTTAAACCTGCGGCTACTTCCCAATGCATTGACGCGCGATTCATCAACTCCCTTCCAGACTCTTACAGAGAGGCTCCAGCGGCTCGCGAATTCCGTTTCATCCGCTATATTGCCCCTGTCGTCCGCTGATTATGCGCTAAAATCCTGCCCCAGACCGCTATACAGCCCTGTGCGCCTTTCCTATTTCGGTATCCACGATGTCGGGCCTGCATCTCTGCTTACTGGATACAACCTCGCCCGTGTCAACGCCTGTCAACAACTCTTTGTCTTTACGGCTGCGCGGGTCTCATGCTTTCATCGCGAGGCCTACACAGCCCTGCATTATCTCCCCAATTACTGCTTCTGGTGCCGAAAATAACCCGGGCTACGCACCTTGTGCAGCTCATCGCCGGCCACATATCCGGGGATGCGGGACCATTTTTTTGGGCGTTGTCGCGGTCCCTTGCCAAACTGAACCCACACACCCCTGCTTCTGGATTACTGTTTTACACTGCCGTTGCGGTCGCATTGTTGGATGCTGTTTTTTTTTTCTCTGTAGCTATCTCCCGCACTGGTAGGGATCATGACGTTGTGGCTGAGACTTCTCGGTGATCATCTCTGGGGATATATAGCTGCTGCTTACCCTCCCCCGTGTCCTTCTTCTCGTCGTTCCTTCCACTGAGAGAGCTTATACTAGACACCATCAAATCCAATTCCTCTACCGCGCTGACATTCCATTCCGTTGACATCTTTGAAAACACTTTTGTCAAACATCAGTCATCATGAAGCTCACCGCTTCCGTCGCCATGGCACTCGCCTCCCTGGCGGCCGCCGACATCTTCGACGATTCCACCGAAGAGCTCAAGCTCGATATGGACGACGTCCCGAGGTCCTGCAAGACCATCTGCAACCCAATCGCCACCCTCTCCAAGCAGTGCGACGTCGACCTCGGTCTCGGCAAGGGCAAGGACGAGGACCTCCTCCACAACCAGTGTGTCTGCACCAACAACAGTTTCAAGGTTGGCCAGATCGCCGCCGAGTGCGCCGACTGTATGCATCAGCACATAAAAGCCAAGCGCAGCTTGAGTAGCCACGACGACGACGACGACATTGACTCGGACGACGTCAAAGGTAAGCATTTCACGGCTGACCAAATAATGTAGAGCTGCTTGACTGACCTCTTAACACAGACATTGACCGTCTCGTCTCCGGCTGCGGCTTCTCCTCTGCCCACTACAACCCGACAATGGCCGCGGCCGCTGCCACAATTACCGTCGATGCCACGGCGCCGTCGCACAAGGACCAGCTCACGACCACAATCAAGGGCACCCACAACGCCGCCGCTCCCACCGCCATTCCCGGTTACATGTACGCTGGCGCCGCCGCCGCCGCCGCTGCTGCCATGCTGTAGGTGAAGATTTCGGCAAGATTTTCTCAAAGAACCAACAGCAACGAAAGGGGCTGTTTTATTGCAGCTTGACACCTGCACTCGGCTTATGTGCGATACACGGGTACTTGGAGTAATGGACTTCTAGAACAGCGTTGCATTTCTGATTTTATGGATGTAAACTTAGACAACACCTTGTTTTTCTATGAATAATGAACTCCCGAAGGATTTATGTGTTTATCTACGATTCAATGTGTGAGAAAAGACACCGAAATAGCTTGATCGTGGAAGCCAATTCAACTCTCACGAATTTGCTTCATAGGGGTGACAGCACCTGGGAACACGACAAATCAAAGGTCAAAAGAAAGATTACATGGAACCCCACCACAAAAAGGTCTGTGACTTCTCCTCGGGAAACCTGCTCGTCATCCTGGTGCTCAAGAACCGTTTTTGGAACATTCTGGGGATCGTGGTGGCCATTTTGGCCGGGCTGTTCCCCAGTGTTGGCAGGCACGCCCGCCACGCTGGATGTCATCCACATCGTCGCCCTTCTCGACACCTTCTTCTTCTCTTTCATTCATAATCATTACGAATATACCTCCTTTACCTGCTTTTATCAGTGTGCCGATCGGTCGTGATACTTCCCTCCGTCTCTCTCTCTCTCTCTGTGCCTCCCGTTCGATTGACCACACCCCGACCCTGGCGTCGCGCCGCGCCGACCTCTTCTCTACTCCCAACCAGCAACCCCCCGGCTCCCTCCTCTTGTGCCTGCTCTTGTGGCTGTGGCTGTGCCCGTGCCTCTGTGGCCACATGGCACGAATGGTTCCTGCTGCACCCATGGCGGTGGGCGGCCGCCATGCAGAAGACGACAGACGTCGAGCTTGACGTGCTCGACAACACTCCCGCCTCCTCGGCTCTCACGCTCCCACCGCCTAGCCGCACCCCCTCAACCTCCACCTATACAACCGGCCGCTTGAAGTTCAAGGAGGAAAAGCAAGAGGGAGTTGTCCTACGCCCCGGCAACGGCGGCGGCGGCGGCGGCAATGATGGCGGCAGCGGCAGCGGCGACGGAGACGAGGCTCGTGCTATAGCCTCTGGATCGCGGGTATGCTCCGCAGGTAGTACTACTACTAAAGGTAGTTGTTGGTCCCGTTAGGGATAATACGTACGTATCACGGGTCGGTTTGGTTGGTGTTGATTGCTTATTGTTATGGTTATCGTGTGTTGTTGGCTCTGTCTGACCTGCAGTGATTGATCTAGGTACAAGATTGGGTCTATCGTGGATTTGGGCCAATGAGAGGGCTGCAGCTAGATATTGCAACGGTAGTAAATAGTGTTATTTGATCTTCTCATCCTTGAACCCATGTGTCTCTGCCTCTGCATTTTTGCAGTGCTCTTGCAGGGCATTCTCTGCTCTATGGCGCGTTCCAGCTAGTCTTTGTCAACAGTCATGGTTTCAATCTGTGGCAAGTTGGCCTATCCTTCCCAGGATTTGGTCTTGGTATGATCGGCCTTATCTTCATGAATCCTAACAAGACAAATCAAAAGTCAAAGGAAAAAAGGGAAACCCGCCGCAGAAAGGTCTGTGACTTCTCCTCAGGAAACTTGCTCGTCATCCTATAAACCCATCCCTATGTCCGGCATCTAGGAGCAATCGTCGGGCAATTTATCGCTTTTATTCCCGATAAAGCTTTACAGTCGACACTCGTGTCTAGAGACTGAGGCACCCGGGCTGAGACTGAGTCCCGGGCTCCTCGTCCTCCATCTTGCGTACGTCCTCCCTTCCCGAGCCGCCGGATAGCCCAATTGCCTGCCGTTGGGCGACTCTTCCCGCGAACACATCACCAGGCCCAGATTCTCTCGTTCCTGCGGACTAGGCGACCTTGACACCGGCCACAGCCCCTCTTCGTTCAGCGGAAGCACTCTGAAATCCGTGAACGGCGGTGGCGAGCCTGCTAGTACGGGGCTGAGCGGGGCGTCCCGGCCGGCATGGCCGGCGACGAGGTCGCCGAGCCCCGAGTCGCTCGCCATTGAGGAGGAGCGCACCGACGGCGTGCCATTCACGGCAGCTGGTGACGGTGGAGGGGGTGGGTCGAGCAGGTCGAGGAGCTCGGCCGCAAAGACGAGGAACTGGTTGGATGTGCACCTCAGGATGCGGATGATTTGGAAGGTGGTGTAGAAAATGCCGGCGCTGCAGAGCGCGATGCAGAGGAGGGTTATGACAATGACGGTATTATGGAGCGGAGACATGCTGAATGAATGCAAGGTAACTGATAGAGGAATGATTGAGTTGCGAACTGATTTGAGGCGGATGGTCGCAATGGGGTAGGACTTGCGCATATATACTTGGGCGCATGGACAATCGGCCGTAGCTACAAAATTATTGGCCTTTTGCTACAGTCAGGGTAAGACAAACATTTCTAATCCTCATGTTTGATGGTTCTCACCGTGAAACTACTGCAAGACGCTTGCCAGCATCCGTCACAAAAACAAGTAACGCATCAAAGAAAAGAGTTGGCAGTGACGGAACAAACGATGTGTATTTCCCCTTTCATTCTGCGGTGAAAGAAGACAGATATTGCTATTAATGCTCAAGAATAATTTTGGTGAACGTAATCATGTCGTAAAAGTCGCGGCAACTGCTGGCCGGCCATGTCCGCGATCCATCGCTTATGAATGGGCTGATTGTAGGAGTAGATTAATTGCCATGATGAGCAGCAACACAACCGTCTCAGGGGGGATCAAATACTCAAACGTAAAGCTATCTCTCAGCCAATGCCTCAATTTATGCATTTGCAGCGGTCTGTGCGCGCACTTTGCCGTGCCGTACACCAGACATCCCAGCCCCGGCCGGGACTCGCACTCAAAGTGCATTCTCCGGCGCCGCATTAGTAGCCTGCACGTATCCTATTAGCACAGTTGTAACTATTTAAAAAGTAGTAAAAATAATGAGAAGAAAACTCACGAGACACTGCCGCGACAGAATTGCAAATCGCTACCCAGGTCGCACCGATGGCTGTTGGGACAGTCGAGGTGCAGCCGCCGCCGCTCCAGCAGCCACTCAACCTTGAGCGGCACATCGGTGCGCACGATTTGACGAAAGTACGTGCTCGTCTGCTTCAGCGATAGCGCGTCTGGGTATGGTAGGTATCGGGAAACTGCCAGATGAAGTTCAGTCGGCAGCGATAAGAGGGTGACGGCGACGGCGGCGGCGGAGCCGTGATCGCACGGGGATGCGGGGCCGTCTGGTCGGCCGAGAGCAGCCGGAGGCTCTGCTGCGACTGTGGACGCCATGGGGATGTGTACACGGAGACCTTGAAAGGAGGTGGACGGGGGTGAGTTGCGGCAGACTCCTTGCTTTAGATACGACGTCAAAAAATGCAAGATGTTTTCTTTTCTTTATAGCGTGCGGGTTTGCTGTGCATCTGTTTGTCGGAATTGTGCTGCCTTATCGCTGGCCTTTCGAGGTCCCACTTGCCGGGCCAACCAATCTGTGGCCGGGCAGTGTTAGGCACCTGAATTTCTTCGTGACGCGCCGACGAGGCGGAGGCTCACAGATCTCTGGGAACAAAAGAGTCGTTTTGTAATTTTTGGAAATGCAAGATTTTTAGCCCTGTGCACTCTGCATCCGCCGGCTTAACTAGGGCTCGCCTAGGTAGCCCCGGGCTCCCGCCATAGGCGAGGTTAACGATGCACCAAGAACAGCGCACAATCCAGAACTCAGAAGCCGTTAGGTCAGCTACAATGTCATGTTATTTCAAGAACTATTTCGGTAGGCTGGCGCTGAAGCTGCGTTGATCGAATTTGCAGCCCGAGAATTGGACCAGTCAAGACGCATCGAGAAGAGGCCTATATCTCAGGCCGCGTGCCGCATGCCGGGGTTCAATATATGCCGAGAACCCTTAATTGGGCAGGCATAGTGTATCACTGCAGTCTTGGGTGTACAACATATTTCCGTTTTCGTGCGATAACATCATGTTTGCGTCACATTCTACTACGAGTGTACCCCGCCTGCCATCTTTTGTTGCTTTTTCCTTTTGTTTCAGTACAGTTGTTGCGTCTTTGCAATACAGTCACCATCTACCAATTACAGCTATTCAACAGGTGTCACAACTGCCGAAATATGCGCTTCAAACCGAGGTAATGAGACTGCTTTTTGTTTGCTTGGGAACACAACCGTCTTGTCAAGTTCAGGGCGGCCACGGCCCGTTGGCAAAAGGCTACGAACAAAGGATGGCGACACGCTTCTCGTCCAATTGGCGCTCTTTCCAAGACGGAGCTATTTGCTGTTCCTTTCAGATAAAGGGCAAAAGTTCTGCCAATCTGGGGACCCGTGACTACCGTCAAGGCTGTGTCACAATGCCAGCGTAGTCAGTAAGAGCCAGTCGCAGCCAGTCGCAGCCAGTCGCCATCTGCTGCCTCGTCTTACACAGCAGATGTTGTGCAGTCAATCATCGTCACCTGCGAGTGCATTTCTAGCGGTGTAGCGCCGAAGTGCCGTCTTGGCGCGAATATATAACAAAGTCCCCTGCCGCTTCATCACAACCACGGCGCTGCAGATGACGGTGCGAAAACATATTTCACAAAGCACATGCACATTTACACAGCGGCGTCCTTACAACCAAAGCACATTGTTTCACTCGAGAAAATGGGCAACATTTACGAGTGCTACCATTGCAAGAACAGCGTTGCTTCCACTGTCGAGGGCAAATGCATCCACTGCTCGTACTGGCCTAGCATCTGCTGCAACTACGCTGAGTGCGGGCCCAATTCCAAAAAGCATGATCCGTACTGAGTCAAGATGGTACGTGCAACTGTACATGTAGGAAGGAAGACTCGCTAATGGAGGCTTTCGACATGATAGGACTACGACATGTTTCACTTTCGCAAGTTCAGCCTACAATACAGCAGAGGACACAGGTTGCTCGAAGCCTCGTAGAACTTGTTCTCCCATATTATCTGAGCAGAGTAGCGATAGTATGTGAATCTGGGTTAGGGAATAGAATCATGTCACAATTTCATCTAGTTGCAGCGGCCCGGGACGAACCAGCATCAAGGTCTCCTCTGCTCTTCCCCAAGCACCAAAGAAATCCTCTAGCATCCGCCGCGTAAAGCAACTTTCACACAAATCCATTCAAACTTGCTGTCCAAGGCGCCACTCACTTTTATAGATTCCAAGCCATCATTTGCCCGCACATTGCGAGAGATTCGACCTGTTACATGCGCACGGTGAAAGAGCAACCTTCTTGCCATCACTTTTCCACGTAACAGTACATGAGGCCTCTCTTAGGCTATCGCAGTCATCGCGCTGATCCTCCCAACACAATAGAAGGGAAATTTATGCTTGAAAGAAAATTTATGTTATTCAACCCAAACTTAGCCCAGTTATTAATTTTCACAATTATTAGGCTGGCCCTGGGCGGCATCGGCCTGATTCACGTGATGTCGTGTTGAATTCGTGAGGGGCAAAAGACACTGGCGCACGCCACTCAACGCGCTACCGTCTCGCCCACTCATGACTCTTCCATTACCAAGATCCAAACCATGCCTGCCGCTTCCGGACAATGGCAGCGGAGGACGGCGATTTTCACTTCGACGATTTCTCACCTGAAGACGATCAGCTTCTGATACAGTTGGTCGCAGACGCAGAGACCAAGGCTTCGGTCGCCCGCACCATTGATGCGCTGCCTGCACGATCTGATTTCGGCCCCAATGCTTTGAAAGACAATGGCCTCGCTACGATCGCCGCTGAGAGCAGCTTTGCGGCTGATGAGGCCGCAGAGGCGTTGCTTCTCTCAATCGGCAATCAAGTTCACTCTTCGACTGGTGTGTCCCTCGTTCGACTCCCCCCTCCCCCGCATACGTCATAGAAAACTGATTGACTCTGAAGCAACCAGTAAAACGTGCTTTGGAGGAGGCTGACAAGACAACGGCCGCGGAGGAGCTGGTCAGTCAAGCGCCCGTCAGCGAGGATTTTGAAGACGAGTTTGATGACAGTCGCTCGCCTCTGCAGAAGTTTCGATCGTATCCCCAGCGGCCGCTGTCAGTATCGGACTTGACGTCGGGGGCGTGGTGCGAGCTGCAGTACTGGTACACCCTGTCGAGGCTCCCTGGCGGACGCCGGACCCGCACGGCGGCGATGCAGCAAGGCTCCAAGCTACATCAGAAGCTCGAAGACGAAGTGCACACGACTGTGGAGGTGGAAGTGATCACTCGCGAAGATGGGTTTGGTCTCAGGCTGTGGAATCTCATACAAGGCCTGCGCACGCTACGAGAGACTGGTTTGACGAGAGAGTTGGAAATTTGGGGCATCGTGGACGGCAATCTCGTTAACGGCGTGATTGACAGCGTCAGTCACGAGAACCCAAACCCAGAATTTGAATATGAGCTCAGTCAAGAAGCTGAGTCGGAGAAATCGCAGCCGAAGCTCACGGACTATTTTGCCTCCGCCACACCATCAAAAGACAAGCCGAATGGGCCCAAGATCTACCTTGCCGACGTAAAAACCAGAGGCTCCCTGACAAGGGTCTCAAACTCTATGGTGAGGCCAGCAAAGATACAGCTGCTTCTCTACCACCGCTTCCTTTCGGATCTAGCCGCTGGGCGACTCGACTTCTACAAAGTCTTTCGCCGGTACGGTCTCGACCCCGACGAGCCCTTTTCCGACGCCTTTCTCGCGCAAATGGCCAGTCATCACGACGAAATGCTTGACACGACCCCGTCCAGCAGCTCCTACGAAGACGACTGCCCACCCCCTAGCTCCGCCGCGGCTGAACCCGCCGGCGCGCTGCCGTACAAGAGCCTGCGCGAGCTCCTCCCCCTCGTCGCACGCGAAGTCGGGCTCGCGTTTCCCGAGGGAGCCGCGTCCATGGGCAGCATGCTCCGTGTGCAGTACGTGTACCGGGCCGATGGTCGTGAGATTGGCCATCACGACTTTCCCGTGTCGCGGTCCGTGCTCGACGAGTACCTGGGCGTGTACATGGCGTGGTGGCGCGGCGAGCGGCGGGCGTCGGGCGTGAGTTTGGAGGAGGCCTTCAAGTGCCGCATGTGCGAGTTTGCAGATGTCTGCACTTGGCGGGCCAAGATGGACGCGAAGAGAGTGCGCAAGGTGCAGGAGCGGCTGCGAGCGGCCGATGGCTTGCCAAAGATGTCACCTGTGTGAGTGACGTCTCGTGTTAGAGATGACTGATTACATAAAATCACCAAGCCGAGAAAAGGAGACAGATTTGTGGCCTGCGAAGCTGCTTATTTAGACAGCCCTGACTGGCTGTGGCGGCCAAAGTCGGTTCGAAGAGCTGCCTGTATTGCGGTCGCCAACATCAGATAAAGTCTGTGTAGCACTAACTTGAGCTCCCTATTCAGTCTCACATGCGTTGCAAAGCAGAAATTTTTGGTTCAACGCATTGGCAAGGGAGCGAGAGAGGCGTGCATGAGGTTGAACGGATACAAAGTCAACAACAATGGCCTG